ACTATATACGGAACCTACTAAAGACGGAGTACGACGCCGGTAACCTCCTAATTAGCCTTCGGCCTAAGGAACTAGCAGGAACGGCATCCGGCTCCTTTATATAGGTAAGGATAACTATTACTATTATTATTACTAGGTACACGATATTACCTAAGGACCCCGATAGGATACCGAAGTTTTAAAATAAGAAGAAGGGTATATATATAGTTAGTTTATYGCTAGCGACTTCGTCGTTCTAGACACTAGTATATAATCGCTAACTTTAATAGGGCAACCTTAAACTATCTTAGTACCTAATTAGAAGTTCGATTATATAGCTACTATAATGTAACTATTTAAGTATTTACTAGGTGTAAAGTTAGAGATCGATTACCCTAATAATACCCTTATATACATAACTAAGTAGTACAATAACCGTAATAGGCCTACTAAACTAGTGTTTAAGGAATACGAAGGCTCGAGGCTCGCTCGTATCTTCCCGTAAGGAACGAAGAAGACGTATAGGGTATTCTTAGTCTTTAAGCGGCCTAGCTAATACGATATAGATAATTCCCTATTATATATAGCCGTAGCGGAAGAGAAGCTCGTTAAGGCTATAGCTAGGCTCTATAAAAAAGCTATCGCTAGTAATAATAAGAAGAAAAAGAAGAAAGCCCGATCGGAGAAGCCGAAGGTAGAGAAACCTATACGTATTACCTATATAATATATATCTAGTTGCTATACTAATTCCTAATAGGCCTCCGACGACAATCTAGATAATATCGATGTTACCGTAACTACGGACAATAGCGACGAAAGCGACGCCTATCTTTTAGCGAACGTTATAGTTTATATACCCTTTCCTCCGTATAATAGTGCACCTACTAACGTACGTATAGGTTAAGCCCGAACTAGTAGTTAAGGAAGAACTAATAGTTAAGGTAGAACCTACCGACGACCGCTAGAAGAAGGAGTTATTCCTTTAGAGACTAGAGCAATCTCGTATAGAGGTAAGTAGCTATAGTACTACCCTTTCTGCCGTATAATAGATAATAATAATATATAGCGTTTCTCGGTCCTAGCTAAGTAGGGCGGAGGTTCTTCGCGGACCCCCCCCCCCTCCCTAAGGGGTTAGTTATAAGCGTAGCTATTCTTAGATTTCCCTTACTTCCGAGCCTAGTAGTACGCTACTAGCGGATCGTACGCGCAATCGATTAAAGCGCCGTTAAGAGTAGGGTATACGTTAACTATAGATAGCGTTACTATCTAGAATTGTTAGCTAGAGTTTATATAATACTTTTATCCGGTCCTTTAACGGACTTCCCTCTTAGTTAGTATGTAATATAGCTTTCGAATTGTACTAGCGTTTACGATTTACGATATACTTATATCGCACCTTTACCTTTTATCGTATAGATTAAGCTATAGCTCTTAGAGGAATATACTACTATATAATATATACTAGTTTACGACATCTCTATACCTTAGCTTGCGCCTTCTTCTCTCTACGCTTTATATAGGTAAATAGAAAAGAGATAAGCAATAGGTATAAGGCAACGCCTTTAGATAAAATTATAAGAGTGTCGATATACTAACGGTAACTAGAACAAATCTTTACGATACTATTATATAGCCTAGCACTCTTGCTATATCGAAACCTTATATACAATACGATATAATAGCGTAGGAAACGCTGCAATACTCTAACTCCGGCGCCGAGGTAAAGCTAAGAGTAGTAGTGCATTCTAAAAAGCTATTTATGGGTTGTTGTAGGGAAGTCGCTAAAAGACCACCGTAGTCTGCAAGAGTCTAGCTCCATCGCATTGGTATTTTCGGCACACAACATTCGAGACCGTCTCGCGGGCGAGAAATATGTGTGCTGTCCCCTGCGGAGATGGAATGGAATCAGTCTCGCTCGGTGTTCAAGCCGCTTAGTAAGGTAATGCCACGTCGACTTTTCGTGGCGTTCCGTTCATCAATGACATATCTTGCCTTTGAGTTTATGAATGCGGCTGTGCTCCATGTAGACATTCCTTCCAATTCTCTCTCTCATCTGTTGAATCATCGATCAAAAGAAGCAAGAAAATACAACACTCACTCTTCCGTCGAGGTCACACAGAACTCAACCATCAGCCAGAATAATGTCCGACCGAAACAGGCAACAGCACCTAAGCCAGGAGTCCGCCACAACACGCTTTATGAAAGGCGCTGGTCAAGTGAATGACCCGGATAATAAGCTTTGGTAGAGATCGATGGTTCACAGATCCGTCCGATGTAACCACTGACGCACTTCCAGGGGACCAGCGAAATGGCTGGTTGGCATGATTCAATATCTCGTGGCCGTCATGATGGTCAGTAAGTATCCCTCCCATCACCAGCACTTCGCGCCGCATCAACGCTGCTAAAAACACGTCCGTGCAGCAATCGCGGAGGGTTTCAAGGCAATCCTCAGCGGCAAGAAACCACAAGGTCGAAGACGGCCTCACGGCCAGTAATATACAATCATCATGCACTCTCACCAGCCCCTGCAACTTCCTAGAACMATCTGGTCTGCATGATGGACATCGAAATCGCCATCAACACTTCAAACAGTGGAACTCGACCACCGACGGAGCGTATTATCCACCATCACATTTACCCGAGCTTCGCCGGTCGCGACGGAATCAGCGATCCATGCTCCGGTTGCACGCATGTAATCGTGTGCGACAGCAGTCTTCAACAAACCAACGTCAGGTGTTCCTGGATTTCTGCCAGCGTTACTACTCCAAGAGCACGCCATTGTTTTGTGGTGGCACGATGGACGGACGATGAATGTATAACGAACGAGCAACTTATAATGAATTGAAATATTGACATGTTGCGGGCATGATAGCTGCCGAGTCGGAAGTTGTTACTGTGAGTGAATGTTCTGATTCTCCCGTGACCTGGACAGCGTGAGTATCATGGTCCCATCTCGAAGCTCTCCCGAGTAACTGTGAGGACATGCGCCTGTGCGTCTCACACGGACTCAAAGGACCACTAGACATCTTCCAAGACGGCTGCCGGGGACGCCTTGACTCCTTGTATTACCTTTAGATGCAACACATCGAACCCCTGGCCATAGATTTGCTGCCACTCGATCGTTGATGCGGCATTCTCAGCGCCAAAGGCACGAACTAGCCTCTCGCTTTCGCCAACGTCCCCATTGATGACTTCTCGTGCTTCTTGTTGTGTCTTGCTAATAGCCCCTTGGCCCCAAATCCAGTCGGAATCCTTGCTGATGAAAGTTCCAATCTGGCGGAAAGTACAGCTAATCCGCTGACCATCAAACGCTTTCTCGCTGTCCACCAGCTCGCACCGTGGTCGCTTATCAGCGTTGATTCCATGAAGGTACTGGGCGTTCGTCTTCAGGGACATGATAATCATGGAATTGTGCGGTGTCGGGACTCGATACGTGGTCCTAGCGCCGTTGGGTTCACTGACAGGTGCTCCTCGCTTCGTCCTCAAACGCATTGTCCTCTGGGCCCCAAAAGAGACATTGACGATATTGCTGCCAGGCACAATGTCCAACGTCTTGTCAGAGTGCTCCGAGATGAAATCTTGTCCTGAGCGGTAGAGTTGAATGAGCACATGGTTCAGTGAATGGCCCACCACTCTTTCTGCCGCCTCTCTCACCATATCCACAGTTTTGGTCCAGTTCTGGAGAGGCAGAGTGTGATCAGATGGATGCCTGTAAATTGGCATGCTACCGTCATCGCTTATAGTCCCCTGACAACACACAAGACGAGGAACTTCTCCGACCAAGTGATACATCTTTTGCCAGTCAACCTCATTATTGATCTGATCGAAGGCTGTCTCGGCTTCATCAGGGGGAAGCAGGTTGTGGAGCATCTGCGAGCCGGCGCTTTCCTTCTCCTTGCCCTCCCCAAAAAGTGGCACACTAACACTCGTGCCAATCCGAGGCTGGTAACCTTCCAAATCGGCGAGACGCAYTTTTTCTTCAATTTCCGCGACGCTCGACGGACTCAGTGCTCCAGCAGTAGCCATCGCAGCAAGACCAGGATGCTTGATACGTGTAAAGTCGGTGGGCGGCGAGCGTGGTATTAATTCAAGCCAAGGTTTGTTGCACGATGAGTCATTGGAGCTCAATTGGCCGCCGTCACGACGAGGTGAGTTGTGCTCTGGGGTGGACGGGTCGTGGTAGGTTGAACCGGAGTGACGGTCTTTAGATTTCGGGGGTGGCTTTGTTGACACCTTTGGGTTGCCCCAATGAGTCCTTGAAGACTCGATATACTCATGGGAAGCTTTGCGCTGCTGCATTGCTGCTAATACGCGGGGTGAGTACTTGCTCGAAGTTCTGGCGAAGCGAGGCTCGACCCTTCGATCGAACAGTCTCGAGGGAACGGGCTTTACCTCTTCATCTTCTTCATCGCTATCGTCGCTGTCCACCTCCAGAGCACTCGCCTCATTTTGAGACTGACGCGCCTCGCGCAAATCCATGTCGTTGTGATGTTGTTGGCCCGGTGAACCGCGAAGAGCTCGCAAGATTTGGACACTGCCCATGGATGTGGCATCCATGAACTCTTCGAGCTGCTCGATGGCAAGGTCATGCTTTTCCTGTCTGCGGTAGCCGAGACTAGAAGACGAACGTGGTCTGTCAATTGCATATTGTTTACATGTTGTGGGAAGTCCGTTGCTCACCAATCGTCCACCAATGTAACTTTGATCCCATAGCGAGCTGCATCCATAGCCGTTGCATACACAGATAAGTTGGTCTAGGCCGATCAACGGTCAGTAGGTATTCAAACGGAGCAGAGGATGCAGACTGGCTCGAGTCCAAAGGCTTCAAAGGCACTTTGGTGGCCTCTAGGCGTCTGGAAAAGAGATGATGATCATCCTGCACGTACAATGCAACCGCATATGTATAACTCGGTAATGAGCTTTCCACGAAGGGTCAGGAGCAGTGAGGTTGAGGAGAATGCCGAATAGTGGGTCTTGGTCATCTGAAGGTCTTTCCCTTCATGGATGAGTGGTAGGACCTCGGAGAAGTATTCGGCGCCATGGCTTCCGCGTATACAGCAAGGCTCGCGGTCGCAAGTGCGACTCAGAAACAGCTCTTCGTCATCTTCCCCATCTTCGTTAAGAATCGCAGGAGATTCCGGTTCCTTTGAGGCTTTTAGCGCGAGAGCCTTGACACCTATAAGCCTCTGTATCGTACCTTTGTTGGAAACTGGTCGCTCTCGTAATCATCGGAGAACGGCATCTCGACTTCTTTGCCAGATGAGCCACCTGCGAGCACATTGTCTCCTTCTGCGTCGGGTCCGTTTATTGAGCGTGTGGTTTCGAACTGTGACCGCACCCAGAAGACGTCTCCGCGCTCGCGAAATGATGCGACGAGTTTTGAAAGCGGCTTCAGAAATTCGGTGTCCGATACAGCCAGTTTTCCGGCTGGCGATAGAAAGTCATTCTGAAGGTCGAGTATCATCAAGCCCTTCCTGACCTGGAGAGTCGGAGTCTGTTGCGAAAGCAGGTCGAATAAGGACGACATCCTGTTCGGCTAGATGGCCACACTAGGTATGAAGGGGGAAGGGCGAGGGAGTCGGCGTGCGTCAAAGAAGGACGTCGTAGAAGCAGAGTACATGTAGGTGGAAGGAGACTTCACAGCCACCAAGCAATCACTTACAAAACCAAGGTTCGTGAAGGGCGAGGAGATTCGTTGTGTCAGCCCGAAGAGCAAAAGCTCGATGCAACATCGCTACCAGCGGGCTKGTTCGAATCCCCAGAAGGAGCGGGAGCTTGTTGTTGTCCGACCACTGACGAGTTTCGCGTACGGGCGGTGTATAGGGTTCACGGACTGCACCGCCTTGTATGAACACCGTGGGCATGATGTCGGGCGAAGCAGCGTGTCGATCAGCGACATGCTGCTTCTCCGTGGTGGTAATCTCAGGAGTTGGATCAGACTACGATGGGTGCGTGCGAAAGCTTCCTCGACCGAGATTCCTTCCCGTACCAATAAGATGTGTCGAGCTACAATAATTTCTGTTGCCTCGTCCCATTGATCAATTGTATTCTGGTTTCTAGATTGTAGACTGTGAAGAGTCTAATAAAACCTCGTTTCATACTTGGTATCTCTGATGAGCAGTGGAGTGCGGTAAAGCAAATCATTAAACGTTCAAATCTACATGCTACTTTGGATGATGACAGGACTGATTGACGCGGCGAGCAACACTGACAAACATTCGCTGTCGCCTGGAGCTGCTCCGTTGATATACCAGAGTCTTTCACTCCTCCAGAAGCATGCTGTTCGATTGCTTTCTGAAATAGGTGACAACCAATTTGATGTGATCAAAGTACAGCTTTGGTCGGTCCGCCGATCTTCACCTTCCCTTTCACCATGTGCGGCCCGTCTGTTGACGTGCATTCGCTCGACCGTGAGCCGCTTTCCACGTCGGCCATGGTACCGTCGGAATCCTGAGGCCGGTAGACATGTACGTTGTACAGGAGCACCGGCAGCAACTCATCGCGGTGAAGGCCCGCCTTCATCTAGCGGTGGCCATCTTTACCATCTTCTTCAACACTGACGAGCCACAAGTTGCGGTGAATTTCTTCGTGCATTGATACCATTTGTTAACATCACATGGTCTGTTTTCCTCTGTCTATTGTGAGACGTGTACGTTGCCCTGCTTGAATCTTCCGAAATATGTCGAATGAGCTTCGGCATCGTGAAAGATGGCATAATTTGCATTTGCGGATTCGAGCAAGTGTGTTTCATCGCAGTGTCAAGAAGCTCTCGCTCCACGCTCCACGCTCCACAGCACGCCACACGGATGCAATTCGCAGAAGCAAGGGCGCGTAAGCACATACAGCAACGTCGGCTAAGACGATGCATGCGGGGCGCCCAATGGCATCGCCGGCTGGCCCCAAGCTTTGTGGCAGACAGCGAACCCGTGCACGCTCCGCGGGATGATAGGCAAATACACTTCTTCTGGTGTCCGCAGAATGCTCTCTGCTTGGAATCTGGATGTGCTGATGCCTTGACCTCTGAAGACCGCTCTTTGCTCAGACTTGGAGATGGAAAGATAGCATCAATTCCATGCTCTGGTTACTCAGCCTTTGCAAGCTCCCTTAGTCGTGCAGAGCTCTGTTCCACACCGTCTGCGAACCCAATCGCACGCGAGAGGGCCACCGCTTCCTGATATCGAGCCTTGGCCTGTGCGAATTCTTTGTTCATTTCGGCAAACTCCCCCAGGTTGTGCGTTGCAACTGCGCAGCCAATGTCACACTCTTCGGTCCTGACAGGCGGCTTCAGTGCTGCGGCAACGTCCAGCGCTTTCTGGGCCCACGCCTTTGCGCTCTCCACCATGCTCTCTCTCGACGCTGCTGGGCCTGTGGGTTGCTCGTTGATGTTTCTTGAGGCGGCATATGCCTGCGCCTCTCTCGCCGCGCGCGGTGATTGTTGCGCGATGCTGGAAGCCAAGTTGTTCATCAGAATGACGGTATGGCAGTCTCTGGTAGGGTAAAGGCTCAGAGCCTGTAAGAACAGTGGCGTAGCAAGGTAGTGCTGTTCTTTCTCTTCGTAGCTGTGTGCAAGCGCTTCCAACGCCGCACCAATCTCGTTGCCGTTCATCCACGAACCCTCCTCTTCGTCCTTAACACCATTGTTCTGCCGCCTTTGCTGCTCCTGCAACACTGTCTCTACAGCCCAAATGAGCCTCGCTTGTGCCGTGTCACGGTCCCAAATGGCAGGCTGGCCGTATAGCTCTCCCAGCTTTACGGWTATGCCAACCGTCTTCGCAAGAACATTCGTCCGCCGTATTTTGTTGTGGTCCAGACCGCCAAACTGTTCCAGCCACGCCAGATTGTCGCTGCGGACTCTCTCCAGCACTTCGATAGCTTTGCGCCATTGCTGAATCTTTTCCATCAGCGCGGCAACTTGAATCTTGACGCCAATGATCTCGTCGCTGAAGGGATCCATGGGAATCTCATTGGCAATTTCTAGAGCTTGTTTATAGTACTTGATTGCTTCTTGGGGCTGCAGATCAACATTGGTGTAGTATATGGCCCTCCGCAATTTCTGGGCCACCGGCTCAGGATATTTGTGGAAGGAAGCGATGATATAGGTCTGGTACAGATAATTGGCGTAGACAATGGCACCGACACCCACTCCCATTGCCAGAATGGCCACGGTCACGGAGATTGGGTGTTTTGTGTACAAGTCGCGGGCATTCTGGGAGAACGAGCCTGCGCTGCGGCGTTGTTGGCGAAGGAGAACGTTGATCGATGTACGAGGCCGAGGCGATCGATGTGGCACATGGTGCATGTGACGGACGGTATGCGAAATCGTCCCCCGGGCATTTCGTAATGGTATGCCTAGGCGAAGCAGTGGCTGGGACATGTTGAAGGAGATTGTTTTGTGCAAGATTCGACCTTAGCTTACATTTGAGGTTTGATTTACTCTGTAGGGCTGAAGCTCTTCGACGGAGCAACGCATGATGACGCCCTTGGATTGTACCTACATGTACCTAGCATCCCAACTTCGCGTCTCCATCACTTTCAATGTTGCTTTATTCCTTCCAAGCTGCTTTCATGCATCCCGTGCCAACGAACAATCTCCACAATGTGCGGGAGATATGTGTTGTCAATGCGGCCTAGCGCTGTGCAGCGGCATCTGGCAGAGAATAATATGCCATCGGAAGAAGCYCCAAACGACGATGATGATCGCATCAGGCAATCCTACAACTTTGCGCCGGGATATCATGGTCTCATCTACAGGGCCAACACTGCTGATCGTGGTGCTGGTCGCGATGGAGACCATGAGTCGGAAAGCAATAGTGCCGATGGACAGCCACAAGTAGATGGACTTGCCACCAAGGAGACCAAGTACAAGTTGCAAGCGGCGAGATGGGGTCTCATTCCTTTCTGGACAAAGCGTGCGCCAGATTATGCCAGTCAAATGCGCACCATTAACTGTCGTGATGACAGCTTGATTGAAAACCGTGGCATGTGGAACACGATGAAGCAACGAAAGCGGTGTATCGTCGTCGCTGAGGGGTTCTACGAATGGTTGAAGAAGAATGGCGGGAAAGAGAAGATTCCTCACTATACGAAGCGTAAAGATGGTCAACTAATGTGCTTCGCCGGATTGTGGTGAGCCCACATCGACCGTGATACATATTGATATCAACTAACACTCCTGTCCTCAGGGATATGGTTCAGTACGAAGATTCCGAAGAGAAACTCTATACATACACGGTGATCACGACAGACTCAAATAAGCAGTTGCAATTCTTACACGATCGAATGCCGGTCATCTTAGAGCCAGGCAGTGACGAGATGAAAGCATGGCTCGATCCTAACAGGATTGGATGGGACAAGGAACTGCAGAGCATGCTGAAGCCGTATCAGTATGAGCTGGACTGCTATCCTGTTGACAAAGCGGTGGGAAAAGTGGGCAACAACAGCCCTTCATTTCTCATCCCGATCGACAGCAAGGAAAACAAGCAGAACATTGCAAACTTCTTTGGCAATCAACGCGCTACTGCCGAGAACGTTGCCGCAAAAAACGAAGCTGCACGCGAGGCGAAACAAGCCACGAGCGAGTCGTCCACCAAAGAGGATCCCAAGGAGGATCGTGAGACTGCCKCAAATGTTGAAAGCACCGAGGACAATGCGCCGTTACCGAAGCCAGAGGAAATTTCTGAGCGTGAACTATCGCAGCGGCTCAAGGTACACCAAACAGACAGCGATGGCGATACATCCGTCGCAACAGGCGAGAGAACCGAGAGGGACATCGCTAAGGACACTACGGAACTTGATGACGAGTCCATGTCAAAGGCAGCAGATGAGCAGGTGGAGAGGGGCATCAAGCGAGAAATGTCAGAGATCGATGATGCAGCACTCGCTGCTGCTGAAGACACCGCTCCGTCGAGAAAGGCTGTCAAAATCGAAGACTCGGGTATATCACCTGTGAAAAGTACTCCAGCGAAGAAGGCTACCGTAGGGAGGTCAAGAAACGCTACATCCAACGAAAAGGTCGCGAAAACGCCGACAAAGGACGGCAATGCGAAGATTACCAGCTTCTTTGGGAAATGATGGAAAGAAGCACTTGACGAAATAACGAAATGAACGTCGACACGACAAGAGTCCGATACGAGAACCGACTTGCGACCAAGAAAGGAAGTGAAACTTGCAAGACTAGAGATGCAGCCCGTTCCTTGTCAAGGGTCGRGCCTTGTTTGGCGCGATGCGTATATGGGCCAGAGAGAAGTTCGACGACGTTCTGTCCGGCTCAGGGGTATACCCGCCAGTTGTCACTAGCTAGATCATCGCGAATGCCAGAGGAATGTCTGCTGCCATGTACTTGAACGCTATACCTTATTATGAGAAAGACGGAAAAACGTGACACAGTCCTCCGCATCACATTTCGCCGGTGCTGGAAACGAAATATATTCTTGTTGGCACTGTGATAGCTATATGTGCATAATTCGAGGACTCTTGCCACGGGTACAAAGCTCATTAAATATGCAGGTTGCTCTGACTCTCAGCAACGCTGCTTCATTTTTTGCTTGTAGCTGCATGTTCGCCAGCGTAGTCGCCGACTCACTACAGCGAGAGCCGGCAGGCTTCAATTTTCCTGTGCTTTGGCAGAACTTCAGAAGCACCAAATGTAAATGTAACAATCGCGTTCAATCATATCTTGTACAGTTTTCCCTACATGTAATAGATATGGCATCAAAGCTTCGAGCTGCTATCATTACGCATTCGTCAGCCTCCACTTTACCATCGCCGCAATTATAGCCACCAATACCCACCTTCCTGCACCAGATGCTGTGCTTTTGCCTCCCAAACCTAATGCCCACCAAATGAGTCCACCGGTTGGGTTACCATTTCGATCGAAGTCGGGCTTCAATTCGCTCATCTTCTTGAACTTTTTCAACTTGGCATCGGTGTATGGTGGGTAGCGGATATCTAGCATACCCTCCAGCCAAGCCGGGGTGGAGGTGATGGAGCGTCTGTGAGAGAAGCACTCAAAGCTGGCTCGACCACGATATGCGCCTGTACCGCTGTCGCCAACACCACCGAAGGCAAGGGTGGGGATGGAGGCATGGAAGAAGCCATCATTGACCGAAGCGCCACCGGACCGTGTCTGGGACAAAATCTTGTCGGTTTCGGCCTTGCTGCCAAAAGGGTACAGCCCCAGTGGCGTTGCGTGCACTTTGTTAGCCGTACGGATGGCTTCGTCCAAGTCATTTACTGGCAAGATTGGAATCAGAGGTCCGAAGCTCTCATCAGCCAATAGTGGATCCTCGGCGTCGTTCACCTGCACGACCGTGGGCTCGAAGAACAGTTTCGACTTGTCTGTCTTGCCCCCCATAATGATCTTGCCCCTGGTGCTGTCAAGCATATCTCTCAGGCGTTGCCATTGGCGCTCGTTGATGACCTTGCCATAGCCCTCCTCGTGCTCGGCTCCCTTGGGCTGGAACTCCCGGAATGCCAGCTCAAGCTGTCGGACGAACTCGGGAAGTAGGTCTTTGTCAACAAGAATGTAGTTTTGGCTGACACAGACTTGACCAACATTCAACAGTTTTGCCCAGAGCAGACGTCTCGCAGCGAGACGAGGGTCGGCGTTCTTGGTGACAATGGCCGGGTTTCTCCCGCCGAGCTCTAGCGTCACAGGAGTGAGTGTCTCTGCTGCTTTCTTGGCTACAATCGTGCCGACGGCCGCGTTTCCCGTGTAGAAAATCTTATCCCACTTGCAAGCCAGCAGAGCGGTCGTCTCAGGAACGCCACCTTGGACGACTTGATAGCCATCCGGGTCCAGGGACTGGGCCACGACGTGCTGCATGATTCTCGCGGCGTGCGTGGCATTTTCAGACGGCTTGAGCACCGCCGTGCATCCAGCCGCGATGGCTCCGACCAGCGGACCCAGAGACAGCTGGAGCGGGAAATTGTACGCGCCAATGACCAGCACAGCACCCAGCGGGTCCTTGCGGATGCGCGGGCTCATAGCCATGTTCGTCCACGATGTGTCTTCGGCCTTTTCGTCCTTCATGAACCGCTCGAGATTCTTGCACATGAACAAGATATCGTTCAGTACCCACCCGACCTCGGACAAGTAGGCCTCCATCGCGCTCTTACCCAAATCGWGCTTCATGGCCTCGAGCAGTGCGGGTTCGACATCCTTCAGCCCCCAGTACAGCTGGCGGAGTTGCTTGAGACGATATTGTAGTGGCCGTGTGCCGTGGGTGTGGAATTTGTCAACAACGCGCTGGTGGATGGCAGGTACAGCGTCGATGGATGTGAATGCCAACGCGGGCAGGTCTTCCATCTTGAGCTCAATCATGGTTGCGGTTGGTGCGCAATAGCGAATGTGGAAAACGTGGGAGAGGACGTGTTTTTATGTCCAACGCAATGCGCGCGATCCGGCTGCTATGGGTGAGATGTCGCTTCACACGAGCGGAGCGGAGCTGTCGAGGAATTGTAATTCCGTACCTCGGTTCGCGTATCGAGCGTTTGCACCCTGTCATGTGAAGATGGTGCGGGCCGCCACAATGGAGCTCTGTGCGCTGAGCCTGAGGCTGAAGCCGCGCCCCACCAGAACAAAGGCAAAGGCAACGCAAGCAACCTGAACATCATCTCGACCAACCCCACGCAACTGTGTGCCTCTGACACTGCTAACACTCTCTTGTCAGCGCCGTCAGCTTCGCAATCGCATAATCTTTCGCTTCGCCTGCTTATATCGACATCTCCGGAATTCTGTCACGGCCGCGTCTGCATTCAGGAATCACAGAGTGTGTCAAACAGATTCTACCTAACATCCTCAGCCGCGCGCGTATATTGGTTCCCACGCCTCGATCTACGCCTTCTATCCATCCAAACGACACCACGAGTTGAACCTCTGCTTCAGAACCATGGCCGACCTTCAGGGCCGCAAGACATTCAAGGTCTTCAACCAGGATTTCATCGTCGACGAGCGCTACACCGTGACCAAAGAGCTGGGGCAGGGCGCATACGGTATCGTCTGTGCCGCAACCAACAACCAAACAGGCGAGGGCGTCGCGATTAAAAAGGTCACCAATGTCTTCAGCAAGAAGATTCTCGCCAAGCKCGCATTGCGAGAGATCAAGCTGCTTCAGCACTTCCGCGGGCACAGAAACATTACATGTCTATACGATATGGATATCCCACGGCCCGACAATTTCAACGAGACCTATCTCTACGAGGGTGCGTCAACTAGAATACCAAGGTATACGTCTGCGCGTTGCTGACACCACACCACACAGAGCTCATGGAATGCGATCTCGCGGCTATCATCCGCTCTGGCCAACCCCTTACCGACGCCCACTTCCAGTCCTTCATCTACCAGATTCTTTGTGGACTAAAGTACATTCACAGTGCCAATGTGTTGCACCGTGACCTAAAGCCGGGTAATTTGCTCGTCAATGCAGATTGCGAGCTGAAGATTTGCGACTTTGGGCTGGCCAGAGGGTTCAGTGTGGACCCGGAGGAGAACGCTGGGTACATGACTGAATACGTCGCAACACGTTGGTACAGAGCTCCTGAGATCATGCTCAGCTTTCAGAGCTACACCAAAGCTAGTACGTTCAAACCTGACCCCACTGAAAGGCATCGCTGATAGCAATCCACAGTTGACGTTTGGTCTGTGGGCTGTATACTGGCAGAACTTCTTGGCAGCAAACCGTTCTTCAAGGGCCGCGACTACGTCGACCAGCTGAACCAGATTCTGCATTATTTGGGTACGCCTTCGGAGTCGACACTCGCCCGGATCGGTTCTCCCAGGGCGCAGGAATACGTGCGAAACCTCCCCTTCATGAACAAGATACCGTTCCAATCGCTATTTCCCCGTGCGAACCCAGATTCTCTAGATCTCCTCGACCGCATGCTCGCTTTCGATCCAAGCCAGCGCATTGAGGTGGAGGAGGCACTTGAACATCGGTACCTGTCCATTTGGCACGACGCTTCGGATGAGCCAGCGTGTCCAACAACGTTCGATTTCGGCTTCGAGGTGGTAGATGAAGTTCCAGATATGAGGCAAATGAYCCTGGCCGAGGTGAAGCAGTTCCGTCACTCTGTTCGTGCTCCACAGCAGGCGCAGTATTCACAAGGGCACCAGCAGGGCCAGCAGGTGCCCATTCCGGATGGTTACGACCGGGCGTACGAGGACCCGAGGCCTCAGGAGATGGCTGGTCGTGTAGCCGGGCAGGATTTAGAGAGAGAGCTGGAGGGCGGTTTGGACGCGATGCGGTAAATGTCTCGCATGATTGGAAGATCGCATYGACTATACCATCAAGTTGACGAATGATCGTATCAACGCTGGCGAACATGGCAGCGTACACGCAGGCTGCTAACGTAGCCAATCTGCTTGTTAAACCATCTACACTTGTGACTTTCATGCTCATAGAAGTATTCGTGTCCTACTAGCGGCAGGTTGCTCGATTCGGGTTTCTTGCATGTCCGAGGACCGCACAGTGCATGCAAGGTGTATGAGCGTATCTGCAGCAAAGCGTGCATTTCCTTTAGAGCTCGTTCCAAATTTCGAAACGAGACTTGAACGGCAGCAACTCCAAAGCCCTGTCCCGACTCCCGGCATCTACGATAAGCTTCGACGAAACGCCGACGGGACTTTTTAAACACATGTCTCAGGGCGGTCCGGTCCAGCAGCAACCCACCCACGCGGTAGACGGAAGTTGGAACGGACTTGTGTCAGAAAAAGAGCGGTGAGATGTAAAAGAAGGGCGCCCAAGCACAGAAGCACAGAGGCATAGCACACGGTAAACCTATTCACCAGTTGTAAGCCCGAGCCTAGCATGAGCTCGATACCGGTCGAGTACAGGCGGAACGCGCACCCAATAGCAGTTCGATGCGCCCATTCGATGGCTATGCTGAGGTGGCACCAGTAAGCGTCGCAAGACAGTCGGCTACAAGGATAATAAGAACGCGGTTGTCGTATGCGATCGGTTGAGCCTAAGTTGTCGAGCTGCAGAAGCTCCATTTTTCGAGGAGCGTTAGGGGTGAGTGGTGGAGAGAGATGCCAGCCTGCATGTGCCTATGCGTGGGCGGCCCACTGTTCGACAAACGGCCACCTTTTGCGGTACATCGTTTGTGGAGGGAACGTTGGACGCTCCCTGCACCAGCCCTGCCTGGAGAAAGCAAAGATTCCTCTACATCAGGTGTGCGCAAGTAGAATGCATGTATCCTCTGCTGATGATGCGTCGAAGCGAGCACAATAAGATCGGAGGTTTTCCCATCTGCAGATCTGTCTCCAAATGCATGGCCCAAGCGCTTGTTGCCCTTTGCTACTAGCGCGCTTCCACGAACATCTCTCGACTGACCATCATACTCGTCGTAGCTGCTGTCGTTGTCGTCGTCGTTTGTTTGCGCCGCTGTACTCCTCCGCCCCGCCTTGCTTTTTTCCAGGTCGTCCCGATTCTCGGTTCCTCCTTCGTCAGCGGAATGTGGAATACGCAAACCCCGCTTCCCGCCAGCCAACCTCACATTTGATCCGACCCCAGACACTCGCACTTGAATCCCGAATCACAACATCCTCCTGCAGTGACCATCGAGCAAATCGGAGAGGCCGTCCCGGGAAAAGCTCTACCGCTTAGACTGCGTAGGCGCAATCATCCGTGCGACTGTGCAACAGCGCTGCACAACGACCTCCAGCACCCCGGTCGGTTCCACGAGACATTCGCGGGAACCACTCCGCCTGTCGCCGCTGTTTGAAAAGGAATAGGCAGCTTGGAGAAAAACGAGCCACATGTCTGCTGCACGGGTGTAGATATGGGACTTGACAATCGACGCCCTCCGCTGCCTGCCCCCACCGAGACGTCAAATGATGAAGACACCGAGGTGAACGCGCAGTTCACAGGACGCACCACCTACGTGCCCGACGACGGCATATCTCTGCCACCTGACGGTCGTCCCATTACGATTTCCACCCAGAAAATTACGACGGCGCGTGAGGGAGACATCGGGCGCCACGGCCGGAACAAAAGCCAGACAAGCCTGCTGATTGAATACTTTGAGGCCTCCAAGTCGAGCGACAAGAGTCGGTCCCGTCCCAGCGTGAGGGTCAAGGTGACGCCAAGCGCACACAAGAAGAGCCGCTCGGGGAATGAAGCCATCCAAATCACTGGAATAGGCTCCGATCGCAAGCCGTCATACWCCCGGCGCATATCGCTCGGAAACTTCAATAACCACGGAAAATCTACAGACGTGGTTGAGGGGACGGAGGTTAGCCACTCGTCGGAAAGCAACGTATCTGGCAGGACACCGTTGGAGATTGAGGTTCTCAACAACGAGAGCGACATTTCGACTCACCGATCATCCCGCGCGCTCAATTACGCGGCTGTCGACTCGAACGTATCTTCCATGCCGCCGGACAGTATGTTGGAGGGTGAATCTTACAACGAAGGCGATGTGAGCCGTGCACTGGAGCAAGATGGTCGGTATGAGGAGACAGCCTACCTCAAGGCACCTGTCAGGACCGGCAGTCAGAATCGTAGCGACAGCAGAGAGCGGCTCACTCAGAAAGTAATGGAGAAGCTGGGAGCATCATCGTCCAAGCCGCGCAAGTCAGGCCGCACAGGCCACGAACGTAGCTCAAAGGACTACAGCAGCACCAAGGAATACGATGGCGACTCCCGCGAACGCCGCCGGAAGTCTTCCCGATCACATCGGTCTGAAGAGGACGCAGTCAGCGGCGCAGAGTCCAGCTTGCTATCTTCCCAACTCACGACAAGCGACAGATCATATCGGTCCGGCACTTCGAACGCTTCACGGATGACGAACAACCCCAAGCTTTTGGAAATGGTGGAGGACACCATCAAGCGCATGATACTCCCCGAGATCAACGCCATCAGGGAGGATCAGAAGACGGATCGCAAACTGCGTTCTTCTGCGGATAGTCGGCGCGGGTCCGTCCAGACCGAAGACGAAAGTCACAGCAGTTCACCAAAACCCGCCTCCAAGCCCAAGGTGGTACTCAATCGCGACGGCGATGATCCTGGAGTTGTGCTCTCGCGTGGCGATTCAGAACGTGTGAAGCACCGTAAGTCTAGCCGAGAGAGCCACACTGAGAAGACGAAATCCAGCAGCCGGCGCTCTTCGGGGCATTCACGCGGCGAAAAAGCAGACGAGCAACAACTGCAGCCAAGGCCAAGCGGATCCAACAATGGGCTTCGCGGTGCAGCATCTGTAGGACTGGCAGGTGGGGCTCTGACTGCGGCGGCGCTCAGGCATCACGACTCTCATGGAGACATGCATGAGCGTCGCAAGAAGCGGAGCAAGTCTCGTGGCAGTCGCAGTCGCTCTGTGAGTATCACTGAGAAGGCTGATGAGATTCACTCCGACAAGATCATCCCGCCAATGCCTCTTGGCAGCAATGTGAATGATTCGGACATGACCCGCGATAGCTTGCTCTCCAAAGCGACTGATTCGTCAGCGCTACATGAATCCCCTGGCCAGACTCCCGTTCGCGAAATCTCACGCGGTTCCTATGATGCATCCAGCTCGCCCACATCTTCTCGTACACTTACTGGCGTGTCCCGAGGAATTGGCAAGAGCCATTCCAACCACTCCTTCGATGGTCCCAGAAGTCCAAATGGCGGCATTTCAAATCAAGCCCGCGTTGCAGCGCTGGCTGCGGCCGGCCTCGGCGGTCTAGCCGTGATGAGGGGCGGCGGGGACCAGCACATGGATGCAGATGGTTACGGTGCGCCGGCCCCCCAACGCAAGATAAGCAGTCCTGTGCAAAGCATTTCGAGTTTGAAGAAGAACTTTGAAGACGACGAGCCGCTCGTGCCTCAAGCTCTGCGGTCGCGAAGCCCGGCGCACAAACCCTCTGCCGATCGTTTGCGAGGCAGTCATCATTCTCAAGCCTCATTGCATTCTGTCGAGTCTTCGCCCACAGCCAAGTACGGTCATTCCCGGCAACATTCGCACAATGGCAGTGTGAACGATCAACCACGTGACGCGGGGACGCCGGGCGCAGAGACTTCAGATGAATGGTTTGAACGACAGCACCTGGTCAATGATCGCTACCGCGACTCGACGAATCGAGACTCGTATCAGACGAATCCATATCCTCAGGACGAGAAGCGTTACACCATGAATACAGACGATAGCTATGATGAGCACCTTGACGACACACATTACGACAGCGACAAGGATGTGCGAGATGTTGGGCAGAACATGAACTACGTGCACACTCCTGTGGCAGTGGAGTCTGCCGTTGCATCGTTGATGGAACATTCTACAGTGAGTAGTCACCTACTCTCCTCAATTGAAAGCCCGGGCAGGACGAATGGAACCTATAGCGATCGTATGGCTGAGCACATTCGGGTAATGGGTAAAGGCAAGCTCGCCGTCTATGAGGGTTCAACACTCAGTCAGACTATGCCTAGTCAGGATCGGTGGGCAGCTATCAAAGGTCAAGCCGTGAGGTCTGTCGAAAAGGTCGGTATGTCGCCGGAGCAAAGCCCAGCAAGGAGTCTGCACCAGGAGGGTACCTATACAAACCAGCCAAGAATGGTCTCTAGTGGCTTGCCGCTTGCCGATGACCCCATGCCAGAGATTGGCCATTACGACTCGCAATCTGACCTGACAAMCAACCCATCGATCATTCAAGGACCCCTGGGTGGCGATGCTACTGGCAAAGACACATGGCCGTACACTCCCGATCCACCTGCCAATGGTGCAAATCAGGACAGTCGTTCGGCCAGAAGTGGCCAAGGCAACGGAGACGGGATCTTTACTCACACTATCGCTGGTGGTACTGCCTTCACCGCTGCGCAAACCATGCGCCAGACTGTTGGCGGACCCGACCGAGAAGCCACCCCCACCGGCACCGGCACCTCCCCTGCATTCCGCGATGRGGGGTATGTCACCGACGCTCGTACTCGCTCTGTTGGGGGCATCACACCACGTCCAGACCAGGTCTACGGCAAGAGGGACATGGAAGAGTATCAGCGTGCAATGGACGCTCAAGATCTGACCGGCGAAGATCCWTTCGCGGCCGCACAGCATACYCGTCAATTCAGCGGCAACTCGCACGGGATGGCCTCGCCATTGTACGACAGCGCGACTGGCAAGGGTCTCGATCGCATTCAATCTCACGACATTGTCGCCCTCATGGACCACCTGACCGTTCGCGACGCTCAGCGTAACGCTCGAGACACCGAGATTCTAGTTACTCTAGTGCGCAGTGCGGCGGAGATGCGTCACTCATTCGATGAGATCAAGAAATTCATCACTGAGCAAGACAAGCTTATCATGCAAACCACCGACCGCAATGCAGAGTACACGGCGCAGAGGGTTTTGAGTGGCCCACGCCCGCAGCCTCTTGGATCCCCCCGTACTCCACGCYGCGCCACAGAGTCCGAGGAGGATGTCCAGACCAAGCGCAAAGGTGTCCTTCGAAGAGCTCTCAAGGGCTTGACTGGCGGGAAGAGCGCAAAGGATCTCGCCAGAATTGAAAACATGCTCATGCAGGTATTGGACAACGTCGAAGATCTCAAGCATCAAAACGGCGGACGACCGCCACTTGAKCGTTCATATACCGAGGACAGCATGGACTCCTACGAAAAGCTTCGAGCCGCGCCGGATTCTGGCTATGAGCCCGAGGGTCAAGCTGGAACATCGAGCACTGCTAGCCATTCGGGACATTTCGCAGTCGCGCCGCGTGAAAAGCAACAGTTTCACTCTGGGTACGATGGTCGTCGTGGATCCGACAATCGCGTCAGTACCGTAGCGGAGGACGACGAAGATGAGCTAGAGCCTCATGAGCACCTCGTGTTGAGCCATCAGTTTGAAAACAACGAGCGTCTCCTGACCCCCACTCAGGAGCTCAATCGCACCCGTGGCGTATCGCCTAGTCAGACACCGCCTCAGCACGCTGCGACTTTCAACACACCTGATAAGCAGTCCAAACACAAGAGCAATAGYTCCTCTCTCTTCGGGGTTCCAGTTCCAAAGATTTCGCGGTGGTCAAAGACCACAGCATCGTCTGCTGCCCCAGATCCCGCTACCCTCGACAGCCCAAAGCAGGCCCGCAACTTGCGACCATCGTCCGAGGCATCAAGATCAGAATCAGCATTGGGGGAGTACGATGATGACCAGTACTCAATTGAGGATGACGACCGTCTGCGCTCGACCCAAAGCCTCGCGAGAGAGCAAGACCAAGCCGGAGCAGGCGACAGTCGCACCATGCGCAGCCAGGGGAGTCGACTCACCAGAACACCGTCTCCACTGATTCCAAGTGAAGCTTCTTCCAGCGGTCACTACGGTTATCATCATGACGAGCGAGTCGCGTCACCGGTGCAGGAGGATGAGGATGCGCTGTTCGACGACCCCAAATATCAGGCGCATCGGAACTCACTCCCTTTGCAGCATCCTCAGCCACGACAGGGTCCGACTCCGCGTCACCAGAATGCCTTGGAGTCCCAAGCGCAGACCTTTGACGATCACACCGGAACGAACTCCGATCTTTCACAGCGCACGGTCTCAGATTTCGACCCGGCAGTCTGGGGTTCCTCGGGAACGGCCGGCTTAGCACGCCACCGTCTGGCCCACGTTGAGCCGTTGAGTCCAGTGAGTATGAACAGTCCAAGCGGATACAGCAACCCCGTAAGCAGTAGAGATGGACCGCTGGTGCCACAGCAGCAGAAATCGTCTGTCCCTCCCAAGGTGGCCTACCAGCCCGAGTTGTCTCCGGAGCCAGAGTCCGAGCCGCAGTTCAGCAACAGTGGCTTCAGCAGAGAGGCGTATTCTTACAGTAGCCCTTACGGCTCCGGGCACTTGTTGGAGCCCATTCCGGAAGTCAGAATGTCGTTGGAGACGGATTCTGGGAGGGTCAGTAGTATCCAAGTCTATCAATGACTGACCAGAGTACTGACGTGTTGTTTTAGATTTCCCCAGGCGCATTCTCGTTGGGTTCGGCCAAAGCGGTCGACATGCGCTCACCGGGCAGGAAAATCACGGGTCCACGGCCGATGAGCGGTTCCTCGCCGAATACTGCGCGTATCGTGGAAAACTCGGGAAGCGGAACAGTCCGTCGCAAGCCGGTCCCAGGAAGCCAAGGTTTGTCCCCCTCCGCTGCGGGACCGTAGTGGTAACGTTGGTGTATTAAGCGTGATGCTGACATGTTCGCAGCCTCCCTCGACAGTTTTGATAGCGAGACATTCTGAGCTTATGCAAGCGATAGAGCGAGCATGCATCCAAGCAAAGGCGTTGGTTTATAGATGACAGACACCGATACMCACAGAGACGATACGACCCGAAACGCTGTTATGAAAGGTAGCAGGGAGCTCCATGGCGTTTTAAATACTTCGTTTTTGGGGGCCTCAACTCATGCCATTCACGGCGCTTCAATCAATGATTCAAGGTGCCTCCGTCAGTCTTCAACGTGCCTCAATCGGTCTTCAAGGCACCTCGATCAACGTCGGTCCTGGGCATGTGTGTATGGTCACCAAACTTGCCGACTGTAATGTGATCATTCTATCTGGGTCTCTCGATTTGTTCACGCGCCAATGTGCCGCCGTCAATGCAGTGAGTGCATCACATCTTGGCGTCTCTCACTGTCATGGCCGCATCGAGCAAGCAATGCGCGAAGGAAACTATGAGCATTCCGCTAGGTTCCATCGCGCTTGGATCGTCCCTCTCTATAGACAGTTCCGAGGCTCACACATGGCCATGTAGTTCGATTTGGAGGGTTTGATGAGTTCCAGATCCAAACGCATCGCGAAACTGAGTCAGGCAGCATGACTTGCAGTCATCTGTTCAGTGGCCGCCGAAGCTGCGGCATTTCATCCCGACCGTTGTGCCCGTGAAGACCGACAGGCWAGAGCAGCCGTGGGATCGCTGCCGCGGGGGATGACGATGCATACCTGTGCCCGGCRCCGCTTGTAAGTCCGTTGCGACGAATTACGAACGTGATCAGACATTTTCATTACGAGGGACGCTCGATTCCCAGACAACTCTCCGAACGCGGCGTGGTTGCTTGTGATCGATAAAAGCTGAGCAAATCGGCACTTGCGGGAAAGTGAAGTGGCTGAAGCTGCGGACTACTCTCCGTGAAATAACGCTTGTATATGCAAGCAGGATGTGTGCTGCCCCCGTGCGAATCACTGTGCTGCGTTTAGCCTCTGCGCCTTCAGAAGGCGAATGTGGACATCACCTGGCAGGCGAAGCTCGAAGTTGATGATCAGCAGAGCTCCATCCTTCCCTCCAAACCCGCGTTTGGGGGCGAGTCGATGATCCTAACGGCTCCATGTGGCACGATCGGGAGAGTTCGAGGAATGCTCTCCCACAATTAAATGGGAAGCTGGCGGTGCTGCGCGTTTGGCCCATAACTAGCCAACCAGGGGCAGCTATACGCTCCGAGAAGCGTAGCCATCCATCCACGAATTCGGCATATGTGCCCTGAACAAGGCCCAGGTGCAGCTCAGCGGGGAGTCTAGAACCTGCGTTTGTTTGAAGTCATCGCCCTTGGCCTGCTGCCACGACAGGCGGTGCCTGCATGTGCTGCTAGATCATCGTATGAGGTAAATGCTTCTTTCGGTGAAAATAGTGCCAGGCCAGATTACGGAGCGTCTCCGTGTCGTCTGAAGCGAGTGCATGCGAGGCTGATCTTCATGGATGATGAACGATCTGAGTTTGGTTTCCCAGCAGCCACGAGTGTGGCGTCGCGCATTCGGAATCAATCCCAATCATGAACCGCATCGGCGATGGGAAAAAAGTAGGTCCCAGGACTAGCCCGCGTCAACACATAACACGCGAGTTTCTCGACTGCCCTGACGTTGTTGCTGCTTCACCACTAACATAACTCCTGCTGCCACATGCACCTCGCATTTCGACAGGACCGCACAGCCCAGACAAGAAAACGTTACTGTCGTCGGCGCTCACACATGCTTGCCACCAGCCCTTGATCCATTGAATGTCCCATCCAGGACGGCCGTTACTGGCCGCTCGACTGTCTGACGAAGCATCAAAAGACGGCGGTTCGCCCGGCTCCGGTCGACAGCCCGGTGGTCGACCTAAGCGCACATTAATTGAGAGCGCGTGCTCCGCATGCCGACGCAGAAAGTCCAGAGTGAGCGCCATCTCATGCCACTCTCTCCCACATCGTTCGCATTGCTAATTGTTCCAACAGTGTGACGGCTTGAGGTGCGCAAACAACCCTCACCTGGACGCGTGCTTTTATGCTAACAAGTTTGCACAGGCCATCATGTTCCCGCTGCCAGAATCTAAGAACCGACTGTCAGTATGAGGCCGAGGAGGGCGAAAGTCGCTGGTCAGCCCTGCGGCGTCGCAATCAAGTCCTTGAAGCCGAGCGCGACCAGGTCCGCGAGTTACTCGCCTTTGTTCAAACCAGACCCGAGCCAGAAGCCATGGACATTTTCCAGCGAATGAGGCAAACTCACTACGATGATGTTTTAATACTGTTGCGTCAAATTAAAGAGAACACGATGGGCATGCCACCTGGTATGGGCCCTCTGCCGCCTCAAGGTACCGCCGCAGAGCGCCTTCCGCCAATTCAGACCATTCTCGACGTCCCAGGACGCGGCATGACACCTGTTCATCCACACCTCACCCATAGCCACTCTTTGAGTTCGGAAGACAGCAGAGGMTCGTCAGTGCCCGACCTCATCGGTGGCATGCCGCAGCATCGTCCACACTTGGAACCACTTGAGCCGAGCCTCCTTGCGCAGCACCAGCAGCATCAACAGCATCAGGGACATCAACATCAACAACAGCACCACATGATGCCTGGCCCGATCTCCTACAGCTCGGAGGAGAGCTCCAATTCGATTGGATCGACCTCTATGGACGCCCCTAGACCGTATCATACGCCCTGAGCATGCTATGTTCCCGGCTAACGGCAATCAGTTATGGCCACTGTGAGAGCTTTCTCGTCCGGCCACTTGAAATGTGATTCCCAAGCGAATTCCACAGGTCATCTTCACTTCAACCCCAGATCGAGAACGCCAAGCGCATCGTCCGGGTAACCCGCTGAACAGCTTCATTATCCTGTCACTAATAAATGCGACTCGCGYTGCCCACAGGCGATTCTGAGCTTGTTGCCGAATGAAAGCCGTTATTACACGGCATCTGGGAAAGTTGGATGTGCGTGCGGGTCGTGGAGGCTATGACGATGGGGAACTTCACTAGCCTCGGCGCCCGCTGCTTCAACCGCAGATCGAGTTGTGCCGGAGTGTTGATGGGATCTGTCTCGCTTATGCCCGTCACAACGTGTACATGATCATGGACTTGGCCCAGCCGTGTCTTGTGTCTGGGGTCGATGAGCAGTGAAGGCAGTGCAGCACAGCACCCACAATAGTACAAGACATTGCGAAAGTTATACAGGGTGCATTCGGTAGTATACAATAAGTACTTTCCGAGATCGCTCACGCAAATCTYTTTGACCGATCCGCCCATACATAAAACTCCATTACAGGTACAAGCAGGAACACAAGGAGATGTTTTGTGGCTGGGGTACAGGACGCCATGCCTGACAAGCCAGAGTCTGGATATGATTTTTCGCGGCGAAAAGCAGGCAGCGCTTTCTTTACACATTCTCAGGGCGGAGACTGCGAACGGCCTTGCCCGCTCTCCAGATCTCAAGGTTGCGAATCTCCTCCATCTCCTTCTCAAACGCCTGGCGGTAGTCCTTGCGGCCAGCGTACTCCATGGTGCGCTGAGTCTCCTTACCAGTCTTGACGCTGTCGTAGAGATCCTCAAACACAGGCTTGAGGGTCTCCTTGAAGCGCTTGCTCCAGTCAATGGCACCGCGACGGGCGGTGGTGGAGCAAGCCTCGTACATGTAGTCCATGCCGTTGGCACCAATCAGAGGGTAGAGCGATTGGGTCGCCTCCTCAACGGTCTCGTTGAAGGCCTCGGATGGGGAGTGGCCACGCTCCCGGAGGACCTCGTACTGGGCGAGGAACATGCCGTGAATACCACCCATCAAGCAACCACGCTCGCCGTACAAATCGCTGTAGACCTCCTTCTCAAACGTGGTCTTGTACATGTAGCCGGAGCCGACAGCCACACCGAGGGCAATGGCCTTCTCCTCAGCCTTGCCAGTCACATCTTGGAAGACGGCAACACTGCTGTTGATACCACGGCCTTCCTTGAAGAGAGTGCGGACGGTACGTCCGGAGCCCTTGGGGGCGACGAGAATGACATCGATATCGGAGGGGACCTCGACCTTGGTCTGGTCCTTGAAGACGGGCGAGAAACCGTGGGAGAAGTAAAGAGTCTGTCATGGGTTAGATGGTGCAGCAGGAGGGGGATGGAAACGGTACATACCTTGCCCTTGGTGAGCATTGGCTTGATGTGTGGCCAGGTCTCGCTCTGTGCAGCGTCGCTGAGCRGGTTCATGATGATGGTGCCCTTGTTAATGGCCTCGTCGATGTCGAAGAGGTTCTTGCCGGCGACCCAGCCGTCCTGCTCCGCGTCTTTCCAGCTGGCACCGCCTTTCCGCACGCCGATGATGACATTGAGGCCGTTATCGCGGAGGTTGAGGCCCTGCCCGTGACCCTGCGAGCCGTAGCCGATGAGGGCGAGAGTGTCGTTCTTGAAGTATTCCTAGGAATGGTGTCAGTGTGTCGACGGGGCATTGACAGTGCGCAACAGCATCACCTACCAAGAGCTTCTCACGCGGCCAGTCAGCGCGCTCGAAGACAACCTCCTTGTCGCCGGCGAAATCGACAGTCTTCTTGCCGCGGATCTGCTGCTGCACAAAGGAGGTCTTCTGTGCAGTTGCAACAGCTGGACGGCTGGCGTTCACGGCAGCAACAGCGAACAAGCGCTGCTGGACTGGAGCCCTCAGCTGTCGCATGGATGCGCGCAGCGCACGGGTGGCGTTTTTGCTTGCCATTGTGTATGTTGGGGGTTGTGGGGACGAGTGGAGAGATGGGGAGGAATAGTGTGGTGAAGCTGTCGGAATCTTGGAGATGACTGAATTCTAGGAGGTTTTTCCCAGAGCCCGATATCGCTTCTAGCCTTCACACCAGCCATTGTTATTGGGATCTATTTTCACAATGTCCGTGCTGTTCATGGATAATACTGCGTTTGTTTATACACGTACGTCGCTTGATGACAGGAGGTARGACTGGACAGTCTCCAGTCCTTACCTCGTCAGGCGACTATGAGGTGAGGTGAGCTCGTGAGCTTCATGTCGCTTAATTCGGGCATTCTTGGAGCAGCTCAATGCCATTCTCCGGCCTCGGCTGGCTCCGAATTTCGTTGGCGGTATGGAGATTGCCAAGGTCGATTCCCGTCCAAGGGTCCGTCCTATTGCGCTATCTTACCTACCTATCGTCCTCTTGAACTTGCTACGGCGGACCCGGGCACCGGTCCAGGCTCTTCGACGCATCACTACACACTACGATTCCAATCTTTGCTTGCTATCACAATTTACGATTGTTCAATCAAGGCCTTGGGGTAGCGGATGAACGGCAGTCGGCGGAGCTTCACTTTTGCTAGAGGTTACCTTRCTTCACCACTTTTGGGTCGTCACACGCAGACGTTTGAGCTCCGCTCTCAAATAGCATCAATTTCGTGTCGACCACCACCTCAATACYCCGTTTAACAACATCTTCACTTGCTCGCCGGGACAGAATTTCGAAGCACAAATGCGGCCACTACGGCATGTGCGACCACGACAATAGAGGTGGACACATGACTGTGAGCCTAGGTACTTTACGGCAAGAGACTGCGTTCGATTTGTGCAGGTGCGGATAGGTGGAAGCATTGAGTCAGACCCATTCATAGAGAAGATAATTCACCGTCCCAGAACTACTGACCATAGCTGCGATCCGCTTCTCACGCCTCTACACTGGGAACTCCCACAATTGGAGGTCACATTGACTTGGGGCCATTAAGGCTCTTTCGAGCGGTGCTATCCCGGCACCGGTGCACTCATGTCCATGAGTGCGGAGATCCCTACGCCCTCGGCGGCGTCAAAGCAACCCGTGTCAACACTCGATGTATATGCCAAGGCCTATGTACCGAAGAGTCTGAGGAGTGTMAACGATGCTCCAGCTCTCTCTGTTCCGTGAGTGGAAACGTTCGTATCTTCGAAACAAATTGCTGACTCTGGAGAGGTCGGCCGCGCCACCGTGGATTGACTTCCAAGCGTATGTCCAGTCCTTCTCGGGGGCCATCTTTATGACAGCATTTCCAAAACCTCAACAGAGCTTGTCAACCGGGCAATCCGCCCGGACTGCCTGCAGCGGCGAGTTGGGAATCTCTACATACTCCGACTTCTTTTGTGCCGCAATTTCCAAAGAAGAAAAGGCTCTCCAAGAAGAATGCAACGAACATGACCTATACCAGGTGCAAATACTCCGAGCTGGTCAAGATTCAGAGCACTCAACATACTTGCTGCACGTACCTGGGCTGCGTGAAATCAGCCTGCGAATCGAGGTAGGGGATGTGGTCCATTTGCGCCAGATCCGGCTTGACCGATTCGGAAACATCATTCCACAATTTGCTCTTCGTGACATGAACGGCCAGCCACTGCCTCATGCGGTGATCAGGCGGTATGATGCCGTTGTCTGGAACCTTGATCGTCGAAGAGAGATGGTCACCCTAAGGGTTGACAACTTACATCAATCAAGCCCGCTTTTCAACGCCCGTTTCACGGTGCAGTCTGATCGCCTGTACGCCTTACAAAGGGCCGTCAATGGAGCTCAGCAGCAAATGTCGTTAAGCGGCGAGGAGTGGATGAGGTCGATGTAAGACAGCATATCGTGCGCCTCGCATGTTCGTCTTGCACACAATGCTGACCTTATCCGTACAGGCTATTTCCCGATCCAAGTGATGGAGTTCTACAGGAGAAACTCAACCCTGGCAAGAGCTCCCTACCATTGCATGACCCTCTGCTCAACTACGAGCAAGGCAAAGCAATCTCAACGTTCTGTGGCGCTCACTACGGTCGAGTGCCGTATCTTGTGTCGGGTCCTCCTGGCACTGGGAAGACCAAAACAGTTGTTGAACTGGCAACACAGATTCTGGGTAGAAATTCCACTTCGCGGCTGCTGATTTGTGCCCCGTCCGACTCTGCTGCAGACACTTTGGTGCAAAGATTGAGTAAGTTGCTTGGTCCAAAAGATCTCTTCAGACTAAATTCTCCTGCAAGAGCGTTTCCAGAGGTCCCAGACTCGATTTTACCGTTTTGCTTCGTTGATGGGACCATCTTTTCCTTGCCACCTGCTCCCGACTTTCTGAGGAGAAGGGTTGTGGTTGTTACTTGCCACGATGCTGAAATTTTGCACCGTGCGCGGCTGAGCAACAAGGATCTCTTCTTCCTCGAGAGGAGCATGCACTCAGTACTGCATCCCGAAAGCACGCCTATCAATCCACCTCTACATTGGACTAGCTTGATCATCGATGAAGCTGCACAGGCGACAGAACCCGAGACGTTGATCCCACTCCTGGTAGTAGCGCCTCCAGAAGGGATCCTCCCGAAAGAGATGGCTTTACCCGCGGTGGCTTTGGTCGGCGATCAGCACCAACTCGGTCCACGCACAGCGTCCAAGGAGGCGATGCAGATCTCGCTATTCGAACGACTGCTTTCTCGTCCCTTGTACCGCGATCATCCTCTTGCAAGGCAGGTKCAAACTGGGGGTATCATGCAAAGGCTTACWCAAGAGATGCTTCCCGTTATTCGACCACCTTTCACAGATCTCATCCGCAACTATCGGTCTCATCCCGGAATTCTTGCAATACCGTCCTCGCTTTTCTACAACGACACACTTGAGCCGTCGGCAGCCAATGTTGACTCTTTGCTTACGTGGAGCGGGTTCGGTGGTCACAACGATATGCCAATCTTGTTCATCACGAACCAAGCGCCCGATGAGATCGAGCAGGACGGTGGCGGTTGGTACAACATCGGCGAGGCCAGACAAGCTTTACAGTGTGCCCGTTCTTTCCTGGAAGAGGGTCTGCTYCAACAGCACGAAATCTGCATTATGTCTCCATTTCGAGCCCAGGTTCGGGTGCTACGGCTTCAGGCAAGAGACCATTCTATGCGATTGAATCGCGTGAACATAGGTCCATTAGAAGCATACCAGGGACTCGAGTTCAAGCTGGTCATCGTCTGCACCACTCGCACTCGCGACCGCTTCATCGATCAGGACCTTGCACGCGGACTGGGCGTCATTTACGAGCCTCGCAGATTTAATGTCGCATTGACACGTGCTATGTCAGGGCTGGTCGTTATAGGCAATCCGGACGTGTTGTCGCAGGATGAGAATTGGGCCTCCTTCATGGCTTTCTGCCGTAGAAATGGTGCTTGGAAGGGGGTTGAGGGCGATGAATGGCACACACCTCATAGCCATAAGATCAAGATGTCGAGACTGGAGAATCAGATCAAGTACCGGATGAAAGTCGAGGCAGAGATAGAGGATGGAGCTGGTGGCCTGAATGGACGGATCCGGAGACTTGGCTTGATGGRCAGCGAGGATGATAACAGGTATGTCTCTCTCGGATGGAACATGTTTCCGGTATCGTTGGCAACGGCGTACACACTTGGAACACCTTTACACGAGGCATGTTTGCTAACTTTGGTCCCCCCTAGGTACGAATCCGGGGTGCTGGCTGAGCAGACCTTGAAGGTACAACAGTACGAGCAAGATGAGCACGATAATGTGACGGAGTACAGCGCAGCTGAGGATGCGAGTAACGCACTTTGGGGTGTTGATCCAGAGACAGAAGCTTCCTCGACCGACGCGGAGGGACTACGCTAGACCCACATGAAAATATCCCGCGAGGTGTAATCCGACCGGGACGCTTACATGCATCGGTCGTTTCTCGGTCGTTGCTTTGACGGCAAAGTGTGCGAGTTCATGACCCGGTTTGACGACGTCAATGTTGGGAACAGGTGTGGTCAGGCTGACTGCTCCGATTTCCAGCTTCCTAATTAGGAAGGTCTTGGCATTTTGTCAATGCAGAGTCAAGAACAGGGTCATAGCCAWGATACATAAGTCGTGATACGTAGGGCATGTGAAGCGATGGGTCTAAGTTGGACCTCAAGAAACTCCATGGGGTCCCCTCGAGCCTTGCTCTTCAAGCCCAATATGCGCTACTTTGGTTCTACCCTTTTGCTCTGTCAAGCCGTTCATGGTTATCGATAGATCACTAAACTTTGGTCTTGAGTGTGATGAATCACGGGCATGCTTAGTGCGCCAGCCATTGTCCTCTGCCGTTTTGTAGATTTTGTGAAGCCGATGAAGCCCATCCTTGTGAGTGGGAGTTCCTCGATCCAGTTGCTGCAATAGAACAAGCGAATGACAGCAATTGGGTGCGGATCCCTTCTCCGCTTGCGACACTCCAATTTGAGGCACTGCTCAGGTAACTAGTGAGCGATTTTGGTCATCTACTACATTCTACCACAGTTCAAACCCAGGCGGATGCATGAGAGTGGTCTGGTGGCCGTGACATGCTACCCCAACCCTAACCCTGGCAATCAACATACACTCCCGCGGAGAGATGGGAGTCACTGTGTCGGGGAATGATGCGCAAGAGGACACTCCAACCGAGTCAAATTGTTATGTACAATTAAGACTGCGTACCGAATATATGTTTTGTCGGCAAGGAATCGAAGCGCCTAAGATGTACAGTAAGGTAGGTGCCTTTCGGTGGGTACGGACTGCGCTCCGATCCATGACCACAAGGGGTCCAAATCCAAACTTACTTTTTTGTTTGGTCGCCTCTCGCAAAATGTAGAGACGAATTCCTCCATCTTCATCTTCAGTTCATCCCATTCTCTCTCCCCCTCTCAAATTGTATCAAAATCAGCGGCTTCATCCATCAATCGATCTATCAACGATAGCCGCAATGATGCGCCGCGCATTTGCGAGATGTCTGTCGCTTTCCACCTCTTCTCCCCTAAACCGCGCCCTGCAATCCCGCACCACATCACAGTCGCTACGGATAGCGGCGCAACCCTCATATCCCGCAACGATTCGCAGCATACACCAGTCATCGCTTCTTCGACAGACGTCCGAAGCGTACAGCAGTACCGACGCCGACCGCGATGCGCCCATCACCAAATTTGCCGAGCTGGAGACGCGCAAGATCATCCACCCCAATGTCGTGCGCACCCTGACACAGGACATGGGCCTCGAGACAATGACCGAGGTGCAGGCTGCCACCATCAACGAGGCGCTGAAAGGTACCGATGTCGTGGCGCAAGCAAAGACCGGCACGGGTAAAACGATGGCGTTTCTGCTGCCAATGCTACAGAACATCATCAATCGCGACCCGCATCTCGCAGACCGTGCTCACGGCCGTCGCGGCCCTCGTACCACCGCTGATGATATCCGAGGCCTGATCATCTCCCCAACACGTGAGCTGGCCGAGCAAATCGCCGCCGAGGCCAAGAGGCTCACGCGTAACACGGGTGTCATTGTGCAGGTAGCAGTGGGTGGCACGCAGAAGAGTGCGGGCTTGCGTGCGATTCAGCGCGAGGGCTGTCATCTGCTAGTCGGTACACCCGGCCGCCTGAAGGATATTCTTTCCGACTCATACACTCGCGTGGAAGCCCCCGACCTCTCCGCCCTAGTCTTCGATGAGGCCGATCGACTACTCGACCAAGGTTTCTGGCCTGAGATCCAGGAGATCATGCGGCTCCTTCCCACCTCTGCCGAAAAGGATCGTCAGACCATGATGTTTTCCGCCACACTGTCCAGGGAGGTCCAATCGCTTGTACGCACCACTCTCAAGCCTGGCTTCCAATTCGTCAAGTGCGTTCGTGATGATGAAGAGCCAACCCACAACCGCGTCCCACAAAATGTTGTTACAGTCAACGGATTCGAGAATGCCTTGCCCACATTGGTTGAGATTTGCCAGCGTGGTGTTGAGGCAGCGCAACAACCTGGTGGTAAGCCTTTCAAGGCAATTGTATACTTCAATGCTACTGCAGAGGTCGCCCTTGCTGCATCCGCGCTACAGGCTCTGCGCTCCACTTCCGGCCACGGTCATCCATGGGCGCCAGCTCGCATTATCGAGATCCACGCCAAGCTAGGGCAATCTTACCGCACTCGTGCTGCTGAGGACTTCCGGAGAGCAGAGTCTGGAGTTCTGCTCTCTTCAGATGTCACCGCGCGTGGTATGGATTTCCCCAATGTTACTCACGTCATCCAAGTCGGTCTCCCGTCCAGCCGCGAGCAGTACATTCATCGTATCGGACGTACCGCTCGTGCAGGAAAGGAAGGCGAGGGTTGGCTTATTCTTAACGCTATTGAGGCGCAGGAATCACGTCACAGACTCCGTGATCTCCCTCTCAAGCCGAACCAAGATTTGGAGATTCCTCGTCTAGATCTCACCAAAGCTGCAGATGTCCCTGTCAAAGCTGGCAGAATCCTCGGCATGTACCAAGCTGCTATCAAGACCGTGTCAATGGGCGAGAAGGCAAAGGTGTACATGGCTCAGTTGGGTATATACTCATGGATGCCGCAGAAGCAGCAGCTCATCAATGCCATGAACAATCTCTCGAGATATGGATGGGGACTCACAGACCCGCCGAAAATTGCGCCTGGTTTGGCATCGAAGTTGAGAATTAACCGCTGCGAGGGCGTCAACATTGGAAGCGACAACTTTGGTGGCGATCGAGACGGAGGCCGTGGATTTGGTGGACGCGAGGGTGGATTTGGTGGTCGTGGAGGCGGCAGCTTCGGTGGTCGTGATGGGTTCAGCCGTGCAGGCGGCCGAGGCGGCTTTGGAGATCGCGGCGGCGCTCCCCGCGAGCGTGGAGGCTTCGGAGGTCGTGAGGACAGCTACGGAGGCCATGGAGACAGCTATGGAGGCCGTGGAGGTGGTAGCCGGGGAGGGTATGGCGGTGGACGTCCTTCATACGGAGGTCGCGAGGATGGTGKMGATCKMGGKGGTCGYCRKATYAWYRAWMMAWWWRCCATGTGAGCAAGAGAAAACATGGTGATGAACAGAAAGGGAGAGGGTGGAAAATTTGTACAGATATGTGTGTTGAAGGAAAGGAACCGGACGTGGGATTGGGGTTGTTTGCTCAATGCATGGCGGCGGCGCACATGGCCTGCGTGCCTAAATTGCTGGATTGACACCATTGTAAAAGTAGTTGTTGCTGTTTCCTGAGGCATACATCATGTCTAGGACATGATAATGAGCCAAATCTCCAATCAAGATACCCATTACATTTTAGCTTTGGATGATGGTCTCGTATTCGATACAGTGCCTCTGTGAGATGGTTTCTTTAGCTCAACCTGCAATGCTCAAGCGTAGAATATAGCCTTGTCTTCACTGACCAGACGCGTTCTTTGTCGTCTCGTCCTCCGCCACATAGCCGAGCCCGGGGATAGGTAACCTTGGGATCCACTTTTGCACCCACCTCACCTCCCGGCTAGTGCGGACGACAGCTACGAATCAAACATATAATACAAAGCTCCCCGCAAAACACATAGATGTCTCTACGTCCTTTATTATCACGGCTTCCCACCTGTTTYAAGACAACACAAGCAAGACCCCACTTTCACAACTTCAACACCATCCCCATCACGAAAAGAACAATGGCATTGACATCATGGGACCGTCTGATCCGCTACGTGTCCGCGAAAGATGGCAAGATTCGCTATGGCGAGCCCATAGTCTCCGAGGAAAAACCCGACATCGATGCACTTGCCTTGAACGGAGATTTGAAAGTCAAAATCTTGGAGGGCGCCGGTTTCGTTGAAGCAAAGCACACCGGCGAAGAAGATTCCGTCAAGCAGCTCCTCGGCCCTCTCACTCCAGAAGACGTTCCGATTGTGAGATGCATAGGTTTAAACTACAAAACACACAGTAAGCTTCGATGACATCCCTTCCCACCCACACACACTCCAAAATTCATCATCCACTTACATGAAAATGCAGTCCTTGAAACAGGCTTCGACCTCCCAGCAAACCCCACCCTCTTCATCAAATCCTCCCAAACAGTCTCCAACACTCGCTCTCCCGTTCCAATCCCCAAACTAGGCCAGACTCACTGTGATTACGAAGGCGAACTAACAATCGTCATCGGAGCCGATGCCAAGAACGTCTCCGAAGCAGATGCTCTTAATTATGTTGCGGGCTACGTCACGGGAAATGATGTCTCCTGTCGTGATTGGCAGATGGATAAAGACAAGGCGGGCATGATGCCACAGTGGTGCTTTTCCAAGTCTTTTGACAAGTATGCTCCTCTCGGCCCGGCGATTGTCTCGCCCAAGTTGTTGGGTGATGCCAGTGGATTGAGATTGAGGACTTTGGTCAATGGGGAGGAGAGGCAGAATGTCGGTACTGCGGATCTGTGTTTTGGTGTGAGGAAGTTGGTGAGCTTTTTGTCTACTGGACAGACTTTGAAGAAAGGGAGTCTGATCATGACGGGAACGCCTGGTGGAGTAGGACTTGGAATGAAGCCGGCCAAGTTTTTGAAGGACGGCGATGAGGTTGTGGTGGACATCGAGGGAATTGGCAAGGTTGTGAATGTAATGAAGTTTGAGTAGACTATAGATCTAACACATCGATGCTGATCTCCTACTGTTCCTCGTGATCAAATTACCCTGCCAATCCTCCTGCGTTTCGATGCTGTCCAAATCGGCCAAGTACCAAACCWCTCGTCTTCAATCCTAAAATCTGCGCTCAACGCAAATACCTCTCAAACCGACCTTCCCTCGGAGRCGTGACATCTAGAGTCCCCTCCTCCCTTCGCGCCATCCAAGTGCGCCGATCTGCGTCCAAGCCTGCCAAACTACCCTCAACATCGTTCTCGCTTGTTTCGCTGCTCCTCAAATCTCCACGAACATTCGAGCCCCATCGATCACCGGGTCTGCTCACAATTCCAGGCCTACTCACAATCCCAGGTCTGCCCGGCATGGCCGCACCATCGGCCAAGCTCGGTGGGGTACCAGTAGGATATGTGTATGGACGATGGGGGCGTCTCTCTGGAATGACAGGCGAGAACAAACCTCCCGCAACGGCACCGACTTCCTGTCTGGACATTGTCGTTGCTCGAGTGCGACTCGGCCTAGCAGATACGTTTACGTCTGCTGGTGTCTGAGGCTGAGTGCGTGGGGATTTGCGATCGTCATAGACATGAACTCTGGGAGTAACAGCGCTTTGTGCTTTCGTAAGGCTGGACTCTGATCTGGGAGAGTATGTGACTGAGGATGTTGAAGCTGGCGTCGAAGGAAATGCTACTGGTGTCGGAGCATGAAAATTTGGCGAGCAGGCAATAGTTGGTGAAGGAGACGGCAGATTTGGAGATGGAAGAGCCAGGGACAATGCCACGGCATCCTCTTCGGAGAAGGAAGAGTCATTAGCAGCCTTCAGCGGGTGTCTTCCAGAGTCGCCGTACTCTAGCTTCTGCGTGGTGGACTGCTCATCAGGATTATCGTGCTGAAAAATGTCGCCCGAAAGCAAAGATATTCTGGTATGGCTTCCAGGAGGTCGTTGGAAAGATCTTCCAACCGATCTGGGTCGGCCATCGGCTGGAGACAAGCGGCTGAAGCTCAGTAGCAGTTCATCCAGAGGCGATCCTCTGCTGAGCAAAGACTCCTCGAAAGGCATATGACCTAATTGGTGGGCGCGGCTGTCTGATGAACCACTGATACCACTTGCAGCGCTCACCACACTCGGTATGCGGTACCCGTCTCGATGAGAAGCAACATATCGATTCCACGAAGGTGAGCTACCACTGCTGTGAGCAAGTGGAGCTGGTGACGTCGCCCGAAACAGGTTCGGTGTTGAATGGCTTGTTGACGAAGGAGCTGCGGGCGACGCACGCATATCATTTGAGACGTCTGGTATGATTAGACTTGATGATTTGCTTTGTGTACTGGAGCGGCGCTGTTCGTTACCCGAACGTATGGGCATTGGTATGGTCGTTCGTTGGCAGTCGACGAGGTGCTGCTGTGAGCTTCTTCGCCGCGGGAAGACAACCTGTCTCTGGGTTCCACTACTGCGCCTAGGTGCGGGAATTGAGCTTGGGGGGTGAAGTGCTGGGTATCTTTCCCCGACTGTAGATATGGCAGAAAGGCTTGCATCTTGATCGCCCGTGTGGCTTCTACGACGATATTGGATAGGTGAGGGCCGGGTGGCCGATGTGTTGTTCGTCGTGGAGCTGTAGCTAATCTGTCGACGGTATCCCTGCTGTGAATTACGTTCGAAGGAGGAGCGGACGCGGAGGTTGGAGGTGCTTTGAGTACTTGCTGTTCGTGCTCCTTGTCCGGACTGTTGTGACATACTAGAGCCTCCTAGTGTGTTCTCTTCCGAACCACGTGTGCCAGAGCCGAACCGCATTCGAGGAACGAAGGCTGGTGCTCCAGGATTAAGATTAGCAGGAAGTGCAGGACGTTCAGTGGTGGCCAGAACAGGGTAAGAGGGAGCACGCCTGGCAGTGCCTCCAAAATCGGGCTGTAGGTAATGGCTTCGTGGGTTCGGTGCGTTGTGCGCACGCCAAAGATGCAGATGCTGCGCTTCGATATAAGCCTGAATGGAAGCTGGATCTTCATACAGTACAAAGTCATCGCGCTGAGAAGACTGTCTTGTGGATCTGGAGGTCAAGTTGGCAGCTGCCATCTCCCGCGAGGACCGCTGTATGGCCAGTGGCCGCAAACGTCTCTCACTAATGCCGTCTAGTGCTGAAGGAGACAGACTCCCGCCGCGAGTGGGTATAGATCCATCTCGTCTCTGCGTTCGAAATCCAGGCGACATTCTGGGAACCGGCTGCTGCTCGGCAGGCACACTACTGGACCTTCCAGTTGCATTGTTATCGTCATCGTAATCACTGGTGTGGATGATTGGGGGCGACAAGAAAGTGCGTCCTGGATGAGTGTAGATGTAGTCTGTTTCGCTTCGAGATTCGTTGCAGATCAATGCTCTTGACGAGCCAGAGAGCGCTTGATTCCGGGCTGAATTGTCATCTACTCGGACAACGCTGTGTCTTATCGCTCGGCTTGGACCAGCGCTCAAGCGTGGTTTGGTTGTGTTGACTTTCGCCAGTCTGGCAGCTTCCTGCTTTGCAGCGGATCGTCGCTCAAAGCCAGCTATATCGGAGTTTGTAAGGTTGATTCGTGAGGGTGGACAGTGGAGCATTCTGACTGAACGAGAAGGGAATCTAGGACAAAAGCGCGGTACAAAGGTGTAATGCAAGGTCAAAACAAAAACATGTAAACATGCGAAGCTACGAATGAGCGTGATGAGAAAACAAGCAGGTCAGACTGCTTGAAAAGTGGAAAGCGACTCCTGCTTCAACATTTCCAGACCAACAAAGCCAACGCAAGACCTACCATCGTCGTGGCCTCTCGGTATCACGGGGCATTTTCAACCAACGTATCGCTGTCTCTCTTCACAAAGCAGTCTGAACGTCAACTCGTCCTTGAGGACCTAAGGACTGTCTGTTCCGCGACACCACGAATTGATACGATCAGCATCCTGCAGAGCGGCAAGTGTGGCATCAAAATGTATGATTGGGCTGCGATATCGGTTGCGAACATCGCAGTGGGTTCTTACTTGAGGAAGAAGAACGGCTGCTCAGAAACGTTCGCGATGGATTTCGGCGAGCTCTTCATATGCAACCATAAGCTTGTCATGTGGAAGCTTCATCTTGTTGAAGCACCGGATGTAACCAAGCCATGCTGTCGTCCGTCTCGCAAAGGCACCATCAGCCATTTCGTTCGCTTGTAGGGCTGTTGCAAATACACGGTGGTCGACGGCGGAGGCTCGTCGACTGTTGTCTGTGGCTAGAGGGCAGCCCACAGAGTTGCATGGCGGAAAGTGACACGTGAATGCGTATTGGGTTTTGAGCTATGCAAGACGGCGCGCAACAAATCGTCTGGGTCGTTCAGGTAAGATACCATGATCTCGGCGCCCTGAAGAATGTCTCTTAGGACATGCAGTGTTCCAACCTGGGTTTGGCKGTTCCACGCCACGAACGCGTTTAGACGACAAGRATGGCTGATGCGGGAGAGATTGGCGTAGACACGATGTACACAACTCTTGACACCTTTGAGGTCACTTCATCGTCATAAGCGTCAAATCACACCTTAGCCTCCAAGGTCTGGTTTGCTGCTGGACTCCAGAGCGCCAGGTTAGCCGTACGACGAGCGACGGGTAGACTGTGAATGAAGCCTTGGAGGGCAGAGATCCGGGTGTACGGAGCGGCTGGATCTAGGAACGTTGCGGTGTTGTAAAGTTGGGTCGGCGTAGATGAAAAGGTCATCAAAGGCGCCAGATGTGAGACCTACGACATGCGGTATGGGAGGGCGTGCGTCATTCTTGAGCAGTCCGAGGTTCGTATGAAGGAATGGCTGTTCAGCTCAATGWTAGCAACATATGTTTGCTTGAGTGCAGTCATATATGGCTAGGAGCATCATTCGCGTCGTCGGAAACCCCGCCATGGAGTTTCTCGCAGGAAACCGATTGGGATGACCTTCGCCGGGCCGTCTTCTGCTTCGCATGAGTGTAAACTCAAGCGAGTTTGTCTCTTTTCATCACAGGGCGATGTGCCGGCCGTGAAATTGGGCGCTCAGACCCATCTATTTGTGATGGGCAGGGGCACGTTCGTTCATGACGGCAATGCCATGACTCAAGACACCGAGTGCTTCAGTTCGCTCTGCAGGAACCGAGCGAATGATAGATGCAGGTACGGCTCGGCTGGAGGGGGTTGTGATCGAGGTTGCTGATGTAGGTAGGTATTAATCACCACATCTGCACACGCGGCCATGTGCGTCGATACATGTAAAGTAAGGTAGGTATCTTTGTGAGCAGTGGAGGAAATTGGAGGCCTAGTCTGACATCTCAGCACAGCACAGCTCGTGGGTGACGTTGGCATGGTGGCATGCTTTGGCAATCTGCACTGGTTCTTCGGGATGGTCACGGTCATGGTCATGTCGCTTTGTGAATTGGCGAAAGATAAGTAGCGTCCAGAGTGGAAACAGTTTGCAACTTGTAGAGTAAAGTATTCTAGTTCTACGTGCACTTCTCGACGTCATACCGCACCAACCCAAGTAGCTAACCTAACACCACCTCCTGTATGTGGAAGACGAGACTACGCGCACGCATCGTCCAATGCACACGTCGTACAGGCGTCCGCGAACACTTGATCATCGCGAGATCCAGCTAAATTGACGCCTTCACCACCACCCGTCGCCGTCCGATCCCCCACCCCGACTGGAGGCTCTTCACCGCTGTGCACGCGGTACGGAATGCCGTACATTACTGCTCGCGCTCCCCCTCCACCACGATGAGTGCCGGCGACCTCAGTCTGGGCCCGCTGCGCATCGCCAACCCTTCGCCGACCTCCTCCCCGCCGCCGCCGACATCGTCGAATTCGGACGAGAGCAACAGCACCGTCACGGCAAACCCCGCCCGCCGACCCGCAGAGCTCCTGCCGACCCTCTCGCATACGTCCATTGGCGGCGGCAGCAACGATAACAGCAGCCTCGGCTTCGACCCGGACACCTACCACGTGCAGACTACCGACATCCCACTGGCTTCCTCGCCGGCGTCACGCTCGCCCGCTCAACAGCAGCACGAAATCCAAGAACGGCAGCTGAATCACCGCCGGAGCATGCCACTGGCGCAACAGGCGCAACAGAATGTGTTGTACTCCACCCAGTCCGGTAGCTACAGCCCGCAGACCCGTAAACCGAGTGCGCAGAGCGGTGGACCGGGCTCACGCACAAGCGGCATGTACACCCAACAGCACAATTCCTCTGCAGGCTCTGGCATCTCCACACAGGGCTCATACAGATACCGAGACGATGTCGGGCTGAGCGATCCCACTGGTGGCTTGTCTCGCAGTGGGTCGCGCAGTGCACGCCAGATGGTGGATTCCGTGCCACATCGGGAATCCAGCAGGAGTTACAGGCAGCCAAGCGCAGTCACCAATAACGGCAATGGTACTGCTCCCCAGCGAGCTTTCTCACAGAGGGTTAGGGTGCCCACCACCGGCTCAAGCGCAAAGGCAGGGGGCTACGATGGTTCGGAAGCGCAGTATACCGATGCACCGCGCATGCCGGCCACCGCGGCGGAATGGAGAGATCGTGGAGCTGCCACGGGCATGGTACGCGAAAAGGATGCATCTGGCCAGTCGCACACGCGTCAGGTCAAAAAGGGCGTGCACGACTTCACGTTTGGGCGTTTGTTAGGTGAAGGCTCGTATTCCCTGGTTACGGCAGCTGTCGACCGGACGTCTCTAACCGAGTACGCCGTCAAGGTCCTGGACAAGAGGCACATCATCAAGGAGAAGAAGGTCAAGTACGTGAACATTGAGCGAGATACTCTCAACAGATTAACGGAACATCCTGGGATCGTTCGCCTGTACTACACATTCCAGGACGAGCGGTCATTGTACTTTGTTTTGGACCTGGCTCCAGGAGGAGAACTCTTGGGCACGCTGAAAAAGCTGGGCTCATTCGATGTCGAATGCACACAGTTCTACGCGGCCCAGATTCTGGATAGCATAGCATACATGCACGGTCGAGGTGTAATCCACCGAGATTTGAAACCGGAGAATGTTCTCCTGGACGAGAAGAGGCATGTGAAGATTACCGATTTTGGCACGGCCAAGATCCTACCCGATCCGCGAACCACGCCGAACAGGAGTCTGGCGGAAGATGCTGGAAGTCCCACCAACGGCGACGATGGGGGAAATGACAAGGCAAATTCTTTCGTAGGGACTGCAGAGTACGTTAGCCCGGAGCTGCYCCGCGATAAGAATGCGTGCAAAGCGTCTGACCTGTGGGCATTCGGATGCATCGTTTACCAATTGCTGGCAGGGAGGCCTCCCTTCAAAGCTGCAAATGAGTATCTCACCTTTCAGAAGATTCTCAGTCTGGACTACCAATTTCCCAACGGCTTTCCTGAGCTAGCGAAGGATTTGGTGGAGCGCTTGTTGGTACTAGATCCCGCTGCTCGACTGCCCGTTGAACACATCAGAAACCACAGGTTCTTTGAAGGCATCAAGTGGGGCAAGAGTTTGTGGGTTCAGCCAGCACCAATGCTCAAACCATGGGTTCCTCCCCCCTCGGCACCTATAAGGCTCAACGGGACAAGTCGAAGTCAAAGCAACGGTAACGGTGGTAAGCTTGCAAACATGGCAGCTGCTACGGCGATGCAAGCACAGGGCGCGACGTCGCAGTCGCAGTCGCAGCCGCAGCCGCAGCCGCATGTCCAACCGCAGTATTCATCTCAACCTGACCCTCAAACGGCCGCGCAGTCTAGACGGCCGCAGCTCATGAATGTCACCGAGTTGGCACCACCAAGTCAACTGGATATCGAATGGGCTCCCGTAATGAAGAACAACAACGAGCGCATACTCAAACTTGGCAATCTTGTCGTTACAACCTCCTCTCAAGCGAACAGTCCTACCGGAAAGAACGGTGAACCTTCCACGCCGCAGGAAAAGCCAAAGTTTGCTCGCTTCTTCAGCGGCAACGTCAACAAGAAACGCGAGAGGCTGATTTTGATCACCAGCTGTGCGAGGCTGGTCGTTGCTGCAACTGGTGGCAATGAGAAGAAAGCAAAGATGGAGATCAACTTGGCAGCGCCTGGTGCAACATGGCAGAGTTTTGTCGATTCGAAAGGGTTGACATACTGGTGTTTCGACACGGTCAGTCAATGTCTCAAGAAGCAGCTCTATGTACCTCTTTACTGACCCTGACGCAGCGAGACAAACATTATATCTTTGAAGATCCACGCGCGACTACCTCTGACCCCCAAGGCAGCAAGTACAGCACTCAAGAGTGGCTAGATGCAGTGGAGCAAGCTCGCGAGGTCGCCATGGCCACCTCACTTGCCGACAGTTACTCGGGCGAAGCAATGATGAACGACATGAGCCATGCTGAGGGGACCGGCCTGAGTAGCCCATCCGACTCCATGGGGGGTGATGCTGCTATGCCCCTGTCTGGACCGAGCGCTGGTGAACGACATATGCTCCGCCACACCTTACGCAGGAACACCGACGATGAGAGTCTCAAGGGGAGGAGGCGCTTCAGCAAGCGCAATTCCAAGAGTGGGTTGGCGGCAGTGTTTTAGGAATACATGGCTGCTGAACGCTTGAACCCCACGAGGCTGAAGCATGAGGGACCACCGGGCTGAAAAACAAAGGCCAACGGCTGACATGCACAATCGCAAACCTCCCCGCCATCCACCACCATGTGCCGGAGAAGGGTCAGATATGGTGTACGAGGCGAGATCGTGCGTAACCACATATGCTCCGGTGTTCTCGCCGCCGAATCATAAGGACCCACATACCAACACGACTTTCTCCCATACAGTTGTCAAAATATCATTCAAAATCTCACCGCCACCGTGTGCATACATTGTTACTCGTGGGCAGAACGCGGTTGCYTGAGGAGACCTGCCGAATTCCTTCCAGAACTGGCTACGCAAGATATGGRAATGGTATGCTTCCCTAAAGTACCACGGGATCTTGAAAGCGATTGCAGCGAGCAAGCGTGTTTTATGAACACTACGTATTTGCCTTTCTTATTTTTCGATTCCTTCCCCGCGCTATTCTCCTTTGTGTTACTTGGTTGTACGGACACATTTCTCAAGTGGAATGCATGGGTGCGACTTTGAGACTTTGCATAAGTGCCGCAGCGGCAATCCCAATGGTGTAGACCATCGACGAAGTCCGTAAGAGCGCGGGCGGAGAGATTGATACATCGTATTGTGCAGGAACTAGGAGGGCGGGTCAGAAGATGCAGATATTATATGGATACCTGCCAAAGAGTCAGTGGGGCGACAGCGGAACCTGTCTGTTCTGCGGGCATTTCCTTCCTGTCGCAAATCAGACGGATACTTTTATGCATCTTCCACGTTTGACTGCTGCTCGCACTCGCCACGAGGCTTCCAAGGTCTTTTCGGCCTTGCGGAAACGTCTGCTAGGGACATTCTGTTGAGGTCGTCGGTCACTTGTTCGCATTCTGACAATCCCGTGCCTTGCTTGCACATCCACAGCTCACAAGTGGCTGGTTCAGGCGGATGCTGTGCATTCACAATGCCTGCTTCGACCGAGAGTCGCCGGACTGCCCTTTCCGACTCTTGACCGAATGTTTGTGCATGACTTTTGGTTCTAATGCACGTCTAGGTCTTTTCCGACGGTTCGGGAACGATGCGTTGGCTTTCGGCATCCCTGTCGACCATGCTGTCAAAGCCGGAAGCGAAAAGGAAAATGTGATGGAAGTCGTCGATCCGGCCTCCTCGTTACGGCAATCGCGTTTTCGCCGTCAACTCTCATGCCGGGATCATGGGTCTAGCATTGGAGTGTCGTTCACCGTTCGTATTTTGCCTTCCAGAACAGCGGCCGCCGCGTGGACTCGACATTGTCCGTGGTTCTGCCAGTCGCCCTGCAGTACAGCCTGCAGACTAGGTACTGCCTCCACCCCACTTCACCCGTGCAGTGCGACACACCGCTGCCGTTGTAGAACGACGACGCTGCTCATCAGTACTTCACAACTTCGCATCTGACAGTGTGTTTGAGCGAAATGCAAATGATATGTACCTTGTCATCACACAGCAGGCACCTCCGCTGGCCAAGTCAGCAGCATCGACATGACGACGAGCCGCAATGGCAACATTGCCAGCGTGAGCCAGACTCGCACCAGCATCGTTCAGCTGACGCCGCCTGCCCCTGCAGTGGCGCCAGTGGGAGCAATGAATGAGAAGGTCAAGAAGCTCGTTTTGGGGCATCTTCATTGTCAAGTATAGCGCTGTCGAACAAATGTTGTACCGCAGGTCGCGGCCGTTGACGAGCCGTGGACGATACAAGCATCTGTGCTGCTGTGCCGTTGATGCGTCTGCATTCAAGGCTATTAGTTCTATTGGTGGAGCTGACGAAGCCACGTCTGATCTCGTCCTCCTATCGCAACCAGCGACTTGTCTATACTGTTCACCAACACCACTTTACAAACCCCCTAAGCATCTAGTCAGACTTCTACCGACGTGCAAAAAAATGACAGGCAGACATGAAGGCGCCACCTCGCGTGCAAGCGCCATCGTGGCAGTGGGGGCCGTCCAAGCCAAGTGACAACCTCGTCCAGACGCGCATGCACGCCAAATGAGATGCCATAGGTCGCACAAACACGGGCAGCGAGAGAGTTGCACCCAGCTGGTCGGGTCCGAAAGGTCGTACAAGGCGTCTGCTGGCCTCCCAACGTGCGACGCTCCACCAATACAATTTTCTCTTGTCCACACTCGACCTCACTGGGCGCTCGATCTCCTCCATCCCAGACGTTGCTTGCATGGCGGAATCCCTTCCAGACGAGCTATCGATGKACTCTCGCTTGTACACCGCGAGTAGTGCAGCTGCGTCCTTCTCCTTCTCCTGCGTCCGATCTCTGGTTGTCTATCCGGTAAACACAATCTTTTCTTCTTCAAAATATGTACATTCACAACAACGAAAAACTGCGCCCATAATAGCATAACATTAATACCAACTCAACGACCCGTATCATCACACCACCCCCGGCTGATCGACATGGCCGCTCGTACTTTTGCGCAGGTACCTCCAACAGCCGCAACAATTGCTTTGAATGCCTACATCTATGGCTACGGCGGTCATTCACTAGTCACGCCTCACCAGGCATTGAAACAGAAATGGTGGACTGACGAGCGCATCGACGCGCGAATTACCCGCGCATTCGTGATATCCAAACTCCGTGGCGAAGAGAGGGAATTCTTGGATCGACCGCTTGCCTTTGGAGAAGGATTAACGGACGACACATACATGGAATGGATACTGGACCGTGCAAAACGACTCTTCCTGATCCTGACCCAGATAGGCGTGCCGGACCAAATCTTTGGCTGTATAGACGATTCGTGGGACGATGATGACCTTCCGATCCCTCTAGAGAATGTCAAAAGTCTGGAGCTTTCATATGATAATGACGAAGTCTTGAACAAGAGATTTTACGACATGCAGTTTGTCTATCTCCTACGAGAGCTCAAGGCAGGAGACCACATCAGTTACGGCCCGAAAGAACACATACCGATGGAGTACGTCAACACATTACCGCCTGCTGTCTGCTTGCAGCCTTATGATCGCGTACATCTTCCGAGTCGCCCCGAAGAAGTGAGTTACTTTGTTATGTTGAGATACGAGGGCGCAACAAGAGTGCGCTGTAACGTTGCTTCTTGCACGTACTGATTTCATGTGTCGCAGGTTCTTACACGAAGGAAGTACTCTCTGACAGACAAGGATACCGGTCAATCTCTTCTTGAGACATTTACACGAGATGTAAAGAAGGCGAGAGCACTTTCACACGAGCATGTAGCTACTGCTTGGGCCACATACTCAACCGAGGGCTCGGCTTACATCCTGTCGGATTTTGTCCCAGAGCACACTCTGGGGACTTTTATCGACCATCGCACTCCTGTGCAGTTCATGAAAGTCAACCCGGTGGAGCGATCGATCTTAGTGTGTGAGTGGTTGCACTGTCTTGCAGACACATTGGCATCACTCCACCATCGTGGCGTGGCTCACACAGCGATTCGACCATCCAATATTTGGATTGATGTCAAGAACCGAATAACATTCGCCGATGTTGGCTGCATTGGGACCTTCCAGAGGAATAAGAAGGTCATCAAAACGGAACCCTACGACTACGCCGCGCCGGAATCGCAAATATGCAGGACGCCCATCGTGCTTCGGAACAATTCACCTCCTGTCAGCAGCATGAGCTTCTTCAACAAGAGCCGTAAGCTGAGCATACTCTCCGACACCAGTAGCTCTACAAGCGGTTCTTCCGGTGAAAGCAGTACGCGAAGCAACAGCTTTACTAATCTGGCGAGCATTAGTCCAGAGACTCCACCGTCTGCCACTGCTCGGTCCAGCAGTATTGGAGCTGACTTTGTGGCCCTTTCGCCGACTTTGGGAGGCGCTGCATCACCACGAAGTATCCGTAACTTCTCCCGCCGCCTGGTAGCACCATCGCACAAATCGAGTTCTTCGTCGTCTAATCGTAGCATAAGCACGCCACTTCTCCCTCGGTCCAATCTAATAGATCCAGTTACGCTGCAAGACCTACCTAATGCGACGCCTGAGATGTCGGACATATTCTCTCTGGGCTGCGTCTTTCTGGATATCATAACATTCGTAATCCGGGGCAAGATTACTGATTTCGTCAAATTTCGTAGCACGCGCGTTGCTGTGCCTTCTTCTAGGTCCAGCTCCAAGACAACCTATCGAACCGACACATCCTTTCACTCTACACCAGATAGGATACACGCTTGGATCGATGTCCTCGAAGAAGACAGCCTTGGCCGCACCGAAACAGTCTTTCGAGGCATACCAGACATACTCCGCTTGATTCGCTCGATGATGGCACAGAACGCCACAATCCGCCCTACGGCGCTCGAAGTTCGAGAACGACTGCATGAGATTCTGGTGGGGGAGTGCTGCGTGGAGGCTTTGTGTTGCGCTGGCCGAGAATGGGAGCTTCCCACACACTCCTCTGATGCAAACGATCAAGACAGCTCGATGCGTGGCTCGCTCTTCCGTAGAGAGCGGGATGAGTTGAGCATTGCGACTGGGATGTTGGGACCGACCTCGCAGGTAAGGAAGAAAGGGGTTAGCTTTCTCCGCAGTAGGGGCTCGCTTGGAGATGGAACGGGTCATGAGATGGATATGAGTGTTCTGGGGCAGGTGGAGGTGAATGACGACGGTGAAAGACAGCAAAGGAGAAGGAGTTCGGCGAGTATGGCGACGGCTAAGATGGCTTCGTGGCGGGCTCGCCTCTTCTCGAATGAATGAAATGTAGACTATGATACCCATTTGCAATGCCATCGATGCATGCGTTTGTCGTGTGAGCAGCGCGAGAGCGCAAGAGTGAAAGAAGCGTGACTGTAAGATCCGCGCCCATTCACTGCGTTTGAAGCACGTGCTGAGCTTGAGGTGTACTACCATTTCTCTGCTGCATCTGGAAATACTGCATGCTAATAACTTTCGCGTTGGCGGTCGAGTCTGCGGAATTCAAGAAGGCACACTACCCCAACCCTCACCCTATCACATCGGTAGGTAGGTGGCAATCTGTGGCGGCTGCGCTGATTGGTCGAACAAATCGACATCATCATCGAAGGACATTGGAGCTCTGGCCAAACAAATATACCAACACTCCACCATAATCTTTTCTCTTTCACACAGACTGGCCAAAATCGCAACCATGACTCCCGCTCGTCTACTTCTCCGATCAAGCCAATTGCTCGCGCGCTCCAACGTGCGATCCTTCACCAGCAGCAGCTCTCGATTCGCTGGCATCCCTCTCAATGAACGAGGCAACGATACTGCCGAAGAATACAGGCGGTACATGAAAGAGAAGCCGCTGAACCCGCACATGACCAACACCACCTCGACCATTGCCAACGAGATGCCCAGCATTGGCAAGGATGCTGCTCCACCGGAGCTCATCACAAGTGTAGACAAGGACTTTGTGCCCAAAGACTCGGTGCAGGAGAACACGGACAGGATGACGGGCGGCACACAGGCAGCTGCCCCTGACTCCGGAGTGAATGCAGACCTAGGGGTAGGTGAAATTGAGGGCGGAACCTTCAAGGTCGAGCCACTCCGCCGCACAGGCGAGGACGTCAACACCACCCGTGCCCGTCTCCTTTGTAAGCTCGAGCCGCTTGGTCAAGTCCGCCCTGCTGACGCTGATTGTTCGAATTACAGACCAAAGCCGCAAAAGAGGGACGCTAGAGTCCGACCTGCTGCTGTCCACCTTTGCCGATGAGCACCTCGGCTCGATGACGGAGGCACAGCTGCAGCAGTATGACACATTCCTCGACGAGAACGACTGGGATATCTACTACTGGACGACGCAGGAGGCACCGCCTACTTCCATGGCATATGCTGAGGGTGCGGGACCAGACATGGCGGCACCCGAGGCACAGGGCAAGGATATGGAGGGAGGAGCGAACAGCGCGGGTGGGAAGTTGGTGCGTAAGCCTGGAACTGGCGAGTGGGCGCAGACTGTCGGCACCTTCAAGCCTGCCTACCGACCTGTACCTCAGAGGTGGAAGAACAGTGAGATTCTGTCGTTGTTGAGGAAGCACGTCATTGATCGCAGCGCCGGTGGAATTCATATTGCTGGAGGCGAGGAGGCACCGGTGGACTCGAGCGGCAGGAAGGGCGGTGGACTTGGTTTCATGCCGGAGCTGAAGAACTTCGACCGACCATGATCGGTGAGGTGATGCATGATTCTGAACTGTACATATTGTAAAACACCGCACGACTGGTATGTGACTCCGGAAAATACAGCACCATCTTATTGACATCTCGCCGCGTTGAAACTATCGACAGTGCAACATCTCCTCATCAACTGGTAGACTATGCGAGCATGAGGAGCCAGATGGACCCTAGGATGATGCTGCAGGTGGGAACGTCCCACAACCCCTGAAGGACTTCATGACCAAAGCACCTGCTTCCAGCACGATGAGGAAGGCTCAATGCAGTTGAGACTGTAAAGCAGTCATCGAACGACAGTCTTACATATGACCTTTAAAGACCTGTTCATTACATGTATCATATACCATCATCATAACTATCGCATTGCCTCACCGAGTCCCGTCTGAACACGCTCAATCATCATCAACAACTTCTACACAACCTCAGGATGTCTACCTCAGCCTCTACGTCAGCCAGCTCAGCGCTTTTCAAGCGATGGACCGACAATCATGATTCACTCGGCGGTCCCACCGACTTCCATACCTTCCAGCACTATCTCGATCTATACGTCCTCGCAAAGAAGTCCAACATTGAAGAGCTACAGAACAAGGGTACATTGCCATTTCTCAGAACACACAATTGCAACGACGCTGATAAATCCCGCAGTGATGGATCTCATCAGGAATTACTATCGCGCCGAGAGAATGACTGCTCCCGCCTTCCGCCTCGAGTACATTTACACCGCGACGCACGAGCCAAACGCAATGAAGCTCTTCCTTTTGCAGAGCGCAGCATACCGCATTTTGTGCGAGCAACCAGACGACTCCGGACATCTCATCTCCGACTCAATTCGTGGTACACTGTCCAAGAACAACGAGATGGCCGTCGATTTCGCAGAGGCTGTCATTGAGCTGAGCAGGAACGGACTCGCTGATCCCCGCCATGGGTCTGACTGTGTGTAGCATGTCCACGAGAAGACCCCAAAGTGCGCTACTTACGTAGCAGAGGCGTGGCAGAGTGATGGCATAGCGGAGGGTGCCGAATTGTGAGACCTGCCATTCGAGATGATGTCGTACGCGGCGTCTCCTGCGAAGTGATGTCGTGGAAAATTCTACTCCATAAAGTGAAGAGGACGATCCTGAGCACGAGGAACCCGCATGGCTGAAAGTCGACGAGAGCTGGGAGAGCATGTGTACCTAATTTGCCGCACCTAAATGAGATGCTTACTCCTGAAGTATGCCCTCAAGTATACGATCTGCCACACGCCCAATGCAACCAACAGTCCCATGCTCAAAAAAGCAAACCATTTGACCCGCTCGTTTGTCGACTCATTGGTATCCCGCAGCTTCATCTCTCGACTCCGGAGGTAGTCCATCTCATCGACAATCTCTTTTGCGGTCTCGGAGATGCGGCGCAGCTCTGCTTCCACAGGCTTGAGCTTCTCACCAGCCTGAATGGCAGACCAATCCTTGGCGTCGGCGCCAATGTCAATGTCCAGTTCGATGCTGCGAAAGGGCGACATGACGGCGTGCTTGGCGGTGAGGATGTTCTCAAAGCACACGTCGAATGCACTGTCATCGTGGGCGTTGAAGGCGTGGCGCGATTCGCCTGCAATATCGCGTGGTCGGCCATAGTCATTGCCAACGGCGTCTTTGATCTAGTCTCTCCATTGGTACAGTTTCCAAGCCATGAAAGGTGCATATGCCATGTCAGACTTACGTGCATGTTCAGCGTCTGGCCATCCCCGCGGGCGCCGCTTGCAGTGACGGTCACCACGACCAGCTGATCTCTTCCAACAAAGTTACGTATGCATCGTTCCTTCGCGGCCGACTCGTGGCCAGGGTGTGCTTGGATGTCGAACTTGAGGGACACAACGGCAAGAGGCAGAGTTGCCAGCAGCCATTGAAGGGCCAGCATCGTGGGATCTTTGCGCAAAGGATTGGTGGTGGCTGTGAAGTCCAGAGATAGATTTCTCGGGGGAAGATTTGTCTATAAACAGACTCTGCTCTTCGGTGTTTGACGCGACGGGTGGGTATGTACGTGCGTGTGGAAAGCCTACGTGTGTCAAATGCAGCGAGCGTGTCGTTACTTTATCCCGAGGACGGGCCGGACCTTCCTGGACCCTTGACTGCTTCCCTGACCTTGATCGCGGGTCTGCGTCCTTCGCGGATTGTTTATGTGCACCTTCCATTACAATGCTACAGTTTCGAGCTGTATCAGCGCAGTAATGCATCCTTAATCACAACATGAAGATCTTGACGGTCAGATGGAGACGCAATGAGTGATTTGACCTGATGGGCGCTTTCGATTCTGGCTACTTGAGTATTTGCCTGGATTCCCTGCATGCCTCTGTGCTGACGGCTCTGTGGATCTCGCGGTCCACTTCGACTCACCAAGAAGCGGCGTTTCGCGGTCTTCTGAGTTTGTTCTTGAGATGCTCACATCTAGGTAGAAGTAGCCTTCGTCTCCAAGGAACGCTTGCCGGATCCACAGGACTATGTTCCAGCCCATCGCTCGCCAATTTGCCATCGCCTTGAGCGCCTAGGTATGAACATCTCCCCGCACCCTGTAGCTATCCAAGTAGCAGGAGACTCTTGTTCGACGGACCTGCCAAGTTCTGTGATCTGAGAAGCGATGATGCCACTCATAATGTTGCTTGTCCCGCGCGAAGAGGATCGTTGAAACGCCATTCGACAGATCGCCGGGAGTGAGACCCAAGAAACAGGCCCGCGAAGCCCAACAATTTGGCCAGGTCCACCCTCTCAAACTTGTATCGCCTGCTCTTGCTGAACCTTGAAGCCAACTGGATGTTGGTGTCTCTCGCCGTGGCGAAGGCTCACATCCCAGGATTGCAGTACATTTGAAGGATCTGCCGTCAGCATACACCCAGAAGATGTGCCGTTTCGTTGTATGGTCAGTCTAGACTGTTCCCCAACACCTACGGGCGTCCGAACAAACGACACTCGTGCTTGCGGGCTACCATCGGTGCTGACGCCATCGACGCCCTCTCATTCCAGAGCACAGAGCCAGAATCGCTGATACCTCTGGTCATACTCAGTAAAGGCCGGCGCTATCATTCAAGTACAGGTGATGTTCATCCTAGAAGCGATGGATTCCGGGGAAGGTGTGCAAACATCGCAACAGGTGCGAGTTCTGAAGGATTCGGCGGCATTATCTGACAAGGTAGCCAACGACACGGCTGAATTGTTTGTCAATCCTGCGTTCAGACTTCTCATTTGTCGGCCGGTTCATTCGCCTTTCATGAGATGGGCTACTGACCGTGCCGGGTCCACAATGGCGCAAAACCCCTGATCAATCTATCATTGCAAGCGGAAGACTTTGTCGTGCAATCAGTCGGAGGCTGCAGCTTCCCGATATGAAACAAATTTGCTTTTAGAACTCTGCTATCCGAAAGAAGGTCGTTCACGATTGCGAATAATAGCCTGAGAAGCATACGCAAACCAAGAGGAGATCTACCTGTGGGGGAGTGCACAGCTCACTGCGGGAGATGAGCAGAAGAGTGCGCAAGAAGCAGATCGTCAACACAACGCCGACAACCATAGCGCTGAGAATGTTCGGTGACTTTGTGCGAGAGATGTCGTTAGTCTCCTTCGCGTCGCGCACAGGCGCTCCAAGTCCTATTCGCGTTGATTGGTCCATTTGGGTCGTTCGGCGTCCCTATCGCACGTGTCGACTGGTCAACGTCCAATCAATTGTACATTACGCTACCAGGGCGAAATAGGGAGTCGAAATCTGACATGTGCAAGTCGGTAGCAATGGAGTTCGTCTCCGGCAAAAGGGGAGGCATATGGTTTGGAAATAGACTTTTGCTTGACTAAGTCCCAAAGTGGTGGGAATCTAGCACGAATGAAATCCGCCGATGATCTGCCTCCCCTTCTAGATTGTACAAGACACTACTGGCATTCGGTGATCGGGGCTCCTGGTCCCAACACACATACGGGGGACTCTCCAGGAAGCCCACCTTCGGTGATTGGGCCACGCAGACGGCAGCCCTACGATGTAAACTTTCGGCACCCGACAACGTGAGCAGCACATGGCCTGTCATGGGTGGTCGCAGGCGATTGTCGTATCGCAGTGTCGGTGTCGCTACCAGCGCCAACAGGTATTGAATATAACGCTCTCCCCGCAGCGCTGCTGTTTGGAGAGCAGGATCATCTACACCTTTGTTGTATCGTTCCCAGACCAGCATTCCCGCAACTCAACTTGCACTTGTTTCAATCTTTAATATACCACCCCCATTCAACTGAGCTAACCGCACAGACATGTCTCCCACCACTCAACCCGAGCCCATCGCCATCGTTGGATCTGGCTGCCGTTTCCCTGGCGGCGCCAACTCCCCAGCTGCCCTGTGGAAGCTGTTGGAGAAACCCATTGACGTGGGCAGCGACATTCCGGCAGATCGATTCAACACTACAGGCTTCTATCACAAGGATGGAACCCACCACGGTACCACTAATGTTAGACAGTGTTACTTGCTGCAGGAGGATCTCAAGACCTTCGATGCAGCCTTCTTTAATATCAGCCCCAACGAGGCAGACAGCATTGACCCTCAGCAACGTCTACTCCTCGAGACTGTGTACGAAGCCCTGGAGGCTGGTGGACACACTATCGAGGGACTGCGTGGGTCTGACACCGCTGTCTATGTCGGAACCATGGGTGTTGATTAGTACGTTTTCAGCAATATTCAATCGCGCTCCATGATACTGATGATCATACCTCAGCAACGACACCCTCCTCCGTGATCTCAACACGATTCCGACCTACTTCGCTACGGGAACGAACCGTGCGATCATTTCCAACCGTGTCAGCTACTTCTATGACTGGCACGGCCCAAGCATGGTATCTAGAATGCGAGCCCCCCTAATTACCATTACTGACCCATTTGTAGACCATCGACACTGCTTGCTCGTCCAGTTTGATTGCTGTCCATCAGGGAGTCCAGGCCCTGCGCAGCGGCGAGTCTCGCGTTGCTGTGGCATGCGGAACCCAGGTCATTCTCGGACCTGAGGTTTTCATCTTTGAAAGCAAGATGAAGATGCTTTCGCCTACCGGCCGCTCTCGCATGTGGGACGCCGACGCTGACGGTTATGCTCGTGGTGAAGCCGTGGCTGCCGTCGTGCTGAAGCGTCTGAGTGATGCCATTGCCGATGGTGACCACATCGAGGGTATCATTCGTGGAACCGGAGCCAACCAGGACGGTTTCTCCAACGGTATCACCGTTCCCAGCTCCGAGGCCCAGGCTGCTCTCATCCGTCAAACCTATGCGAAAGCTGGCTTGGATTTGAACAACGTCAACGATCACCCTCAGTTCTTCGAGGCTCACGGTACTGGTACGAAGGCTGGTGATCCCAAGGAAGCCGCGGCCATCTTCGAATGTTTTGGTCAAGAGGCCCGCGACGAGCCGCTGTACGTCGGTTCTGTCAAGACCGTCATCGGTCACACCGAGGGTGCCGCAGGGTTGGCTGGCCTTTTCAAAGCTCTCGGAATTGTTCAGAACGGAGTTATTCCCCCTAACCTCTTGTTCAACAAGCTGAACCCAGCCATTGAGCCTTTCTACAAGTACCTGAAGGTTCCCACTGCTCTCAGCGAGTACCCAACTCTCGCTGAAGGTGTTCCACGCCGTGTGAGTGTCAACTCATTCGGTTTCGGAGGCAGCAACGCCCACGCTATTCTGGAACAATACAATGGCCCAGTAGCCTCCGAGGAGTCCGCCTTGGTGCCTGCCTTTGCTCCCTTTGTCTTCTCGGCCGTTTCCGAGGTCACCCTCATTGCTCAGCTGGAAGCCTTCTCCAAGTACCTTGAGGCGAACGAGGATGTCAACCTCTCTGACCTGGCCTTTACACTTCACGCGAGAAGGAGTCAGTTGGCTGTCAAGACATCATTTGCTGCCTCTTCTGCCGCACAGCTCAAGACGAAGATCGACGAGAAGATCGCAGAAGCCAAGGCTAACGCCAGTAAGCCCATTGGTGTTCGCGCCAACTCCAAGCTTGTAACTCCTGGTATTCTCGGTGTCTTCACCGGTCAAGGTGCTCAATGGGCTGGCATGGGCGCACATCTTATCCGCTCATCGGAGTTTGTCAGCAAGATCGTTGCTGATCTCGAGGACTCACTCAACACTCTCCCTGAGGCTGATCGACCTGAGTGGAGCCTCCGCGAGCAGATGCTTGCTGGAGACGACACTTCTCGTATTGCGGAGGCCGAGCTGAGCCAGCCGCTGTGCACCGCCCTGCAAGTCATCTTGGTCGAACTTCTGAAGACCGCTGGTGTCGCCTTCACCGCCGTTGTTGGACATTCCTCTGKAGAGATTGCTGCCGCGTACGCTGCTGGACTTCTTTCGGCACATGATGCCATTCGCGTAGCGTACTACCGTGGTGTGCACACTAAGCAAGCCGGCTCCGCCACCGGCCAAAAGGGTGCCATGTTGGCTGCTGGTACTTCCTGGGAGGATGCAGAGGAACTCGTCAACCTCCGCGCATTCAAGGGCAAGATCGCAATTGCTGCACACAACTCCCCTGCGAGTGTCACACTGTCTGGAGACATGGATGCCATCGTTCACGCGAAGAAGGTCTTCGACGAGGAGAAGAAGTTCGCCAGAATGTTGAAGGTCGACAAAGCCTACCACTCTCACCACATGGTTCCTTGTGGCGATGCCTATGTCAAGTCCTTGAAGGACTGTGGAGTCAAGGTCAACATGAACGCGGACAACTCTTGCWCGTGGTTCTCATCTGTGACCCCAAGCGACAAGGCAGTCGTTGCCTCAGAGGATCTTGAGGGTATCTACTGGAGGGACAACATGACAAACGCAGTCCTCTTCGCCGATGCTGTCAAGAACGCCGTCAACAGCGATCCATCCATTACCTACGGTCTCGAGGTTGGACCACACCCTGCGCTGCAAGGTCCTGCCTCCCAGGTTATTGCCGATCTACGACCCAACGGCCTCCCCTACTCTGGTCTTCTCAGCCGTGGTAAGAACGACATTGAGTCCTTTGCACAAGCTCTTGGATTCCTGTGGACCCATCTCGGCACACAGGCCGACATCCAGTCTTACATCAGGGCGGTCGCTCCTTCGTTGCGACCAAAGCTTGCCATTGGTCTCCCACGCTACCAGTGGAACCACTCAAGAATCCACTGGCATGAGTCTAGGAAGTCTCAGAAGATGCGTGGCCGAAGCGATCCTTTCCACGAGTTGCTCGGAGTCCTTTCGCCAGACTCTAACTCTCACGATTTGCGCTGGTCTAACGTGATCAAGCCATCTGAGATCGCATGGTTGGACGGCCATCAATTGCAGGGCCAGACAGTTTTCCCGGCTGCCGGTTATGTGGCCATGGCACTCGAGGCAGCTCGCTACCTTGCTGGAGACAAGCCTGTCGAGGTCGTCGAACTTCAGAACTTGACCATCCCAAGGGCCATCACATTTGAGGAAGACGACAACGGTGGTGTTGAGACTCTGATCACCCTGACAGGTATTACTACCAAGCAAGGTACCACCACGGCCGACTTCTCCTGTTACTCGTGCCCCGGCTCTGGTACCGACCAGGAATTGGAGCAAATGGCCAGTGGATCCGTTAACATTGTTTACGGCAACCCGGACATGGAAGCTCTGTCGTCTTCCCTTCTCGACACATCCAACATGGCAAACGTTGATACCGATCGCTTCTACAGCTCTCTTGGAAAGCTGGGCTACGGCTACTACGAGACTTTCCGTGGAATGTCGGAAATGAAGCGTCGCTTCAACCAGTCGTCGGTCATGGTCGACACTTATCCCTACTCCGACGTTGACACCACCGTGTACTGGGTTCACCCAACTTGGCTCGATGTTGCTTTCCAGGCATCTATGCTTGCGTACTCCGCTCCAGGCGACGAGCACCTCTGGTCTCTGCACGTCCCAACGTCTATCCGCAGCATCAGAGTCAACCCAGAGGCGTGCAATGCCCTGCCGACTACTGCATCCAAAATTCCTGTCTGCGCGACCCTTGATGGACCAGGCGAGTTCCATGCTAGCATCGATCTTTTCACCGAGGACGGCGAGTATGCCATTGTTCAAGTCGAGGATCTCACCATCAAGCCTTTCGCTCCTGCAGGCAAAGCCGACRACAGACGTTTGTTTTCATACACAAAGTTCGACGTGGCATCGCCCGATGGACCGTCCATCGTCGGCGATGTGCGCCCATCGGCCGAGGAGATCGAGCTCGCGGTTGTCTGTGAGCGGGTGTCATACTATTACCTCCGCAAATGGAAGGCAGAAATCACTGAGGAAGATTGGAAGTCTGGTGCGGCACACCACATGCACCTGAGGGAGTACATGAACCACAACATTCAGCGAGCAGCCTCCGGCCGTCACCCATGCTTGAAGAAGGAGTGGGCTCAAGATACCGCCGAGGAGATTGAGGCTTTGATTGAGGAGTACTCTCACGCTATCGACATCAAGTTGATCGCCGCCGTCGGCGAGAATATTCCTGCTGCAGTGCGGGGAGACACCACAATCCTGGAACACATGTTGCCCAACAACATGCTTGACGACTTCTACAAGCAGGGTCTCGGATTTGCCCGATACAACTCTTTCTKGTCGAGCATGATGAAGCAGTTCGTCCACCGCTACCCCCATGCGAAGATTCTCGAGATTGGTGCTGGAACTGGTGGAGCTACCAAGGCAGTATTGGGAGCCATGGGTGACACCATGTCCTCCTATACCTACACCGACGTTTCTGTTGGTTTCTTCGAGAAGGCCGGCGAGATGTTCAAGGCCTACAGCGACCGCATGACCTTCAAAGTGCTGGATGTGGAGAAGCCTCCCACCTCGCAGGGCTATGAGGCGGGTGTCTACGATGTTATCATCGCATCCAACGTCTTGCATGCCACGGAGTCTCTTCAGAAGACGCTGGAACACACACGCTCCCTTCTCAAGCCTGGTGGTTACCTCATGCTGCTCGAGATCRCTAACAACGGACCCATCCGCTTCAGCAACTTGATGGGTGGTCTTTCTGGTAAGCAGTATTCTTTCCTGTTTTTCCAGAAGTTCTTTCGCTAACAAATCGTAGGATGGTGGGCTGGTGTTGACGACGGAAGGAAATATGCACCAACCATTACCCCTGGAGAGTGGCACTCTGCCCTGCGCAAGGCAGGCTTCGCTGGTGTTGATGCTGTAACCCCTGAGGTTGACGCTTTGGCCTGGCCTTTCTCTATCAGTAAGTCGGCGATGCCGCACGCGACAAACGATGCTGTCTATGTGTAAAGGTCTTTGCTAACAACATTCCTACTAGTTGCTTCGCAAGCAGTGGATGATCGCGTCAACTATCTGCGACGACCACTTGCCGCCAAGAAGAACCCCGTCAACCTTGACAGTGTTGTCATTCTCGGCAACGAAAGCCTTGAGACTTCCAAGATCGCCGAAGAGCTTGAAGAAAGCCTTGGACGTTACTGCCAGAAGGTTACTGTCCTCAGTGGCCTACCCACCGACGCCGAGGCGCTGGAACTGGATCCTATGTCTACCTTTGTCAACTTGGTTGATCTTGACACTCCGATCTTCAAGAACGTCACCGACGAGAAGATGAATGGCCTCAAGCGAGTCTACGAATTGGCTCGACACATGCTCTGGATCACCAAGGGAGCTCAGATCGAGGAGCCTTACCACATGGCCTCTATTGCCTTCAGCAGAGCCATGAGCCACGAAGCAGGACACATCAACATGAGCCACCTCGATGTTTCAGACTTCGGAAACAATGTTTCCAAGGTCATTGCCGAATACCTGCTGCGACAGGTCGCTCTCGACGAGTGGGCAGTGGCTGGAGAGACCAAGGACAAGCTTCTCTGGTCGATCGAGCCCGAAGCCTTCCTCGACCAGGGCACTCTCAAGATTCCTCGCCTCGTGGACAGCGTCGACTGCAACGCCAGACTGAACTCATACAAGCGCACCATTACAAAGACTGTGCCGGTCTCCAGCGCCAATGTGCACATTGAGCAGTCTGCCACTTCGCAGCCCGCTCTGGTGGAGCAAGTTCTCTCTGCCAAGGCAAAGGATGGCGAGAGCCTCGTGAACATCGAGTCTTCCAGTCTGAAGGCACTCCACGTTGCCGCAGACACATTCCTGTACCTCGGCGTAGGCAAGGACCAGGAGACAAAGGAGAGTGTTGTTACTCTATCTGCTTCCAACGCCAGCCGAATCGTTCCAGTCGCAACTGCAAAGATCGATGCTGTGGGCTCGCCAGAAGGCCTTCTCACTGCTGTCGTAAGCGAAGTACTCTCTGTATCCCTGATTGACTCTGTCCACATTGGAAGCCAGGTTCTTGTGCATCTGGAGACGAAGGATCGATACCTTGCGGAGGCCTTGTCCAGGCGGGCAGCTGCCAAGGACATCAACCTGACCTTCACTATCGACACTGAACACGATGATGGCAACCTCCCCGAAGAGTGGGTCACTCTCAGTGCTCGCGCTCCTCGTCAAGTCATCCGAAAGGTTCTCTCCGCCGCGAAGCCAACACACTTCTTGGATCTCACCAAGCAAAGCCGGGGTAACGTGAGCGAGCTCAGCACAACCATCTCCGCAGTCCTACCCGTGAGCTGCAAGCAGATCGATCCATCTGAGCTGTCCCGCGACATTGCCACTCATGCATACACCTCGGCCGCAGGTAGTCAACTGCTTGGAGCTCTGTTGGAAGCTGTCATAGCCGAAGTAGAGGAGGTTGAGCAATTCGAAGACCTGGTCAGCGAACTTGCGGACATCCAAAACGGGCCAAACCACGCAACCGCCATCGTCGCATGGCCACAGAGTGGAGACGTTTCTGTCGAAGTCCGTCCTCTTGAGGCCGAGCATCTTTTCTCGGGCGAGAAAACCTATGTTCTCTTTGGTCTCAGTGGTGAGATTGGACGCTCGATCACCGAGTGGATGATCCAGAACGGTGCTGGAAGTGTCGTTTTGACCAGTCGTAACCCCAAGATCAACGATGAGTGGCTGGAATCTTTCGAAGGCACCGGCGCATCGGTCAAGGTGGTTGCATTGTGAGTCTATCATTCCCATGCACATGATGCCGGAATACTAACATTGATTTCTCCCAGGGACGTCACCAACAAGCAAAAGCTCGAGGAAGTCATCGAGGAGATCAGAGAGACTTGCTCTCCCATCGGTGGTGTCGTCAACGGTGCCATGGTCTTGCACGACTCTCTCTTCTCTGGCATGTCCACAGAAATCATGCAGAAGGTCCTCGGTCCTAAGATCGATGGTACCAACAACTTGGACGAACTGTTCTACGACGAGCCACTTGACTTCTTCGTCATGTTCTGTAAGTTTTGTCCTGATGGATAGAGGCTTTTGATAGCACTAACACGATTATAGCATCGTCGGCTTGTGTCATTGGTAACTCCGGACAGTCCAACTACGCTGCATCCAACGGCTACTTGAACACTCTGGCCAGACAGAGACGCCAGCGTGGATTGGCTGCTTCTGTTGTTGATATCGGACGTGTCGCCGGTATTGGATACGTCGAGACTGCTGGCCAGGCTGTCATTGACCAGCTTACTCGCTTTGGTCTCATGGCTATCTCTGAGTCTGAGTTTCACACCATGTTCGCCGAGACGATCCGGGCTGGATACCCAGCTGCGACAGACAAGGACTCAATTCCTCACGCTGTTGTCACCACCGGTATCCGTACCATCCGTGACGATGAGGACATTGGTGGCCCATGGTTTGAGAACCCTCGCTTCTCACACTGTATCATCGAGACAAAGAGCTTGTCGTCGAATGATGCGCAAGCGGGAACCAAGACGTCGCTTCCAGTCACAGAACAGCTCTCCAAGGTTACGACCATGGAAGAGGCACTTGRGGTGCTCAAAGGTATGCTATCAAAAAGCCTAACGATACAAAAAGTGCGGCACTAATGAATCTGCAGAATGCTTTGTTAACAAGTTGCGGGTCATCTTGCAATTGGGCGACCAGGAAGTGGACCATGACGCTCCCCTCGTCGAGCTCGGTGTTGACTCCTTGGTTGCGGTCGAAGTCCGATCCTGGTTCTTGAAGGAGCTGTAAGTGCATCAAGCGACGATCTTGTGGATCGAAACTAACAACATGACAGGAAGACGGACATTSCAGTGCTGAAGGTGGTCGGAGGTGCATCGCCAGCAGAGTTGTGTGAGCTCGCCTTGAAGAAGCTGCCCGAGACACTTCTCCCAGGTATGTCGAAGAGTTAAGATGCTCCTATAGATGAATCTATCCATGTTCTCCGCCCTCTGTTCACTTGATCTTGATCTTCAGTCAATAAAACGGTGAGGCGCGAGGTGTACAACTGTCGCTGACATCCTATCGCCTTCTAGGCATCGGAGGTACACCCGCGCAGGATACGCCTAGACCCGTCGTGAAAGCCATTGCAAAGCCCGTTGTAGCGCCGATTGTAGCACCTGTCGCAGTGCCTTCTGTCCCACCTCCTGCAGCGCCTATTGCGAAGCCTGTTGAGGTGGCTGCTCCACCACCTGTTGTAAAGGCGGTTCCAGCAGCCGTCGCAAAGGCTGCTCCTGCGCCAGTTGAGAAGAAGGTCGTTCCAGCTCCCGTTGAGAAAGCTACGCCAGCACCTGTTGCTAAACCAACTGCGAAACCTGTCGCGAAGCCCGTATCGAAGGTCATCCCCAAGCCAACAACGAAGCCTGTCTCTAAGCCGGTAGCGAAATCTCTCGCAAAGACCACTGCTGCCGCACCCATTACGAAGCCCACCGTTGCCGCTACACAGTCTGCGCCAAAGGTCGCCGAGTCCCTCAAGCCGAGATCAATTGTGACAAACAAGACCTCATCAACCACGCCTTCCAACACTTCTGCGGACAAGACCAGCAAGACAGTCAAGCCTGTAGCAGCCACACCTGCCAAAGTTGTCGCCCCACGTCCAGCTATTGTGAAGCGTCCGGTCGCTGCGTCCAAGCCAGTTGTCAAAGCTCGCCCAAAAACCTTTTTGAAGACCGAGCCGCTCTCATTCGGGCAGTCTCGCTTCTGGTTCTTGCGTCTGCTGCTCGAAGATCAGACCACATCTAATGTTGCCTTTTACTACCACATCGCCGGTAACCTGCACTTTGGCAAGATGGAGAAGGCCATTCGCACCGTCACTGCAAGACACGAGTCGCTGCGCACTTGTTTCATCGAGGATGAAAACAGACCAGACCAGGCCTTCCAAAAGGTGATGAGCAGCTCTCCCCTGAGACTGGAGCGCAAGTCGATCTCGTCCTTTGATGAAGTCCTGGTTGAGTATGCCGAACTCCAGAAACACGTCTTCGATCTGGCGAGTGGTGATCTGGTCCGATTGCTTATCCTGTCGCTTTCGCCTACATCCCATTACCTTTTGGTCAACTACCACCATATCGTCATGGACGGAGTCAGCTTTCAAATCTTCCTCTCCGATTTGGAGAAGGCGTACGATGGCAAGCCTATGGGACCACTGCCGCAGCAATATCCAGATTTCACCGCCGCTCAGCGGAAAGCATTCGAAACTGGCGGCATGGATGCTGACGTCAAGTATTGGAGAGAGATGTTCCCAGCAGGTGAACAACCACCAGTCTTGCCGCTGTTACCCATGGCTCGAGTCAGCTCACGAGGAGCAATGAAGAAGTTTGGTGTTCACCAGGTTGGTGCCCGAATGGATGCCGACTTGGTTGCCCGCATCAAGACTGTGTCCAAGACGCAGCAATCAACTCCCTTCCACTTCTACCTCGCGGCATACAAGACTATGCTGTTCTGCTTTACACAGGCCAAAGATCTCACCATTGGTATCGCCGATGCCAACCGCCGTGAGTCAACCCGGCCGTTCAGCGGCAAAGAGTATGCTACTAAGAATATTGGATACTAACTATGTGATTAGTCGATAGCGAGGTCATGGGAAGCATTGGATTCTTCCTGAACCTGCTTACCCTCCGATTCAAACACAACGACGAACAACCATTCGGGGATGCAATCGCCGAAGCTCGCAAAGCAACACATGGGGCTCTCGAGCACTCGCGTCTTCCATTCGACGTAATGCTTGCCACATTCAACGTTGAACGCTCTTCTACCCACAGTCCTTTCTTCCAGGCCTTCTTCGATTACCGACAGGGCGCCCAGGAGAAGCATCCTTGGAGCAACCTGCAGTTCGAGTTCCAGGAAGTGCACCCAGGCAGAACCGCTTACGACATCACGCTGGACGTGACTGACGGTGGAAACGGTTCTCTAATCATGCTCCGGGCACAGAAAGCCCTCTATGATCTCACTGCCGCCGAGCTTTTGCTGGAAACGTATACTCATTTCTTGGAAATACTGTCCAGAGATCCTAAGCTTCTCCTCAAGGACACGCCGTTGTTCAGTCCAAAGCAACGCTCTCGCGCTGCTGAGATTGGTCGAGGTGAGTCTCCATCCTTTCCACAAAATACAAGTCAAGTATCAATTTGCTAATAACTGTTGTAGGTCCGAAGTTGGTGTCTGACTGGCCAGGCACACTGCCACTCCGCATCGACCAGATCGCGCAGCAGAACGCAGGAAAGATTGCACTCAAAGATGGCTTTGGCAGCAACCTCACCTATTCGGATCTGATCAACCGCATCCAAGCTATCAGCGAAGAGCTCCAGAATGGCGGAGTCGTTGCTGGGTCCAGGGTGCTTGTTTTCCAGAAAGCGGCGTCTGACTGGGTCTGCTCCATGCTTGCTATCATGCGCCTGGGAGCCGTATACGTGCCGCTAAACCTAAGGGAGCCCCTGCCGCGCCTGGCATCCGTGGCTGTAGACTGCGAGCCGAAGGCAGTGCTCGTTGACGAGTCAACTTTGGGTGACGCATCGCAGCTCAATGTAAGTCAAATTGCCACATATCGTGGACGATGGAGACCGATGCATAATCGACCCGTGCTAACTTTCGCTCTACCTAGGTGCCCAACGCGCTCGTTATCGACGTGTCTTCGGTCAAAATGATCCCCTCGGCCACAGTCGAGAACGTCTCGAAGCCAGATGCTGTTGCAGCCATTCTATACACCAGCGGTTCTACCGGAACTCCAAAGGGCATCTCAGTAACCCATTCCGGTCTGCGAAACGAGATCGAAGTAAGGACTTGAACGTTGACAAAACTCGATAACATCGCTAATCTGAATTGTGATATGCAGGGCTACACCAAGACCTGGGGATTGCGCGCAGAGAACACCCTACAACAGAGTGCCTTCACCTTCAATCACTCCTCTGACCAGATCTACACTGGTTTGTCCAATGGTGGAACAGTCTACGTTGTTCCTTGGGACAAGCGTGGTGATCCGATTGAGATCACCAACATCATTCAAGAGCACAACATTACTTACACCAAGGCAACGCCATCAGAGTACGCTCTTTGGATGAAGTACGGAGGCGACAATTTGCGAAAGGCAGACAGCTGGCGATTTGCATTTGGCGGCGGTGAAGTCCTCACCAAAGCCGTCACGGGCGAGCTCGCCAATCTCGACCTGCCAGGACTCCGTTTCTTTAACAGGTTCGTATCTCCTTCTACATATTGAGACCACCGGAGCACTACTGACATGTCTTTCCAGTTATGGTCCAACGGAGATCAGTATTTCATCAACAAAGATTGAGATTGACTACCGTACGTATCTTTGGAGACACCTCCGATATCATTCGCAATCCGAAGCACATGTTGACTGATTTGATACATATATAGGCGACAAAGAGCTTGGACAAGATCGAATTCCCTGTGGATACTCGCTTCCCAACTACCAGAAGTATATTCTGGATGAACAGCTGAACCCACTTCCAGCGGGCATGCCCGGCGAGTTATATATTGGCGGTGCCGGTGTCTCTCTTGGATACCTGAACAACGAGGAACTCACGAACCACCATTTCTTTCCCAACAAGTTCGCCAATGCCGACGACCTGTCGAATGGCTGGACACGAATGTACCGCACCGGAGATATCTGTCACCTACAGAGCGATGGCGCCATGGTGTTCCACTCGAGAACAGCGGGAGATTCACAAGTCAAGATCCGTGGTCTTCGTATCGAGCTGTCGGACATTGAAAGCACCATGGTGTCTGCGTCCGACGGAGTACTGGCTGAGGCTGTAGTCACCCTACGTGAGGGCGATCCAGGATTCCTTGTCGCTCACGTCGTGTTCGATCCAAAGCACAGCGTCGCCGACCAAGATGCCTTCTTGGAGCACCTCTTGACACGTCTTGCTCTTCCGCAGTACATGGTTCCCGTTGCAGCATTCGCTCTCGACAAGCTTCCTCTGACTGCCCACTCCAAAGTCGACCGCAAGGCTCTCAAGAACATGCCGCTTCCGCAGCGGATCAAGCAAGCTTCTGAGGATATCGAGATGAGCCAAACCATGATACAGCTGAAGAGTGTATGGGAGCAAGTCCTAGACTTTGAGAGCAAAGATCTGTCATTCGACATAACGCCCTCGACCAACTTCTTCCTGGTTGGTGGAGACTCCCTGTTGGTCATCCGACTCCAGGCGCAGATTCGTCAGACCTTTGGCGTCGTCGTCCGCCTGGTCGATCTTCTCGGAAACACCTCTCTGAACCGAATGGCAAGCAAGATTGAAGAAGCATCCAGCGCAAAGGCCATTGAATGGGACCAGGAAACGACTCCCCCATCCGTTCCGGAATTCCTTGCGAAGGTGCCGACTTCGTCTCCCATCAAGAAAGAATCCCTCACTGTACTCATCACAGGCTCAACTGGAAATCTCGCCAAGACACTTCTACCACAGCTCTGCGCCGACCCCAACATCAGCACCATCCACTGTGTGGCTGTAAGGGACGTCAAGAAACTCCCAGAATCGTCAAAGATTGTGTCGCACGTCGGCGACTTGACAGCTCCGCTCCTTGGACTGACAGAGCAAGACTTCTCCGCGCTGTCAAGTCAAGTCGACGTGGTTCTGCACTTGGGAGCCGCGAAGAGCTTCTGGGATCCTTACCATGTGCTCAAGGCAAGCAATGTACAGTCAACGWAAGAGTTGATCAAACTTGTGAGTATCACCGCGACTAAGACTTCGCTTTCATGTCTATAATGCTAATGCAATCCTCCAGGCGGCTCCCCGCAAAGTGCCAATTCACTACATCTCAACAATTGGAGTCTTCCCAGGCGAGTCCACCGACGCAGTCTCGGCTGCTGCTTTCACCCCTCCCGTCGACGGCAGCAACGGCTACGTCTCATCCCGATGGGCATCCGAGCAGCTCCTGGAGCGCTCATCCGTAAGTTTGGGAGTACCCTCATCAATCTACCGCTTCCTTCCCGCGGCCAAACTCGACTCACCAAAGGACGTCCTGGACGAATTCGTCCGCTTCGTCGACATTTCCGGTCTCATACCCGAGATGAGCGACTGGGAGGGCCGCATCGATATGATTCTTGCCGACAAAGCTGCCAAGTGGATCCATGGTTCCATGTCCAGCAGTAGTAGTAGTTCTACGCAGTTCTCACACCTGGAGAGTCCGGCGGCTATTGGCGTCGCTGCACTGCGTRACTACCTCAGCGAGCAACGTGGAGACCGTAAGCTTGAGAGTATGCCTGGTCTTGCATGGATTGGACGGATCAAGGCGCTTGGTTTCCCGTACTTCTTGACTTCGCAACAGGCAACGGTTGGAGGTAGTGCAGACGGCGCGGCGTTGGAGTCGAGGAGATAGACATTCGGCATGTTGTTGTTGTTGTTGTTGTTGTTGTGTTGGATTCTTGATGGACATGATATTTTTGTTTAATACATACCTACTTGAATGTGTGGCGCTGGTCGGGCACATCCATGTTAGCCAATTAGTTTACTCTGAAAGCTATATTGAGTTCTAAACTTGTCATTATTTCCTCTTTCGGAGCTTGGCAAACTGCCTTTTTTCCCCCCACCCCTCTTTTTCGCCCCATCGCCGATGCATTCGAACAGCGCCACATGTGGATGATACGATTCAATCTACGCGAAGAGTTTCGCTGTCAAGGTCCGAAGTCTGTCTTTGACATGTTGTTGATTCAATGCCATTTATTATTTATTGGAGTGATGAGGCAGTCAGTGAATGAAGTAGTTGAGCCAGACCTCTCAAAGACTTGCCTGCCTGTCCAGCGAGATTACCTACAATTCCTTCCACCCACCCAATTGGCGGAAGTTTTGGCGAGCTGACACCGAACTCAACGTTTTTTCAACATCCCATGCTTGAGATGAACGTCGTGTGTTTTTGATGAGTCGTACGCCGCAGGTCTCTCCGAGGAATTGAATGTCAGGGCGGTCTGTCCCACGCCAATCCAAGTTCTTTGCCATGTCTGTAAGTGAGGCGGACTACTCACTCGCTAGAAGAGAGAGGATTCAGCCATTTTTCCCCACACAACATCAACGGTCTCTATTCTAGTGTATCCGAGTTGCATCGTGAAGGTCCACTGGAACACACGGCTCGGCTGCGAATCATGCCACTACGCGAATCATCCATCCACTGTGCGTGCGTGCGTGCGTGCGTGCGTGCCATGATGAGGCGTTCTTCGGTTCCGTCTCCACAGTGCGTGCGTCTGAGACCTAAGTAAGTCTAACTTGGAGGGTCAGGGACGGAGTGGACGGACGGACTCGCAAGCCTCCTGTTGTAACCCTGCAGTGCACTGCCTTGGGTGGTGAGTGCTGGTGCTGCGTACGTGTGATTTTCGGAAATCGCCGGCCCTTCTTGAGAAAAGTAAAAAAAAAAAGAGCCGTCAGTATCTTACTATCGCCTCATTAATCTCTAATTAGGCCTGATCGAAAACTTCGGCCAGACCCACTGGAAATTGTTGTTGCATCCGTCTTCTCTCATCAAGGCCGATTTTTTGAGTAAAATGCTGGCGGCCTGAGGAGGAGTCCAAGTTGTCGCCGTATCATCACATTATTTCAATGATATCCACAAAGAGCTGCCGCTGATAATTGTTACCTACCTACCTAGCGATGGGATGTAAATCAGCCTGGTGAATGAAACACAGTGATAGGCTGACACTAGGTCATGGCCGGTGAACGGCAATAATGCAATCTACCCCATTGGCAATCCCCGGCCTTTGTGGAAAGATGTCCCACGAAAGAAAACACGGCCCCCCCAGAGAAAAACTCACCGACTGATCGTAAGCGTCGTTCGGCACGGCAGTCGGGCGCTGAGTGAGACCACACGCACGTGTAAGGTAGTGCGGGTGACCAGGGGTTACTTAGTACGAAAACCCGAAAATCCCGAAAAAGCGGTGGGACATTCTGGCGGGGCGCCCTGTCAAATCAGAGCACTCAGTTGTTCAGCGAGAGGAATTCAAGAAAACCACTCGGCCTTGTAGAGATTCACCAGTCCATGCGACCATCATACATGATTTAATATTATGGCTTCGGAGACTGGGATTCCCGGGCTTGAAACACATGCGACCAATCATAAAACCGCACGAATTCTTTAGCGTAGTATTGGAAAATGTGCCGAGAGAGGAGCCAAGTCTCAAACTAAAAGTGTTAGTGGCTGTACTATCTAAGCCACATTTGTTTGTCCGTTCTTTTATTATACGAATTGCGAATCATCACAGATACACGCATTGCGTTATTTCCTTGCTGACTTCCTAGTCTGGGCTAAGGTACTAACTTATCTCATCAGCAGCACTGAACATTGGGGACCCGCGTTCATCCCTCCCACCCAACCCAACCCACCCACATGTCTCATATGATGCAAAGTTGGTGCAGGCATTACGAGTCGAAGCACGACGACTGTGCGTTTCTTTCTAGACGAGGCGCCATGCAGTACTCACAAACAAACAAATGAATGAATGAAGTGTAGGCTACAACCACAGTCAAGGTCTAACCAATCTGAAGCACCATAATACATACATAATTGGACTGCACATTTGCAATCGTTACGACCACACCATGCATGCCATGCATGTCAAGTCATGAGAACTACTGTATCCCACCCATCCTGTAAGCGCGTTTCCCATGGGAGTTGCAAAACCATGGAACCGCCTTACAATGGCGAATCCGGGGTCGGGGCGATCAGGGTATGAACCAAACCAGTGCCCACACAGAAAGCCCGTGTATCGCACGCACGAGCTCGATTTACTTCCGAGCACAGACGATGTACAGTATCCACGTGTTGACTGGCTCAAGTCTGGCTCATCACAAGCTTAGACGTTCGTGCCAGAACGATCGCAATCGCAGGGAAATCGTTCTTGTTGATCATGGCATGGCACGCACGGTAGAAGTATGGCAGCAGTAGCAGCGGTCACTCATTCGGGCGGGAACTTCCCCTCCCCCCTTTCATGCCACCAGAACCATTGGAAACACGACATGACACCCTTTCCCATGGCATGATGAGACAATCATTGTTGGCGGGTTGCCGCCGGACCTCTTTTTCAACCAGACCAGGGTCGTCGCGGATTGTGAGAGTACCTAGAGATTACGATAGCCCCACGAGCTGCAACATCGCTAAGATATGGGAAAGTCATGCAGCTAAAGAGCCAGGTAACATGGCATAGCGTCACCTGCAATCACATACCTTCGATTGCCCGCGACAATCCGGTCGGCAACTTCAAAAAAAAAACCCCTGCCCTTTTCCTGGACCGAGCTCTTTGCCAGACGTTATCTCTGGCGCGCGCGAGGGCTCCGATTGTGAGTGATAACTCATCAGCGCTGGCTCCAAGGGGACTGACTGGGTAATCTTCCAATGGAGTTTCCCCATGGGTGGGTGGGTGGTGCGAAACTTCGGGAGAGAGAGAGACTCAATGGACGACGCCCCCGACGCCCCGTGTCCATAATGCTCTAAATTTCCAGCCCGCACTACCGTTCGCAGCGAGCGAAAGCTTGATATCTCCTGATGCGCCAAGGATTAGGAGCCGGCCCATCACAGTGCATGGCCAGGACCCATGAGGCTTTGCTAAAGTGCAGGGGTGAATGGCCTCGTTCCCTGCAAGCAAGCCCGGACCTGTTGAACATTCAACACGTGAATCAACAGACGAGACCCTAGGGTCTAGATATACCAGGTCTCCCTTCGCACTGCATTCGTGGTCTGATATTCCAAATAGTTACATACATACAACGCAAAATTTATCTCGAGACGACGACGACGACGACGACAGAATATGGCCCCTTCACAACAGAACGAGACAGCAGCGGCCACTCCCACCGTCGTGCCTACCACTTCATCCCGCCGACAGTCGTGCGACCGATGCTATGGTCAGAAGCTACGTTGCACTCGCCAAGGCAAGGAAGGAGCGTGCAATCGCTGCCTGAAGCAGGGAGCTCAATGTAAGTCCAGAGCGAGAGCGAGAGAGCCGGGACGGACCATGATGGTCTCTCCAAAAGTCAAAACGATGGATGGACTGTGCCAAGCTTGAGTCCCAAAGGAGATTTGTAATGTTCAAGGCTGACCAACGTGTGATGTGTTTGATTAGGTGTATACAGTATGCTCGCCCCCCCCCAAGTCAAGAATGTTTTTTGTCACTTTTTAGCTAACATCCAGCGGGTTTCAGCCTACCGAAAGGAAGACCTTCAGTAGCAGCTTTGGCGCGATCAAGAACTCCACCGACTACCCCAGCGGATCGTCGACGGAGCTCGACCGTCCAGCATACTAGCCTCCGTGCCATTGCAGAGGATAACTTTGACGGTCGTGTGAGTACCACCAGTGAACAAGAGGACTCCAAGGTCGTTGCATCTACTGCAAATGCAACTTCGTCTACAACTCCCACCTCTTCGTTACAATGGCCTTTCGATATGGACTGGAACGGCGACATGATTGGAGACCTCAACGATCCCGACTCCATAAATAATGTGAGCTCTGCTTCTCTACCTGCTACATTTGGATCTCTTGATTCCGGCATGTCCTTTGATCCTTTCTTGAACGTCGACCCGAGCAATCCATTGGTGGACTGGACGACAATCGGTGGTGTGGGAGAACCTCTTGAGAGAAGCCATAGTAGTGGAAGCAACTATCTCAACAACGTTGGCATGGACGGTCTAAACTCCGGCATGAGCTTGGTATGTTTGTTTGAACCAGAGCGTCAGGCGATGCTCTTACCTGATGGACATTCGACTTGATAATAGTAGTTTGCTGACGTCGACATCTACTTCCAGGATCGATCTCCCTATGCCGCGATAGCACAGCTCTCACAACTCAGCACACGTCTCTATCCCCTACATCAGTCCGGTTGTGTATTGGCAGAGACGGCAGCAGCATCCTTCTCCGGCAACCGATCACAGCAAAGACCCCTACTCGACGAAAGCTGTCTGAAGAGCGTGGCGAGTTGGTTCGTCCATCTCTTCGCTCGTGTGCCATTGCAAATATTATCCGTCGACTATGGAACGAAGAATACAGGCGAGATTCTACAATCCGTATTCTCCGCATCACACCACATGATGGAGATTCTCTGTCGATTACAAAACGAGCCTTCATCCTTTGACTCGAGTCGAGGAGAGACGGGAGCTGGCCTCCCACATGGTCCCATCCACTCCGGCCAAGGAAACAACGATAAATTCAACGCCCTCAACGTCCTGAACCCCGCTGGACACTATTCCCACGACACCATCATATGCCATTTGGTCATTGCATGCCACACATTACTCCTCAACATCTACGTGGCAGTCCTAGTAGCTCTCCAACACGATGTGGACTTGAGAAGCTCATTCCTCCTCCCCACAAAATGCACCGGATACTTGGAAGGCGAGACGCAACTCGTAATGGTGGTGCAGTTATGTGCCTACCTCCTGGAACGTCAGCGACAGGCTGTCGATATCTACTTCACACCTTCCCCGCCCTCACCACCACCACCCACCGCACAAATGATGACTCCTCCCACTACCCCGCCCACAGCGAACCGTGAGGTGGTCAGTCATCTCGAAACAGATATCCGTCAGCGTTTGACGCGTATTCGTCAGGCGTTACGGATTTGACAAGCCCCCTTTTTCAATTATTGGAGAGGAACTACTACTACTACTACTACTACTATTTTTTTTTTGAAGCAGCCAGTCGGAGGGATATAGAGGCTCCAGTGGATGATATTGGAAAAGTGTGTGGTTTTTGTTGTGAGACACGATATTTTTTGACCCTGTACATCATTCTCCAAGAAAGAAAATCCATAAACAGAACAACACGATACCCCCCATTCATTCATCAAACTCATCATATCCCATCCTCATCAAAACTGATACCTCATCCATCAAACCTCATACATAACCAAACTTCCAACCCCGAGCACGTGCTCAATTTGCGGGACCACCCCGCGTCAGATCAATGCCTGTGCATGCCGACTTTTGCTGTTGTGGAGTTCGAGCTTAGCATGAGCGCGTGGCGCCACGAGGCTACTACCTACCTACCCAGGTACCGCGCAGGATTCACCCACCGTACCTAGGTAGTGCTCCGTCCCGCGTAAGCCTCAGCATTTAGCGCCGTTCCGCCAATATTTGCCAATTGCCGGGGCTATGATAGGGAGGGGAGAAGGGGGAAGGGGGCCCTAGATTGAGTGGCTCTCCGAGCCCATCTATCAGAAGAGCTTTCACATGTCCGATAGCCAAAGTTCATACGATTCGACCTAGCCCTGCGCTCTGCTCTCTTCTCTCAAGATCGATCTCTATCTACCAAACGTCACTAATGTATCGGTCTTTCCTCATCTCATCTAACCATTCGTGTGACTCTGCCTCCGTCTTGCCCAACTTCTCCATCACCACTCGTCTCCAAGTAGCGGCAGAACTACGACCCAGTCTGGCCGCGCTTCCACAGGTATATACGTGAGCACCACTATTGAAGAGATCCCAGACGCAATCGCGATGTTCCCATAGAGCGTCAGCAACATATCTGCCTGTCGTTGTTACTCCGTCATCGGGCTTGGAAAAGCATGGGATGACCTGTGATTGAGAGGGATTAGGTTAGTGATTTACATTTTTTTTTTCGGGTAAAATTCTGGAAGCATTCTGTGTCTACAACTTACTTCAACGATACCTTCCTTCTCCCATGCAGCCAGTTCGGGGCCGTAAAGAAAGTCTTTCTCGGGATGGCGACATCCGAAGAAAAGTATCGCGGGCCCGAACTGGATCCCTGACTGGTTCTTCTTCTTCATCTTCTTCTTCAGAGCTGCGCGTTCCTGCAAAAAGGCTCGCATGGGCGCAATGCCTGTGCCTGCTGCTTGCATGATGATCGGGGTGCTGGGATCGGCGGGTAGACGGAATGCAAGCTTGGTTGGGCGCACCAGACATTGCACACTGTCTCCCAAGGAACGACTTGCGAGGTGGGAACTGGCGACTCCTCGGAATGTACCGTGCCCGCTTGTAGCTGGGCCTTCGAAGACATCGAAGGTTAAGCTTGCAATCGACCCGTCAGCTGTGTGGATGGGAGAGGATGAGATGGAGTATGGGCGAGGAACAAGCGGGAGGAGTAGATCGATGTAGACACCAAAGGGCAGTGTGAGCTCAGGGAGTTCCTCCAGAACATCGATGATCGAGTATCGTTTGTCTAGGAGTTGTTGATATGCTGCTTCCTCGGACATTGCTGCAAGTTGAGATGTAGCTTGACTGCCTTCTCCCGCGTACGTCGACAAGATGGAGAGCTGTCGCTGTGTGATGGGCGCCGCAAGCTCGACTGTGCTGCGCAGGAAATGCTCAATGGAGACTGGGCGTGCAGGAAGGAAGTCCTTCTTGCTGGAGCGAACGGTCATGAGATCTCCGGAGCTGAGTTTGAACCGCTTCATCACTCGGGAGACCGTTTCGTCCGGGTTACGACCTTGGATAAGGAGGTAGTCTCCAGATTCGTAGGCGCCTCCCTCTGGCAACTGGATCTCAACGTGATGTTTTGGGGCACCGACTGACGCATCTGCCAGCTCGCGCGATGCAGTGATGATGCCGACGGTCATCTGTTCGCCATCAGGTAATTGAGGCGCGGCGGATGTGCTGCTTCCGATCTCAATATCGACTCCAATGGTTTCAGACAGCTCCTGTTTGGTGGTTCCTGTGAAGATGAAGAGCGTCAGTAAGATGCAAATGAAGTGCCAGTCTGGTATAGAAGAATTTGGACGCACCTGAAAGAGTCAGACACAACTTCTCGCTCCATGCCTCCCATGGACCAGTGAGATCACGCTTCACATTGGCAAAGTCAACGTCCAGGATCCGTTCGCAGCCAAGAGCTTCCAATGTATCGTCGATCAGACGTGGTACCCGATGGAATGTGTGTACCCAGTCGCTGTTGCCCACACCGAAAACGGCATACTTGGTGCCCGGTGGCAATTTACTCTTCTTGGCCGCAAGCTTCTCCAACCAAGCCACAAACTTTTTGCCATTGTCAGGCGGTCTTCCTTCGTAGGATGGAGTAATGATGACGACCGGCTTGTCAGTGGACAGCTTCTCCACAGCATCGTCCAGCTCCTGAACTTCCAAATCGAGGCCAAAGTCGGAAGCATACTTTGTTAGTTGTTGAACCAGAGCGTCGGTCGTTCCCTGGAAAGCACAGAGTCAGCAAAGGGTTGCAATTGGATGTTGGATGATGCCTTACCATATTACCGCCCCAAAGGACGGATATCGATCGCCTGACTTCAGGTGAGGTCCTCTGCTGCTTCTTGCTTTGCTGAGTCGCGGCCGCGCTCTCTTGCTGTGCTTGAACCCCACCAGGGATACCAAACATGAGACCGCGGCCTGGTCGTGGTCGGACGCGGATGTAGAAATCAATCGGCTTGACACCCATTTGTCCCTTCAGTTTCAGCTCGTAGTCTGGGTCAACTTTTTCAATGTCAAACTTCTGGAAGACCATGGCCATGTTGATGAGAATTTCCTGCTCAGCGAAACCACGTCCAATGCACGCACGCATTCCATCCCCAAATGGCTTCCAGGCGTTCTCCGGCAAGGTCGAGAAGTTCACATCCAGCATTCGCTCAGGTCGGAACTCATCAGCATCTTCGCCCCATACCTTCGGATCGCGGTGAAAGTGGCGCCAGATCCCAGAAATCATCTGACCCTTCTTGATGAGATACTTGCCGCCAACCACAGTGTCCTTTACGGCAAATCTCGTCAGAAGACTGACGGGGTGTTGGAGTCGTAGTGCCTCCTTCATGCACGCGTCGAGGTATTTCAAATTCCGGACCATATCGTACTGCAGCACCCCATCACCAACCACCTCATCCACCTCCTGCTGTGCCTTGCGGAGAGTTTCTGGCTTGTTGCACATGAAGTAGTAGATGAAGCAGAGTGTCGAAGTCGTCGTTTCGTAGCCACCACCAAGAAGAGTCGGGATCTGATACATTACGTTTTCGAAACCGAGCTGCTCGCCAGTCTCCTTGTCAACACCGTTGATCATGACATTCAGAAGATCCTTGGCGTCCGGTTTGGGATTGTCGATTCGCTCTTGGATAATGGAGCTGCATAAAGCTCGCATCTTGACAATGTTCTCTTGTCGGTGCGCCTCTTCCTTGTAGTACAAAAGGTTTACGAGATCAGGTCTGTTCGCGCGCCTTCCGGATTCAACGATTGCCTCATTCAGCTGCGTGTTGAAGGGATGCGGATCCGGGGAGTAGAACTCGTTGAAGCGGTAGCCGTAAGCGCACAATCCGATGGTCTAGATCGCGGTCAGCCACACAGAGAGCAACAGGCAAAGCAGAGCCTGGATTCCTTTCAAGATATCCATTCACTTACATCGAATGTCAAGCTGGACATGTCCTTGATGCATTCAATCTCCCTGTCACCCATTCGATACCATTTCAGGACTAATTGCGCACTGATGTCCTGCCTGAAATCATGTCAGTTCATGTTGAAACCGTCGGGGGGATGCAGTCMCTACATATCATCGAACATCTTGCTCAGACCGATCGGGCCCAGCGCTGGTTTGAGCAGACGATGCGCCTTACCCCAGGCTTTGGAAGTCGACTCTGCAGAGAAAAGACCATCGCCGAAGACTGGTCTCATGAACTGATGCAAGCGGTGGGTGTATTTGATGAATCGACTGTCGTCTGCCATCTCATCGACAAGCTCACGGTTGCCTACGAAGACACGAGGCAAAGCAACGCCCAGCTGCAGAGAGAAGATTGGATAGTATTCGTCCATGAATTGCCAATAAGATCGCACTGCACACGTGCRATCCAAGTCTGGCAAGTGTCCCAGCAGTCCATAGTAGCTCTGGGTGGGTGGTGACGGTATGGGAACCAATTTGGAATGATCAATTTGTTCCTCTTCTCCATCCGGTAGGCTCTCGTCGTCGTCCTCTGAGGATACCGGGCATACTGCTTCGGTGACTGTGGCTGACTTTGTGTCGATGTGTGCAGGACACGCACTGGCGTTGACCACGCTCAAGGTAGCCATCGTTATGACAAGCCTTGGAAGTCAAATTTGGTGCAGCAGGTGATGTGGTATTCACCAGGAGTATTCAAAACAGCGACCCCTTTTGGTGTAGCCTATAGGCTCGTACAGCGTCAGTAGTATGGGCCTATACCACGTCTAAATCTGGGGTGTCCCAATTTGGCATAAGCGGCCGGACCTCCGACCGAGACCGAATCTTCGGTGCTTTGATAACACAACTCACAGAGACTCGCGTTCCTTCGGCGGCCGTGAAACAAGTATTATATGTTCGGGACAGGGTTTTGATTCTCATGAACACGAGTGATGAATCATGGACTCATGATTCGCCCTGTCRACGAATGTCGTCTTAGCCTGCTGGGCTGAACTGATTCGCCTGTATAACTCAATCCACTTCTCCAGGTTTGTTCCCGACTTCACATCTCTTTACTCAAGGTACTCGGAAATTCAGCAATCTCATAGCCAGCAAGATGCACGTTCTTATCGTCGGTGGGGGCCTTGGTGGTCTTGCCTTGGCCCAATGTCTTCGCAAGCAGGGCATCTCATTTGAGATCTTTGAGCGCGACGCAGATGAGAATTCGCGTTTCCAAGGATGGGCCATTGCTCTGCACTCGTAAGCTTCAAACACGCAACCGGCTGAGCCAAGCTGACAGTGCATCAGTATCCTCGATGAGCTGGCAGAAGCGTTTCCAGATGATGTACCCGGGCTGGCCGAGTCCACAAACCATCTCCTCCCTCTGAAGCTCAATGCTCAGATTGGACTATACTTTCCCGGCAGAGATGATCGACTCGGTGTTGAGGTAGGCGTGTTTCAGCAGGTCTCAAAGGCCGTACTGATCAGTCTCTGGAATAGGACACGCCGGAAATGCCGATTGTACGCGCAGAACGCATGCGCCTGCGGAGAACTCTTGCGACCAATTTACCTATCCAATGGGGCAAGCGTGTAAGCCGCATCGTCCACGATGATCATGGCGTCGAGGCCTTCTTTGAAGATGGGACGAGCGCCAAGGGAGACATTCTCGTTGGAGCCGATGGAATCAACAGTTCTGGTATGATCACTACGGGTGTAGCAGTGAGTAGGATTTGCTGACAGCAGCTAGTGCGAACACACCTATTGGGAAAGCCAGGTAGCGAACTCTTGAAGATTGTGGACCTGGCTGCTATTGTCGGCGAGGTCACATTGGAGGGCGGCGCATTCAAACGCCAACTGGAGCTCGGCCACAGCGCCTACATCTACCAAGATCCTCGACTTGGCTTCATGAACTTCTGCGGGCTTCACCACACGCTGCCGAATGGAATCTCAGGCCGCCATTACTGGAWGTTCATGCAGCCAGATACTGAAATCGCGAAGCCAGATCATTGGCTCCAAACCGCAACGCAGCAAGAGAAGCTCGATCACGTCTTGAAGGCCGCCTCTGTAATGCCACCCAAGTTCCGGGAGCTGTTCGAACTGACTCCGGCGTCTGGGATCAAGAAAGAGCCGCACTTGTGGAAGGTTTTGGAGATGGACAACGAGATTGGCACACTCCCTGCCGAGCGTGTCATCATCATCGGCGATGCGGTTCATCCCATGACTCCCTTCCGTGGCGAGGGTGGATACCACACGCTCGTCGACGCGATGCTGCTGTCAAGGACGCTGGGCAAGGTCCAGGGCCAGGACTTTGCAACCATGAAGGCGGCAATTGCCGACTTCAACGCCGAAATGGTCGAGCGTGGGTCTGATGCGGTGAGGACCTCGCGAAGCGTGCAGTCTTCCCAGAAGAGCAAGGAAGGACAGTCGAAGTATGTATCTGCCAGGCAAGACGCGAAGCCCTTGCCATGGGAGAACATTGAGCTGGTCGAGATCAAGGCCTAGAGTATGCTTGGCCCATGGATTAGTGATCGAAGAGAGACATTTATCACAAATCACATTCAAGATGAGCTTTCCCGTGTCTTTCCCGTGCGGTTTCCACGTTGCCATCCCCGTCGGGACGCCTGCGCTGTCAATGTCTTGACTCTGCAWGGTAGGAGACACGACTGTCTTGGCGCTCACGAGCAGGGCCTTGCGGTGTGACTCCACCGACAGTCGAACGATTGTAAGGTAGGGTATCTTCCAACGCTGTCTCGGTCGGGTGAGGTTGGGTTGCGGAGGAGTAAGATGCGGGGCCGAGCGAGAGACCGAATGGAAAACACGTGGACGATGCGCGACAAATCTCAGATTACCTTGCGATCGGAATGAAACGTCAATAACACTTGAYGCGCAAGATCGTGGTACTGATACGGTGTATTTCCTTGGTGAATCTCACTAGCTAGCGTCAAATCAAGACCTCCCAGACCTCCGTAACTCCGACTCTGCTCAATCTGTGAATGCTGCTCAATGCACATCATGTTGCATGTTACATCCACCGGACTTTACGCCACGGCGTACACCAACTTGTAACCCGAGAGCGCTTGAGTACGGATGGTGTTCACGCCCTCAATGACGCCCTCCCATCCACCGGGTAGCGCCTTCACAGGATGCGTGGTGATCAGTCCACGGTCCAGGAGAGTCTGAACCGCCGCGAATGCATCGCGACCGAAAGCCCGGTCTTCTGGACGTGCCTCTCGGCCGTATTCGCCATCCAGATCGACTTTGTGGCCGAAGATGGTGAGGACCATGACCCAGGAAGGCACCACCGTGAGGGACCGCGTCTGTGCAACGGCGTCACGGAATGGCTCAAGTGCCACGTAGCGACCACCGGCACGTCCAAGCGCGCCATAGCACAGCTGCGTCGTCTCCGCGCTGGAAACACAGTCCAGTGCATAGCCGAGCTCGCCTCCAGTGTAAGCGCGAATGTCCGCTGCGCACGTTGGGCTTGCGTAGTTGAAAACCTTCTCCGCGCCGAAGCTCAAAACGAGGTCGTTGTTGGAGGGAGAGCAAGTGGCGATCGGACGCAGTCCGGCCCTGCAATGCCTATATTAGCTGACGTTCAAGATGAAGCAATCCTGGAGTGCACAACTAACAATTTCAACAATTGCACCGCTCGCGTACCAGTCGCCGTACTACCTCCAGCCACGAGCACAAACTCCCCGGTCTTGGAAGGGACCCCGGCACTGAGCTGCTCCAGCGTGGCCGGCACGCGCATTTCGTGGAAGAGACTCAACGAGGCCGTGGAGAGACCAGTTCCGAATGAGGCTGCGTCCTCAAACCTCATCGAGTCTGGAATCTTCAGCAGGAGGTCGTGGTACGCGGCAACATACTGGGCAAAGGAGCCAATGCCAGGCTTGTTGACATTCATTCCATGGACCTGCATTCAAATGTAAGTCGCCGTTGCAGACATCTCAAAGAATAGAGGCATACCAAACCGGCGACACGATCTCCAACCTGCAGTTTGCCTTCCGCCTTTGCATCCTCCCCCAGAGCGACAACAGTACCGGAGAAATCGTATCCGTGGACCGCTCCAGGGACTGCGCTAAAGTCAAGCATCTTGGCGTCTGCTGGGTTGATCGCCACTGCTGCCGTCTTGACAAGCACCATATCAGACTCCAGGGCCGGAACTGCGACATCGTGAACCACTGCGAGCTTTCCTGGTCCTTGGACAACCAACGCTGTTTGAACCTGAGGAATAGACATGTTTATCAATCGACGGTGTCTTGTGTGTTGAAACGATTGTGTTGGAACCAGCGGGTAGGATTAGGTGAGTGATGCAGTGTCCAAATGATAGTACAACTTTAACAGGCTGCGTCGCTTCTCATCTATTTACCTACTCATTCTCACTGATCTAATCTATCACCCATCCTCCATCCCAGACAAAACATCTAGACGCTCGCCGACATGTGGAATTCCGGGATCCAACGCTTGGCAGGAAATCCCCGAACCTTCGGGGTCGGTCGGTGGTCGGACTGCGTCACATGCCCATACCAGTACGTTGATGCTGTGCTGAATACTTGTATCTCCCTCCAATACCGACACAGTTATCCTAGCTGGCACTGGCAACGCAAGGACTCGTCTTGCCCTACCTGATAACCAACGCCCGACGTTAACCCTCGTCACCATGGCACCCATGGACAACGCCCTCCCGCTCATTGACTTCAGCGGCTACATTGGTCCCAATGCCACCGCTGAGAGCAAGGCGAAAGTGATTGCGGAGGTGTCGGCGGCGTGCTCGCGATATGGCTTCTTCCAGCTCTCAAACCATGGCGTGCCTCTGGTATTGCAGAAGGCGCATCTCCAAGCGCTGAGCAATTTCTTCAGTCTGCCAAAGGAAGAGAAGATGAAGCTTTCATTCCTCAAAGATCCTTGCAGACGTGGCTACGAGTCTTCTGGTGACTCGCTGCGCGATGGAGACCCGCTCCCAGACTCCAAGGAGGTAGGCGCCACTGCAGGACATTTCAAATCCAGTCGCGTTGATTGCTGACTTGAGTCAAGTCCTTTTATATCGGACGTGAAGACCCATTCGAGCCTCCTGGTTTCTATGGTCCCAACGTCTGGCCTGACCTTCCCGAGGAAGATTTCCATGGCMCGGTTTGGGAGTACTACCAGACGACTGGCAAGCTCGGCAGGACGATTTGGGAGGTCCTACTCCAAGGTGGGTCAAGTCGGTCACAAGGATTGAGGTCAGATGTTAACCTTTTGTCAGGTCTCGGGTACCCCGTGGAAATGCTGAACGTGTTCGCCAAGCGTCCGATTGTGCAGATGAAGAACATTCGCTATCCTCCCATGAAGGATGCGGTGGAGGGTCAGTTCGGAGTGGGCGCACACACAGACTTTGGCGGCGTTACCGTGCTGCTGCAACAGGCTGGCAAGGAGGGATTGGAGGTGTTTGATACCGAGGCTGGTGAAGCCGGCGAGTGGCTTTCGGTACCTGCAATCGAAGACGTTTACGTTATCAACATGGGGTGAGTGATTCGGCGGGACAAGAAGCGAATGACAGTGGCTGACTCGAACACAGTGACATGGTGGCCAAGTGGTCCGGTGGACGCTTCAAGAGCGCAAAGCACAGAGTCACCCACAAGATTGATTCCGAAAGATTGTCCTGTGCCACATTCTGGCACGGCGACTCCAACGCCACCAACCCATTGAACCCAGACGATCCCGACCGCTCGACGGTAGGAAAGCTCCTATTGAACAGGTTCAGAAACCAGTTCACCCTTCCAAAGGAAGTCGATGTGGCGTCGTAAAAGCGTTCGTTTTGGCGGAGTCTTTCTTGTAAACAGCATACCTATATATTCATGTGCACAGCTTCAACGGAGTCTGGTTGCGTTTTGGGGGTTTAATTCAACATCGACCGGGAATGTCAAAAAGCAGGTCTACAATGTCATTTGTCTCATGTGAATACAACCTTGATCTTGATCTTGATCATACGGATGTTGTCGTGCTCGTTCTTGTGTGGCTGAGAATTGCCCCTCGTCGTGTGCACTGCCCTGCCCGCTAAGCCCCGCTTGGATACGTCAATAGTTCTTGGGACGCGGTACTCTGTTCAAAAACCGGGCTGCACGACGTCGTGGCGATCCACGTCCTGCAATACATACACTACCTTAGCATATACACACCACTTGACGCGCCAGCTGAATTGAACAACGACCCAACGCTCTCAACTTGAACCCTCGCGGTCACAATGGGCAGCCATCACGATCCCAAGCTGCTCTATGCGATCAAGGGCATCAAGGCCTATCACATCCAAGATGGACAAGAACAAGACCTCACCCCGTCCGGCCCACAAACACTCTCCCTTCTCATGGTCCCGACAAGCTCGGCCTTTGCCGACCTCAGCACGACGGTGCCGCAGAACGAAATCGCCGACGAAGACTTTTATCTCCACCTCAACCTCCCGCCTGAGCTCGATCTTCCCCTACCAGCCACCACGCAGGTCTACCATCAACCCCCGCACAGCTATCTCATCCCCCGCTGGGACCTGGGACACGGCTCCGGGGCCTTCACACGCATCGAGTTCCCACGCATCGGCGCCGGCGTGACCCAAGACGATGTCGACACCTTTGAGACCATCTTGGCGCAATGCACGGCCTTCTTGGAACGCGCGAAGCCGCCCATGCCCAATGGAGCGGGGGAGAAGAGCACGTACAATCCTTCAGACTACGCGGCGGGTGGTAGATATTCCTCGGATGAAAAGGGTGGCAGACAGCACGGAGAGATTGTCCTCATTGACGAGGACAACGGCTCCGTCGTAGGGGAGCTGGGAAATGCCACGCAGATTATGGAATCGTCGTCTCTCAAGCCAGGCAGCAAGGACCCCGTCGAGATCGAGGTCAGCGCCGACGGTAAGCGCATCGAAGTCCGGCCCGTGTCCGAGGACTATCTCCAGATGGCCAGGCATCCCGCCTATCAAGACAGCAGCATCGTTCAGAATGCTGCGACGGCGTCCCGTCTACTGGTCACCACTAGCTCGTACATTGGCAACATGCTCACCAACCAGGCGGAGAACTTCACCAAATCAACAAAACCAAACGCCAAACCCATGGAATTCGCGCCAGCAACCCACCAGCGTGTTCGCAAAATCAACACCTTCACACAAGGCGCTGCCAGCATGTCGAGTAAGACTGTGGGGCAGCTGAGCAACACCGTGCAGAACATCGCCGCCAAAGCTGCTGGTAAGAAGAAGGAGCGGCCACACAAGGGCTATGATGAGAATGGGAAACCATTGGACAAGGACGACTACAAGCCGGGTATGCTCAACAAATCTCTCATCGCATTCAGCACTGTCATGGACGGTATCGCAACCAGCGGGAAGACCTTGCTAGAGACTGGTGGCGGGGCAGCAAGTACGGTGGTCGGGCACAAATGGGGAGAGCAGGCTGGAAGTCTAGCTGGTAATCTGGCTGGAGGCGTAAAGAACGTGGGTTTGGTGTACATTGATGTCGCTGGTGTGTCACGGCGTGCGGTCATCAAGAGTGTGGCAAAGGGTATGGTTATTGGAAAAGTCAGAGGTGGGGGACAGGTCGTCGTTGGCGGAGGCGACGGAGGCGTCATTCCCGAGGAGGACCTCAAGGCCGCACAGGGATATCAAAGCACACCGAACAAGCAGAGCGGATTCCAGCCCGCAGGCGAGAGTTATCAACCAGGAGCCTACGGGTCGGCAGCACCGCCTCCGCAATATCAGGAACATGGACAGTCGGGAAGTTCTTATCCCAGAGAGAAGTTTCAATGATGAGATGAGTGGCGAAGTGGCAGTACCGGCATAGTTACAGGATGATGCGGTGATGACGAGAACTTTACGAAGAACGAATGGGAATGTGAAATGGCAATTGCTTTGATATGCTAGACAGTACTTGCAAGAAGCCGTGATGTCGAAGTCAATAAAGTCCATATGAAGGCCTGATTTGGAGTCTACTAACGCCAAGAACTTTGTAGTCCCAATTGACGTTGGTGAAAGCATTCTACCTCTTGCAGACACCTGCACTGTACTGTCTGTCAATTTCCAAACCGCTCTCTACTGTTCATCTTCAAAGTCGGAGCGCTGGAAGACCCGTCCCTCCAAAAGTCCACCCATATGTGTCTTTGAAATTCCTTGTCCATTTCTCCGAACGGAGCTCATCAAGAATTTGATAAACTGCACGGGATTCTCGGATCGACGACGCTTTTTCTTACCATCCCACATGATGAAGCCATCCGGAGTGACGTTCCAACCTGGCGGTGTCGCGCCATCAGTCAAGCCGAGAAAGTTGCAGATGCGCTGATAGTCCTCAAACGAACTAATATAAAGCTGGCCAGCGAACAAACCGAGCTCAATCGCAAGCGCGCGCGGAATGGTTGGTGCTGATTGCTGTCCTCCAGTGACGGTGTAGAGATCTAATCTGTCCAAGGTCGGAAAGCCCGAGTTACAGCGTGGCTTGTACAAGTGCAGTGMGGTCTTGGTAGAGCTCGCAATCTCTGAAACGAGCTGGTTGGCTTCGTATGGGCTGATGATCATCAATGTATCAACCTTGCCGTATTTGCGGGAGATGATCCACTGAACCGAACGCTGATATTGGTCGGAGCGGTACGATTTGCCTGGCTTCACGACGGTACGGGCGAAATCCGCGGTTACCATGAGGTTCCCTGCAAAGGATGTCACCTTGAACGACTGCGCTCCACTGGTTTCTCGCAGCGTGTCAAAGGCGGGAAAGTACGCTTTGGAACCGGAGAGCAGAACACCTTCGCGAGCGAATCTGATGACATCGGGCTCGAGAGTATGCTGTTCTGGCTTGGCGGGGGCTGTCTTCTGGATCTGCCGCTCTTGTTCGATCTCTGGAGACAGCTCGCGCTCTTGTTCTTCCTGCAGAGTGCTCGCGTTGAACCTGAGATACTTGAACATCCCACAGTGCTCAGCAATTTTTCGTAGCATCGGATTGGTAGAGTGTGCCAATCGATCGGCGGAGTCTCTATGTTCTAGACGAGGGCGATAGCGGTCTTCGCGGGACTGAGCCTCAGGAGCCAGAAACCACTCCGATCTCTCGAAAGAGTAATTAGTCTTCCCGTTCCAACGGCACTTGATCGAGAGTTCTTCCTGCTGCAAGAACCTCTCGCCTTGCACAGACCACTGCGGAATACTTCTGTGCATTTCGGCGAACGTTTCTGAGATTGCCCACAGCAAGACATCCAAGACCTCGATGGGATCTCTGTCGGATTTTGCGGTGCAGTCTTGAATCTTAGCTCGGATCTCTTCTGATACGAGGAAGACTACAGATTGTCCCTGGCCGAGCTTACGCAACCTCATGCATGCTAGAAGATTTCAAGTCAGCCGTTTTGTTCCATCTCCACGAATTTTCTAGACATTGGAGATTCTTACCTTGTACCAGACGATCTTTCGTCAGGTTGGCGCCCAAAGTGACCGCAGCACTATAGAGGCTAGGAAGCTTCAAATCAATGCCACGGGTATGAGCTTCGTCCAGGAAGATCAAGCAAGCACCGAGTCTTGAGGCAAACGAAGAAGTCTGAAGCAGCTCGACTCGACCCTTACAATCCACCACAGAGAGCTCATCGTCGCCGTTCACAAATACAACGGCCTCTTTGCTATTGTCGAAAGTTCTACGCATCTCTAGCCACTTCTTCGCGACTTGCAAGTTGTCCAGTTCCAGGATTTGCGCGCCCACATCGAGTATGACCTCTGGAGAATTCTCCAACTGTAAAGTTGCAGAAAGGATGATCTGTGCGTCGGATTGCGCAGACTGGAAAAGAGATGGGATGTGCTTGACCGTGTTCTCTTTGCGCAGAAGGTACTCCAAGACCAGTGCATTGGTGTGGTTCTGCTCTTCAAGATCCAGATGGGTGACACTTAGTGGAAGTACGATGCGAGAGTCGCTAGTCCCGCTGAAACCGGTAATGGGTTTCGCCTTTTTCTTGCCGAGATCCCAACCCGAGCTTGAGTACTTGAAGGGAAACTCCTTTAGCTCCTTCGGAAACACAATCCGAGACAAGTAGTAGTCCACCACCGTCTTCCCGAGTTTGAGAGAAGGGAAAAGTCGAGCGATGCATTGCTTGCGATCCTTCAGGTTAATACCCTGAAGCTGAGCAAAGGCTGGATCGAGTTGATCAGCGTCAGCAACCCATGCTTGATACTCGCTGTCCGCTTGGTCGGAGTCCATTACATGAGCAAGAGAAGTAAAGAGCTCCTCATCGCTCAAACCACCATAATAGTAGCACAGGCAGGTCAGTATAATGACCACATCGGGATGGCTGAACTCAGAGCGCGGAGTAGGGCTGTCCTTTGCGCGGTAAGGAACTGCCAGCTTTGTAGGAGGGATCCGGCTGTTCGATGCACCGAAATTCACTCTGAACCTCTTCTGCCCAAAGACGAAAGCCAGGACGCCTCCACCAAGTAGACCTCGCAGCAAAAGGATGGTTCCTTTGGTGCTGTCCGTCCAAAATCCGGTCGAACCAGCGTCTTGGACAGCATCGCTCTGTTCGCCCGTCAGATCCATTTGACTCATGTAAATGTACAATTCATCTTGAACTTTTTTGGTCTGCCGACCAAGCGGGAAGCCGTCGAGTCCAAAGTCGCAGATGTGTCTCGCGACGAGATGGAGCAACAGCTGCTCAGCGTTTGGCTTCAAGATTCGTATGCGTGGAAACGCTCCAGCAGCGCCGTCGTGAATCTCGATAGAAGAGCTTCCAAGCAGCGCCAATACTGCTGGCGCTTTGATTTTGACAAGTTCCAAGACTTGTAGGATGTGAGTCCACCGATCTGGACTGCCCTCGACAGGCCGCTGGGCACCCATCGTGTAGATCAGCTCGAATTTGACGTTGAAGTTCTCATCGCTCTCATCGACGATGTCGCGAGCAGAAGAGTCGAAGAAGTCCTGGGTACGTATCAGGGATCGGCCGACTTCTTCTTTGCCACGATTGAAGCTCTCCAAAGCCATGAGCTTGGAGCTTAGTATATGCTCTGGCTGAACCAGCAGGATTCCGCCAGTTCGCATGCATTCCTGGCAAATCTCAAGGACGGTGTCCGCAGCCGCGCGATCCAGTTTTAGGGAACGGGAAAAGGGCATGTAATAGACGCGTCGCCCAACTGCAGCTCCGAGCTTGGACTTCAGCATCTCGGCCATCTGCTTTGACTGTGGTTTGGCTACGATGACGCGGACCAACTGCGATCCGTCTGCCAAAGCACAAGCGACGATCGGGACGATTACGCTGCTCTTACCTTGGCCCATGTTCAATTGCATGGTGGTGTTGTCGCCGTTCTCAGGGCTTCTCATCTTGGCGGCGATGCTCTCTTGCACATCTCGGATCATGATGCCACTTTCAACCTCGACCAACAGCGATTCGGGATATATGAGAGGGTCCCAATTCCCGTGGCCAGGGTTTTGTAACTCATCCATTAGGTCCGCGCTGTCAGTACCGCCCTTGCGCAAAGCTTGCAACATGCGCTCCGCTCGCTGTAGTGAAGTGATTGCAACACCGTACTTCACAATCGCGGCGCGCCATCCCGAGTTCAACTGCGACCACTTCCCGTGGCTGAGCTGAGAGAGCAACAACATCGGTGAAAGCCGCGGAAATTGATTGGCAAGCACCGAGTCTTCATTGCCTTCCTTCAATGCGGAGGCCATGGCGTCAAAGATTGCTGTCACATGTCGTAAGCAATTCCGAACATGGTCAATGAGGTCCTGCTCAGTCAAGTGTTGAGCCTGAATGTTTCCGTCTTCCCGACTACGTAAGGAGCCCAGACTCTTGGTCAGATCTTCAACATAGCCTATCATGTACCTCGAGTCTCCAGTGGAATGTCCAAGCTTGCTAATCAGCTTCTCTAGGAGTGGCGATTTGCGCTGCGTAGATTGCGCTAGCTCGAGATGATTTGGCGGCGAATCGAAAATGGGACTCTCTGCAAGTATGCTTGGTGCCGTTGCCACAGAAAACAGGCGCTGAATCGATATGTAACCGTCCGACCTTGAGTAAGCGGATGGAATGAGCGGTAGGGCAGCCGGCACGGTCTTTTCACGCTTGGGGTAAAGGCGCACTGCTGCCTCAACCTTGCATAGATAGCTGTGAAGCTCGAAGTTGTCGGACCAGATCTTGAAAAGCTTCCTCACATCGTCCATGGCGWTGTCAACGTTAACAAAGGCGGCGATAAATGGCAATGTGCTGATCACTGGCGCGAATGGCACAGCGGGACATCCTTGTCCTAAGAGGCTATTGACAACGCGGTTGATAGCGCGTACGACATTCTCCTGATGCTTTCTTTTCTCGGTAGCATCGCGAGCTTGCCATGTTCTGAACTTTTCGCCCGATTCGCGCAAAATTGTGCGTCGATATGGGACGGTGTATTGGTTGAGAACGCCACGCAGTTGATTGCAATCGATCTCCTTGCCACGCGATGGATAGAATACCAGAGAAAGAGGTGCGGCAACGTTTTGAACGAGCTCACAGTTGAAGCACGCGGCCAAAGTCTGGAGGACCTGAAGGTCGATATCCCGCGAGTAGCCCAGTGTCGACAACCACATCATAACATTGAACTTTTGCGAGAAGGAATCTTGGAGGTTCTTCATGGCCTCGTGGATACCAGGCCAATGTCCAACCACATAATCTCGCCAAGTGGTGAGAACCTTGGAGTCATATTTCAACTCCGTCAAGTTCACAGGGTCGCCGAATACCGTCCCTGTACGAGGCATGAGATCCCAGAGATGATCGCCATCGTCCATGCCCCACTGAAGGCGTCTCCTGTCGTCAAATATAAAACTTGACGCGAGGAAGGCGGTGTCTGATCGATGCGTGTGGCCGCCATCCCTAGCTTTGTACGAGACATCTTTGACCACGGTGTGGTCTTCTGCACCAAACTCAGATACTCTGAATGAGGAGGATCGGGCAGAGTCACGATTGAGGATATCTCTGTCAGTCCGGCTGAGGCTCGGAAACTTTGGCTTTGAATCTGGATCGAAAACTCCAAATCGCTTGGCTTGCTCGAAAATAGACGTCACTGTTTTGTAGAAGCCCCCGTGTTGGGCGAGGACGCCAAGCCTCGAATCCCACTCTACTTGCTGCATGACACGCTTGTTTTGAGGGTAGTATGAACGACCGGGTGTCAAACTAGCAATCTGTGCCAGAAGTGAGATGTTGTGTTCCGTGAGTGTGTCGAACGATCTCGTGGCAGCTGAGTCCAGATCTGCCAAAGCCTGCTCCGTGCCGGTCTTTTTTGTGAGAGGATCAGGCAGGTATGAAGTCGTGATTGCATGCAGCAGCGCGAGGAACAACTTGCTATCAAGACTTCCAGATCCAGTCAACCGGCCTAGCTGTGCATCCACGTCGAAGGCGTGCACTCGTACGTCTCGTGCGGTCCTCTTAATTGAGACTGTGGTATGAGGAGCGCTCGATTCATCCCTGATGTACGATACTGGAGACGACTCTAGGAGTATCACCATGCGACGCACGGCTTGGTCTTTCGATCTCGTCCGGAGCATCAATTTATTCTCGAAACCGACAAGCGTGCCAAGAGATTGATCAATGTCGATTTTCATCTCGCGATATTGGTGTGATCGTAACGTATAATCCTTCCTGTCAAGTGAGAAGCCTAGCCGTAGATCGGGGATCTCGATATCCATGTCCATGGGCATGGGCATGCGAGCTTCCTTGGTGGCCCGGCTCGCGGGCAAAATATTGTGGATCTGGCTGGAACGTGCCAATGGTTGAAGCACTTTTGCTATTGCCTTCGCTGTCTCACTCTTGAGACTGATGAGACTGATGAGGGCATCTCCGTCCCGTCGAGTCAATTTCCATCGAGAGCTATCGTTGCATCTCCGCAAGTGCCACACGCCAGATGTACCACTGCTCCAAGGAGTGCCGACAGGACGGAATTCAACCACGTCGCTCGTTGAATGTTCGGACGAATCATAGACATGAATGAATTTGTCCGTGAAAAACGCAGGGAAATCGTCCTTCAACAGTCGAGCAGGAATGATCTCACATGTCTCTGCGACGGAAGATGTCTGCACTAAGAGATCGCCTCCATCACTCATACCGAGGTTGACGCTGCGTCCATGGAATAGCTCCTTAGTAGAGTAGCGCATGCCACGGACCGCGGAAGGCATAACTTCCACTGCAGCTTGACCAAACAATGTCCGGTACAGCGTGGCATCTTCGTACTGCTTTGGAGGTCGGTCCATGGGCAAGCCATTGACGAGCAACTCGCCAGTGATCGTATTGAAGTGGACAGTAAGTGACTCGCTGTTTGAGGTTGCGGCAGTCTTTGTTACTAGCCAGTAGTCCAACTTTGGCGAGACTGTCGTCCAAGCCATACCAGAACGATAGGCAGACCACGAGCTCTGGATTGCCAGATCAACACCATTGTGGGCACTGGTATTGGCAGCGAGCGTTGTGTTTGCACGATGTAGAAGTCTGCTGAATCTTGATTGCAGCAGCCGGAAAAATGGTTCGGGGGAAGACGCGAGTCGACCCTCTCGAACGGTGATTGAGAGCTGCACAAGGGAAGACACATTGCCAGACGATTCCAAAAGTTTGGTGAGGTGGACAGTGTCAATGTCGAAAGTCATAGCGCAAATGAGGGCAACCTCAACGCTCCTGTCCACGAATGTCTTGTCCCGCAGAAGGGCCACCCAACCGAGTGCCACCTCTCGCGCAGTGCTGAGAAATGCAATGCAGCCACGTTGTATACTGGTCGACTCACTGAGCGAAAGCACCCGGGCTGCTATCGCAACGAAGATGCTGAGGGCCTGAGACGACTCCCAGTTTTCCTTTACTCTCTGCAGCGCAGTGTCCAAAGCTTCAAGCAGCGCCACAGCGAATGTGTACTCGAGTAGTATTTCATGATTGGCACGAACAATAGTCTTGTTCGAAGGCCCAGTCTGGTACAAGCACTGCAAAAACACCAGTGTTGTCTCCGGTTTCTTGAAATCCACCGAAGGTGATTTCAATTGAAGCAGCATATTCTGCCACTGTATCTTGTGGCCGAGTGGGATGGTGCAAAGCTCTTTGAATTCATCCAGCGTCATGTTGTCTGGACACTGGTCCTGGTTTGCAATGACGAGATTGGGTGAAGGCCCATCGGGAAGCGCGGATGGACGGAATATGAAGCTTCTCAGAGATTTGGGAAGATTGTACACACACTCAAGCTGACTGCTCCTGTCGTACAGTAGCTCTCCAAGAAATACACCATCCTTGGTGTCATAGTACTCGTAGTTCACCCCACTCTTTTTGCAGACATCGCTATCGGTCGAGGTTCCGACACGCTTAGTTCGATAATGCGCGACAATGTTTGGCTTGTCCTGAGACAACAGAGTGATTCGCGGAGAGTGTTTTAAGGTCTTGAAGGCAGACAGATGCGAATCCTTGTGAAGCGGGTACTGGGCTCTGGGTTTTGAGCCTGCATACTTTCCCTGTAGCACGGTTCGGAGCAAGAATGTTCGAGCGTCTCGCCAACCAGAAAACCAGGTGGGCACTTCAAGCTCAAACACGATGGCCTTGGCCTTAATATCGTTCGATGGGAGCGGYTCTTCGAAGATTGTGATTTCTAGGCCCTTCGCCTGCTCCAAGTACGCGCATTTCGCGCATGAGCTCGAGTGCTTGCTCTCAGTCTCATATAATCCTTCCCAGTCGTCGATAACGACATCCACGAAGTCACACGCACTTGTGCTGTAAAGATTCATGAGTCGTGCATAATCTGCCTTCAGACTGGCGAAGTTCATGAGCTTTCTTTCCCTGTCTCGCTTTGCTTTGGCGGAGATTTGCCGCATGGTATCCTGCTGTGCCGGAGACTGCTCAAAGTACTTTACCRCAAATCCAGARGGACTGCTTAAAGCAAATAACTCGGTTGCTGGGAACACACTGTTGGTCGTACGGTTGGCTAGTAACAGTTCGACGGCACGTAGCCTCTCCATTTGAGCCTTCGATGGGAGAATAAGGTTCTGGAAAGCATCTTGTGGGATTCCAGGACTGTACTGGCGTAGCAACGCGCAAATCCTGATGGCGACTTGGTCGCAAGCCACCCAAATCTCCAGCAGGGTGAGAAGCATGAATGACATTGCTTCCGGGTTGTCCTTGTAGCTTCTGCGGGCGACGGTATGGTATTCTTCGAGCACATGACGCAAACGGCTGCACGCGTTCTGTTGTGCGCCATTCAGTCGCGACCAATGCTCAAGGTTCAAACTGATCCACATTTCAAACTGTTGTAGATTGGCCAGGGCGTAGTCAGAGTCATTCGTCTGTGGCGCAAGACTTGGAAGTGAGGTCGGATCGTAATTCACAAGCTTTGGGGTTCCCGCAAACCCGGCGATACCACTGACCAACGGTCGGTTGCGCAGCTTCTGTATGTAATCATCGAGGACGGGGAGGATGTGCAGGATATCATGCTCCGGTTCAGGCTTGGACAACGTTCTTGAAATGGGAATCGATCGGGTGTTGCGCTTCTGAATGGCCGTCCACTGCCGAGGTCCTACCTCTGAGGCAGTCTTCATTTCTTGTCGAATGTAATCGAGTATGGGATCAGTGGCCAACGGGCTTGCAATATCATGCTTGAGTTTTCCGAGCCTTCCCGCCACCTTAGCGTTCATCACAAAAAGCGTCTCGCCTGGTAGACCAGCAGCGACTGCGTGTTGCAGTACATGTGCCATGAGAAAAACCATGARCTGTTTGTACAGCGCAGCAGAGCCGCCAGTGGAGCGCGATAGCGTCAGCTCTAAAGATACTTTGATGAGCATCCACGCGGCAGATCGCCGCCAGGGGAGCTTTGCGTCCTTCAACAGCACATCATCTCGAGTGTGCTTGAGTATAGATGACAGGCTGATGGGCTTGCCAGCTCCCTTGAGGAAGCCTCCGACAAAAAGTTCGGAAATGAGACCAGGATGTGTGGTATCTCGAAGCTCGGCGTTGGCTTGTCCGGTCTTTGTCACATGCGGTTGCATTTCACCGACYGCCTGATGGCACATCAACGACAGTGTGTCTGCGAATGTGTCCTGGAAACCAATGTCCTCTCTGGTGGCTGAGCTGATGCAGACCGCCGATCCGGGAAATGTACGGACTAGGCGACCCTCCGTTGTCATGACAGCTTCATTGCGAGGTGAGAGCTCAAATTGCTCGACGAAGACATCGTCGTGATCGTTGTAAGTGATCAGTATTCCGGCGTTTTGTGCGCGCAAAAAAAGAAAGCATGGATGGCAAGCTCTGAGGGAGTCCCGCAGCCGGCCCTCGCTGATGTTGTCCTCCGAAAGATGATGAATGGCGAGTGAAATCGTCAAAAGACTAATCGCATCACCGATGGTCGCCGCATATGCGGTTGAGGCTGTTGAGAATGCGTGAAGCGCAGAAAGTGATATCTTCATGAGCTCGCTGAAGCTGCCGGAGTCGCTTTGCTGTGGTAGTTGCGGCGGAAGAAAAACGTGATTGATAAGCTCTGTCAGAGCTGGCGCCGTCAACTCTGCCATTGCCATTACCAATGAGACGTGGTGTCCAAGCGGTGATGGAATGTCAAGTGATGTTGATGAATTGGCGTTCCTCGAGCGTTCGAGGTTGAAGCTTTGTCGCTTGTCCGCGGGCAAGTTGCTGCAGCTCGGAAACAGCCGGCAAGAAGGGCGCGCTAGTGGAGGAGGAGGAAGAGTGAGGTCAAAGAGTGGCTCCGCCTCGATTGTCACGCAGAGCCATTGGTCAATATCGGAGGGGATTATTGCAAGGCGAGCGACACTGCAGGCATACCACCCGCCGCAGCTCGCCGCATATCACCCACCAAAGGCGAAGTGATCCTGCAGGGAACACTTCGTCGAGCAGCATGCCTTCTGTATKCTGTGCTTCCAAGATGTACCCGACCCGAGACAGTCGCGAGCGCCGGACGGACAAAAACATGAAGGTCCTGCTGAACACGAGCGGTAATGCGTGAAGACGCATGCAAGCATTACTCCTGCAAACGACTAGCACCTCAACATTGCTGCGAAAAGTTGCTCACATGACAGATGAGTTAGGAGTGCAATAGCGCCAGCTACAGGCAAATACCTCGAAATGCATCGACCGGCCATCTGCATCGCGTTTTCTTTCGAAAGCTCTCAGGGCGGACAAATAGAATCTGACAGTAAAGAGAGACCGCAGTACCTGGAAGCGGAGCCTTCTGTCTTCGAAGGCTTATGTCTCCAAGAGTGGAAGTCTGGCCGCGTCGAAGGGATGTTCCACACCTCACTCATTGAGGGCTCACAGGATGAATCTTTCGATAGTCCTCGTTGGGACCTTGGATCTAGGGGATATGTCTCCGGCCCGAGTCATGGTATCTGCCACACAAGCCGGGGCATCGGAAAGTCTTGCTGTTCATCGCGAGACTGTGCCAGCGTTCGGAAACGTATCCGACATGCACATTCCGCGGCCTCATGGTATTTCAGGTATCTATTGGAAGAGTMAAGGGCCCGAACGACGATAGGCAAAGCATGGCCGTCCGATGGTGAGAGGAGAGTCTTGACGTGAGGTGAACAATGTGCCAAGCCGGCTAAACTTCGGCTCTACAAGTGCAAGTACCGCCCGTGGTACTGCGAGATGTCCAAAGCCCATTTCTTTCCTCACATCGAGAGGAAGGAGTGGTGGAACAACAGTGGATCTTACTTCATTCAGGACTCTGTACATGACATCAACATGCACACATTATCCACCATCCACAAACATTTCATTTCATCTCATCGACACAGCAATCTGGCACATCTGCAACATCATGCCGTCTTATCACGTCTCGCCGTAATTTTCATCCGCATATCACTCTGCACCGCAAACCACTGCGAATGAAGTCGCCACGGCTTCTCGGGATCTTCAAACGCAACATCAAAGTCGCGAAGGAACTGTCCCAAGAACTTGTGCACTTCAACAAGTGCCAGATTACGACCGATACACATTCTTGCGCCATGTCCGCCAAAAGTCATGTCATTGGCGTTGAGGTAGCGGGTTTTCTCCTCGCTCTCCAGCCATCTCGAGGGCTTGAACTCGTTTGCGTCGAGACCTACAGAGTTAGCTGGCGATGGAATGCTGGAAAGAGAGAGCACATACCCCAGACCGATTTGTTACGATTCGCCGCGATGGGACTGACACCGACGTGTGTCCCAGCTGGAATACTTCGGCCCGCCACCACCATCTCTTCAGGCATAACTCTTGGCAGTTGATAGGTGATGCTGGGAATAAGGCGCATCGCCTCCCTGGCCGCTGCTGTGAAGTATGGCAGTTCTTGTGTTTGTTGGTAAGTGATGGCTCGCTGTAGACTGTTCTGCTCATAGTACTCGTCGATCTCCTTTTGGACCTTTTGGTAGACATCTGGATGTCTGACAATATAGTACAAACATGTACCCATAGCAATGGATGTGGTATCTGCTCCAGCGCCACTATCAATCCGAGTTAGTTTGATCATCAATCAAGGAATAATCGCTTACATGATATTCACAGCTTCGCCCAGCACATCCACATCAGTAGCAGGCCCGCCCGTTGTCGACTTCATCTCCATAAAATGCTGGAGCATATCGTAGCGTTCGTGCTTTCCAGCATTCTGTCTACGTTCCTGGATTATTGTCTTGGTCCAATTGTTGAACGTGTCGAAGGGATTGGGAACCCCCATCATGGTCAGCACTTTCCCAAAAGCCGGCGATTGCAGGATCCTGCTCTGCCCGATCCAGTGGCCAACATTGGATAATACATAGAAGCCCTCGTGAATCATCTTGCCCAAACCCAATTTATCGCTTTCGGTTTCCAATTGACCAAAAGATTGTCCATAGGCCAGAGTTCCAACAACATCAAATGCAAGCCAATCAAGCCAATTTGACATGACCACAGGATGGCCCTGATCGGCATGCTTTCTGAAACCGTCCATCATCAGATCAAGACATGGCTGGATATACTGCTCATAACGAAGCATCGCGGACATGGAGTAAGCTGGAGACACACGCCGTCGCATGAAGGAATGTTCCGCTTTGGACCTGGTCGAGAACAAGTTGGGGAATTCTTTGCTGTCCCAGGTACCGTACCATTCTGTTTTGAGCGCCTTTGAACCATGTCCGTACAGCTGCTTCGTTGCGTGCTCGTCAACAATCGAAAGCTCGTCCGGGCTGATTCTTACAATGGCACCATACTTCTCGTGGACCTGGAGTATATCGTCATGCCAGCTTCCTTTCAGGTATCGACGATTTCGCCATGATCCTGACAGTCTTGCCTCGAAGGGACCAGGGAAGCCAGCAAGGGGATGAAGTGTCAATCGGTAAAGAAGTGTACAGAGTACGAAGATTACCACAGCTGCAGGAATCGCCGTGACCCAGCGAATGTTGGAGAGATTGGTCAAAGCCTCCAGTAATTCAGACGGCATGTTTTTCGAATAACCAGTGTTCTAGTCGATCTCGATGATGGCAGATGAAATGGAGTGTTCTTCACGCGATCACTGGAGACCTCGCGTGTACATTTATTGAAGATTCACACTGTTACTATCAGGAAAGAAGTGCATGCAGCCGAGGGAGGAGTACATCGCTGCCTACGTCATCGTGCTTCCTTCCTTCCGTATAAACTTGACATCCGAAAAAGTGCTACAAAGATCAGGCGTCCCAAATAGGTAAGAGGTATACGAACCAACAYCCCTGACATCCTTCGAAGGATCGTTTGAGCGTTGTGATCCTACCGCGGCAAATCAAACTAGGGCTACAAGCAAAGATCGCACTTACATGTAGGCTTGGTAATGCCGATTTTTCTCGAGGTGGGAGGAAGCATCCACATGTCACTGCCGCCTTCGTATTGGTCGGACTCGTTGTGTTGAACATTTGGTTGGTTGTCTATGATCGCCCCTCAAGCCATTTCGAGAAATGTGTAACACAGTCCGTGGCTTGTTTTTCATTTATCATAACCTCATAATCTCATACTCTCCATACAATTTCTTTACACAAACATATCCAAAAACACATCCCCATCTCGCGCCGTCAAACATTGCAGCTTACCTACACAGCAACCAAAACMCCCCCCGCAAAAACCAAAGCCCCAAACATAGGACCCGCCGTAACAATCGCCGCCGCTACACCCGAACTAGTAGCAGTACCAGCAGTAGCAGCAGCGACCTTTGATTGGTATGAATTCTCAGTAATCATAATAGTCGACGAGCAAGACAGATTCGAAGGGATAGCGGAAGTGGCGGCAGCATTCCCAGAGCAAGAAATTCCACAGAGCGCGTCGGAGCCACTACCATAGAAATTTCCGGGACAGCAGTAGGTTTTTTGGTTGTAGGAGTATGAGGATTGGTTTGTGGGGCAGGAAGTCTGGCTACTATTGGTTTTGGTGGTGCGGGTTTTGGTGGCTGTTGCTGCGTTTTTGGTTGTGGCGTTTGGAGTGTCGTTATCGTTGTCATTGTCGGTGTTAGGTCTTCGTGTGGCCTACACAGTGGGATCAGTATAAGTAGAGTGTGGTTAGATGAAAATGCGACTTACGGCGAAGCTGACAGATATGAACAGAGTTTCGAAAGGACTCGGTGTCTTGGCCTCAATTCGCTGTGTCTTGGAGAAGCGGTATGTACTGCTCAAAATACAGTCAATCATGCATTTCTTATACCTATCTGCAGTAAGGCGTTCTGGTCTCGCTTCACCTCATGCCTCAGCCCCTCTTCAGCCTCRCCTTGGCTGCAGGAGATCTGCGAAGCAAGCAATGTCACGCTGGCGGCTATGTTGTTTGTGCTCGCTCGCTTGCCAAGTAAGTTACTGCGTATAGCCGAAACTGGCGATGTGACTTGTCGATCATGTCGACCAGATGTGTTGGCGAACGAGTGATGATTGGAGTCTGCGCACTCTCTGCAGCCTGTCAGCTTGTCAGCTTGTCAGACTGCTACGACTTCTCGGGCCTACATGTACTTCTTTCTCGGACTGTGTGTTGCTTGGTTTTTGAGGCTGTGCACTCATCATCTATGCATCCTGAATATAAGCATAATAAGTTAGTACCTTATCAAAGGAAAAGAAGGGGGTAATTCGAGGCAATGCTTTTCAGAAGATTTGGGTCATGTTCTCGTTTTGTTTCATATATTCTCCTCGCAAGGGTCAATTCTTGTATCAAGTTCGTCTTATTCTTCCTATCCTTTATCCTTCAGCATTGAGAATGGAATTTTGTTTGGTGCTGTCTCTGTTTTTCAAACACCAAGCGAAGCCCGAATAGCCTTGAAATTTGGCGATCCAAAGCCACTTGCTGCGTCCCAGCCAGCTTTTGCGGGGAACCCAACCGTAGTGTCACTGCAACCGGTGACGGTACCGGAGGTGATATCTGTGAAACCTGCTCCTTTGCTGGAGTAGAGCATCGGGTTTAGGAAACCCAGTGGGCTTTTGCCTGCGGCGAGGAGGGCGTCATTTACAAGAGTGAGAACTCCGGCAGCGACGGGGGATGCAACACTGGTTCCGTCCACGAGGTTTGGTGCTACCTGGTAGTTGATCAAGAAGTGAACACTCTGTGCGGCGATGTCGGGGTAAGCGCGGCCAGATGCATTGTAGAGACCCTGGTTTAAGGTACCAATGCTGGCAAGGTAACTTGTTACCGCAGCGTTCTGGTAGGACGGTCGTGCAAAGTAGTCGCTGAAGCCACCTCCTGGAACATAGGCACCGTCTTTGGCGACGACTTCCGGGCTGAAACCCATTGTTCCTCCGACCTATTGCAATGTATCAGCTTTCTGGGTGGATGGAAATGCTACGCTCAGAATGCGCTGCTGTAGCTGAACGTGTCTTTGTACTCACTGTGGTGACATATGGGCAGCTTGCTGGAAATGCTGGTAGAAATTTCGTGGTGTTCTTGCCGTCGTTGGAGACACATGTGCCGGTGTTACCAACTCCAAAGTCGCCTGAAGCGAACAAGAGTGTTACTCCCCTTGCTCCAAGTTGAGCCAGCTCGTGGCAAACACGCATAGCGTAGTCCCTGGGCACGCTCTGTTCGTCATCTCCGTAAGAGGTCGATATGACATAAGGAACGTCCTTTTGTTTGAGGACATAGTCCAGCCAGGTGAGATATGGCTCGTTAGTGTCCGTTGGAGTGTTGGCATCGGCTACAAACGGTGGCGACCCTCCAGTAGAGTAAGATGTGAACCTGGTTGGATATGCGATTCCGCCAACGGCCTTTGAGTCGTAAGAATTGGAATGAAYTATGGACACTTCAGGTCAAACTTACTTCAACGTCTAGATCTGCCTCGACACCGGGCATGAGCTGATTGTCGGCAGCCCCAGCGATGATCTGCATTGTTTATCAGCGGAAGTCAGCCTGTGAGCCCCTGAGCAGTGTCGTACCTGTCGAGTAAATGTGTAGTTCGGGTTCGCATCTGGCCTGTTCAACGTCATGTATGCGCGGAAGTCAAGAWCAGACGGCTATGGAATGTCAGCTCAACCCGTCTCATCGACTTTACCGCCACGTACCGTCTGGTTGAGATAGTTGGTGATTCCGACGTAGTTCTTCTCCGGAACCTTTGGCTTGTAGTCGCTGGTTTTGTATAGATCTCGAACGCACGAGAGTGTGACAGCCGTTGTCAAGCAGCCTGCAGGAGCTGACGCTCCTGTAAGGGCAGCAAGTTCGCTGTTAGGAGCCATCTCCTCCGAAATCCGCACAGTAGAGCCGAAGAACTTGGGGTTACCAAAATAGCTGCAAAGAGGTAAGAACTACTGCCTAAGACTTGTGAGAGAGGCCCATAGACACTCACTTTGTTGGAGCAACCATGTCAACATGGTGTTGAAGAGATTTTGGTAGGCTGTACTGCGTTGTTCGGACGACCTGCGTACCGTCGGCGTGCTGATACTGATGATATTCAGTATCGAGCAGCTGTTCCACCTTAAGCACCGGAAGCGAAATCATCATCCAGTCCTATGGGTACAGGTCAGAGGATGAAAAATAGGATGTCGCCGTTTTTTCTAGACTCACTTTCGGCTCGCTGTATTCAAGCTGATGGGCGAAGATGTCATGTTCCTCGAGCCATTGGTGCACCGCATCGAGTGACTCCTTGGAAGGCGCAGTGTGGGCGTGAATTTCGCTGGAAGAAAGATGCTGGCCATAGCGAACGTGATTCGGATCACTGACTTCGAACAAGTCTTGCTCAAGTGCCCCAAATGAAGCTTGCTTCAGACCGATCCGGAGCTTAAGCAGTTGTTCAGCCTGAGGCTTGCTGCCTCTAGTCCATCCCTCCGGTACAAAGTGAGAACTGTGGACTGCATAGTCGGATCTGTCCTGGAGGGGTGCAGCGAGCACAGCAGCAACGCTGTACGATGCGAMAAGCAGATTCACTCTCATTTTGGCAGAGGTGTAGGTCGGAAAAGGCAAGATGATGAATCTTGCGACAGCGTCAATATATCATAATCATATCATCATGCGCTACCCCTCTATTGCATGCTAAGGTAGAGTTGGGTTTGAGTTCCACTTGTAGCCGCCCTAAAGGCCTCGTTCTCGAAGATCGACATCTGTCGATCAAGGTGCTAGGCCACAGGTGGAAGGTCGCGTTTGGTATTGTCGTCCATACCGAAATACCCTCGTCAGTGGCTGCCGCAAAACTTGTTCTGTATACTTAGGTTCGCATTCTGTTGTGGGCGCGCATCAACAGTGACATCGACCCGTGCGATTACGGAAGCTTTCTGCTGTACAACCAGTGCCAGAAAAAGATGACCAATTGATAAGTCGGTAAAATTTCCATGTCGTACCGGCCGGAGCCGTGGAGCAACAGCTCGAAGGGACAGCCCTACAGAGGTAATCAACGTCCGAGTTTGTGTGCAAGAACTCGCTTGCCGTGCCGCTTGCCGTATGAATACGCTGGTACTGCCAGGGCCGGCGATGTACAACACGTATAAGATCATTCAAAAGTCTGTCCTGGCGAAATAGTGGGTTAAAGCACACACTGCAAGCTGTCAGCATGTCAGACTGCCAATATCTCGACATCTTAATAAGACAGCTTTGTCCTGTAGCTCTCCTCACTGGGTCTTCATTGGACTTGGTTCGCTTCTCTCGTGCAAAAATTGCACCAACGGACCACGTGGTCAAGGATCTTTTTGTATCGAGACGCTGTAGTCGTCCAATCTGTGCAAATGTGCTCATCATCGCTTGATGAACTCCCATAGGCTTTGTCTTGTGTGAACGGCATATGACTTCATTGCCTGTGGTCTGTAGAATTGCTGATTTGGGCAAACATCCTTCGCCTAGCCGGACTGCCTATTTCGATGAGCGCGATGCGTTGCACATTGTCGAGGAGATGCGGTATCTTCCACAGCAAGTCCAGCTCTGGCATCGCTTCCGGGTCGTTGCTTCGCCAGGACGCACAGTGCCCGATCTCAATGACACTGCGCAGAGCAGCAAAGCAGCAAAGCACTACAGCTGGCTACGGTCAAGACAATAGCTTTCCCAACCGCTCTTCGTCCAGAATCTCCCCTTCAAGCAAGCGTCCAACCTCCCGAATCCCTCCCTCACTAGACTTCTCAAAGCGCACCAATGCCGGTACGCTGTTGACATTCCACCCCACCCGAAAGACATTCTTCTGGTCTTTCCATCTGCGCACATTACGTGTCAGTATATGTATTGAATCAAACGGTGAGACAATCGCGACGGCCATACTCTAATCTGCTGCCCACATCAACAAACGCCGCCACCGGCTTCTTCGCTCCCGTGAATGAGGCTTCCAGAGTAGGTAGGGCGGCCACAACATCTGGACACCACGGTCTACGGGTCTGAGGGTCCACGGAGGCTAGAAAGGCGATGAAGAACACGGTCGTGGCTGGCGGTGGAAAGACCAGGTCGCTGGCGGCCTTTGGTATCGCGAAGTCGCGAATGATCGGCATATTTCCAGGTGAACTCTCCCGGCGTGGTGATGGGACTCGGTGCGGATGGAGGTGTTGATTGCGAGTAACGTCGCTGGAGGTGGGAAGAAGGCAGAACTTCGGCCCTTTGGATACCTATTGGCGTCCAATCCTGGATTATCAAGCAAGGATGCTCAGAAGAGCCTCTATTATGTCAAAGATGCTCGAGACGTCCACTTTAAGATGGATTGACTGATGGGCGCGGGCGAAGCTTGCACAAGGCTTGGCTTGCTTGTGCCCCGCTCATCGTTGGTTGTAATGTGTGAGCGCTACTCGGGAGACGGGGACAATAGGCGAATGGATTGCATTGATGATGTTTGGAGTCAAGAAGGATGGCATCGTTGCAAGCACATCTGCTACAGCGTCGACTCGGAACTGAGATGTTGTTGCACCTGAATTTGGAATGCGAGGCGCCCTGGTCGACGGCCAACGCGAACACGGAGGTGTGATCTTTGAGCTCACGCCGCCGCTCATCGCTCCTTGTCAGATCAATGATCCGAGTCGCAAGCCGATGATTCCAGGACAGGATTCACGTTGACTTGTTGGCCGCAACAATCTGCCCGTACGAGTACATCTCTGGCTAGAAAGAAGTTGCGATACCGCTCGGGACTATCCGCCGTATTAGTAATCCACACAGCGAAACAGCTTTTTCGCTTCAACACCTTCGCGTGCCTCTCGAACAACCGCATCCTCCCAAAAATCTCTCCGCCTCGCACCTCCGCAGGTAACGCCTGCCACATTGCTCAGATGGAGCTTTAGACAGACTACCGTATCAGCGAGACGGGAAACCGAAATGCATCAGCCATGATGGGCTGACGAAGAATTCCCATTCCGCCTTCGGCTCGCGGGATGATCAGCACGGCGGATGAGGAGGACGATGATATTGAAAAGAGGAGGTGGCAAAGCCGGGACACCAAATGATGATCGAAACAAAGAGTCAAGCACTGAGAATGCGTTCGTCGAGCTCGTTTCACGACGGCTCTTCGGCGTGCTTTGATGCGAAAATTGTTCAATATCTGATTATGTCCCGCTTTGTTGCATATAGCATCCATACGTATTTGCTGTATACATTACTTGCACCTTTCACTGCCGTTGTCGRCTCAATTGACTTGCTCGACTGTCAGCGACTGTCGCTGTCGCTTCGGCGGCCGTGGAAGAATTTAATGTGCTCCTCCGTCATTGCAGGTGCAATGCACCATGAGTTACTTCTCGACTCCAAGCTGTGTCGACATAGCGAGGCATTGTTCAGAAGGAGACAGAAGCTCGTTTGAGCTACGAATTCCCCGACCAGGCCTTCAGCGTCTGAACGACCTAGAGTGTGAATCTGGCGGAACGCGCGTTGCGACTTCAGGCTAATCAAGTCCCGAATTTTTCGACCAGACTCCACTATGTGACCAAGCCCTTCGTCGCTGCATCGTTATCTGGGGAGAYGGCATCCAGCAAGATTTTATCCTGCAAAGCCAAACATATCAGTCCACAATGCACCAGTCAGACGATTGGGTTCTTACCCATGCCCCTATCCACCAACGACTTCTGAACTTGCTCAAAAGCATGGCGTAATGTGTCTACCAATGTACGTTGTGTCAGCTCGGCCGTGATATGTTATGCTGAGCATTGACACGACGTACAAGGATTCGGAGAGCATTGGGGTCCCGTCGCCGAAGAAGAGCGTAGTATGCCTCTGAAGCCATTGCTGGGAACTTCAAATTGTCAGCCGCGACTGAGGTCACTGTACTAAGCCGGGACTCACAAAGGCGATTGATCGCACATCGGTCCTGTTGGCATCAAACCGGTCCCAAGCAGCATTCAATATTGCTACCGCCTCTGCACAAGCATCGTCAAGCACAAGGTCTTTGAGGTCCTTCAGAGTCTCGTCCTTGTCAGATGGATACGGAGGGGAAGCGACCGGCTTTGGACTCATGGTCTCGACAAGCTCTGCATTCGCAACATCCCCATGCAGTTGCCAGAGCGTCTTGGGTCCTCGAAACAAGGCGAAGAAGTTCRAAACATCTTCCAACGTCGGCTTAGTAGTCGCAGAATGGGCGGTGCCAAACGCCAATATAATTAGCATTAMGCTGAAAAGGAAGGCGGCGGTACGGTCTTGCAGGTCTGGGCTTTGAATCAAATCTCGGAAACCAGGCAGTGCAGCTTGCTGATGGTGTAGTGCTCTTTCGCGGTATATCGCCGCCTGTGGTAACAGGGACGCTTCTGGGCTCGTGCTGCATTGCAGAGCGAGGTMCATTGCCGCAAGAGCCAGCATTCCCCTTTGCAGCACATCACACGTTTCACTCCTAGCAGKCACAAAGTCTTCGCCAGTGTCAGCCGTGAGGATTCGAGACTTCCGCGAAGGTGTAAAGCGTATCCTAGAATGCTTACCTTGCCATACTTGACGTCCTCCTGTTCGAGAATCAGCAAACGAACGATACCCGAATGGAGCAATACATTTCGCACCATTCCAAGAACGAACCTTCAGTCGGGAAGAGATGGATTGATGTAACAGTCGAGTATCGATGCATAAGCGTCAGATCCAGTCCATCGTACAAGTGGTGTGTCCRACCGTTTGGACTTGAAGTGCTTGATTTGCCATCATAGTCAGGGATTGAACCTGAAGTGCTGCTTCGAGTCTCTTCGACGATGGTGTAGCTACAGGTCTCCTGTCTCCTAGTACAATTCTTACAGACTGGTCTAGCTTCGTCACACTGCTGAGTGTCAGTCCATGCGTTTCATCATTCATGATGTGATCGGCAGCGAGACAAACTTTTACATGTCTGCGCTTGCATGCCGTGCATCCCGTTGTTGTCTTGCCGTGGAATCGACGAGTCGGCATGCTGCAGCTTCTGCTTCGTACGGCAGATCGCTGCTCCAGTCTCGACAAAGTCCACGACATGCATGACGAGCTCTGACGTGGGCGTGTTCTGATTGGACCATTCCAAGCGGGAGCTCGCGCGCCAATATGGATCTGTCTTAGGGTCAGGGTTGGGGTAGGATAGATACTCCGACGAAGAGACGCTCCAGTGCCGTGAGACCATAACAATGCATCTATGCAAAGAGCATCTTGTGTCGTGATGTTTGATGAAAAACGGAGGCCTGTGTAGCAAACACATTCCACCTTTTCGTAATTCAATCCGGACAGACCAATCTCGAGGTTGCACGCAAATGGATGGCATTTGGATCTTGCGCTGAACATTGAAATCTACCTGACCAGGCCTAGCACAGACACACAAGATAAGGTAGCTCAAAGATTACCATGTTGGCCGTATATACGATGTTGTTGCTCTGTGAACATTCAATGGGTATCAACAAAACGCTCGTGGTTAAAAAGGGGCAATCTATGCCTGCCTGAACACAGAAGAAGACTCGAATATAAGGACGAGATCTACAACCAGGCCCAGGTAACCTGCACCCTCCCACTGGCAATAGGGGCCAGTTTCGCAAACGTGTCCTCGGTGATGTCGAGATCGGTCGGTGCACATCCGGTACATCGATCAACGACTCGCAAGTCTACACTCCGCTCCGCCCCGGCTTCTTCGTTGTATCGTTTCGCGCGGATAATCCGGCCGCACAAGGGATTTGAGTTGCTGTTTCCCCCTTTGCTGCTCGACGAGCCGGCTGCATCGAACAGCAAGTGCGACACCGAGACGATATTGTCTCCGTTCTTGTTCGTCTCTCCGCACGCACCGAGACCAGTTGCGAAGTAGGTCAGCTCGCCGGTATGCGCCTCGGAGTTGGTAGGTAGTGGGAGGTTTTTCGACCTGCGAATTTAATAATTGATCAGAAGGACGAATTTAAGCCGCACCGCAAAGAAGATGGCACCTACGAGCTTCCATTGCCGCTCAGACCGACCGCCAAACCCACGATGAGCGCAAGCAAAGCAAGAACTGCCGCCGTTAGTGCTATCAGGAAGTTCCTCCGGCTCAGGTGCATATATTTCCGGTGAGGCGGCAATACAGTATCCAGCTTGGYCGTTGCTACCGCTCGCGCCGAACGCCGCGGTGAATGGATGTCCTGTTTCTCGCCATCCGCCGCTGCGATGTGTTCCCATTCTGGTATCTGGACCTCAGTCGACGCCGCTCCTTTGCTCGTCGCCATTCTTCTCTCGAGAGAGCTGTCGCGCCGCGAACAGTATGCACAATGTATGTCCGCACGAAGGAGTTCACTTGATCGCCCGCGTTAGATTGKATCTATTCCTAGCGCGAGATTTTAGCGCCGAGGCCACGCCCATGTGAGATTGAAACATCACTTTGTTTCGACTTCCAGGTTATTCTTCTTCATCAAAATCTTGACTAGGCTATCAATCGGAAGGCTTCTCGAAGCTTTTGCCATCCGGGAACACCTTCCGGCTGTCCGCTCTCTGAGGAACTCCGCACAAGGTCGAACACCACTTGGTCCGACACACCGTTGTGAATATAGCAAACGCGAGCAGCCTTGAGGGAGACTTCACGGCCCAGAGCAGTGGGATTGCCCTTCTCATGAGTCCATTGGTATAGTGAAAAGGGAGTCTGGAGTACTGTGGAATGCTGATCTCCTGCGCTCCGTCAAATGCGCTACAACATCACCACCCCAAGACCATGTCCGGGGCTGGACCATGTGATTCACACAACTTGACCGGAAGCGTTTCAGTGCTTGGACCTGGAGAAATCTATATCCATATCCATGCAGTGGCACAAGAAGTCCGAACAAGCTTTCCAGGTTGTGGGTACGTGGCATACTCGTAACTAACCTATTCCTATGCAGCTGCAGACGTTCACGAGACCCAATGCCATGCCACGATGGAGCTCCAAGATGCTGGTCGTGTCTCGATGAAATCGTGTTGTTGACATGTCAGGCGATATGATGTCGCAGCCTTTACAAATATCTCATAGAAACTCGGCGCTGCTGGAGGTTGCGTTGTCTGGTGCCCGGCCCTCCATATTGAATGGCTTGTCAACAACTTGGCTGCCACGCTTTGCCACAGCAGAACATGGTTGTCACGCGCCCGGTGTGCCGCGATGTGCAACGCAGCAGTAACACGAACTACGTGGCTATCATTTGGAAGGTCACAAAATTTCAATTGCTTTGAGCTGTCTCTGAAGCCCGATCTAACCCTTCAGGTTCTTGATTGTCATATTTCAATCAAGTGAATACGAAGCGCTCCCGTTAGTAACAACAGCATCCTCTCCATCCTCTCTCCGCAGCACTACCGCGACACCTCTTCGCATCATTCTCACACTGCCATTTCCTTGCCACACCTCTCTCGCTCCAAGTCCACCTTCAAGCCTGTCATGACGCTAGAAACAGGTAGATCTGGCATATGTCAATACTTCACCGGCGCATGCGTGGCATACGATTCAACGACCTCAACAATCACTTCAACACTCACATCCACCATCGCCACTACGACCACGACGGTCTACATTCCAACGAGCAGTACAAGCCTTGCAAGCTCCAGCACAACTTTTTACACGCCGCCGCCTTATGCTTCATCTATGACGTCGACTGGAAATTCAAGCATGACTGCGAGGAGTAGTCTGGGCAATAGTGGTGGGTATATCGACGAGTATCGTGATGGCGGGAATAGGTACCTTGGAGATGCGAGCTCATTGCAAGCTCAGTCTTGGGGGATGGGTCCCGTTGCAGTGGGTTGTCTGCTTGTTTGTTTCTACAAGTATTTTGGGCCGTAGCCACTTTACTTCGAGCCGGGACCTTACATTTGGAGTGGAACACACCGAGTAGAATGGCATGCCTGTTTTGGGTTAACACTGCAATACGTAATGATGCCTTTTGTATACATCCCACCGGTGCTTGCTTCTCTATAATGTTCTATCATCATCATCATCTCGCATGCGAATCAAAGTTCCGTCGACACTAATACTTGAACAGTCTACCTCCACCACTCGCTCGTATTCTCCTGTTCAGCACGCGATAATAAAACACAAGCGCAACAGATCCAACAGCAACAAAGAACAGCAACCCAGCATTCGTCCAGTGACCAGTCGGATATCCCTTTTCTTTCTCATCGGCTTTATAGACCCAAACTCCCACAATCTGCCCCGGGGAACCAAACGAGATGTTCAACGCAATCACCAGTCCGACCGCCTCTGTGCCGTGGAGATTTGAGCTCAGCCATCCCAAGAGTGGTGGAATGCATGCGAATGCGCCTGATGTTGCTACGATCAGACATCCATATCTCGCCGAATAAGAAGATGGAGGTAGGACTGCCGATGCTAGAAAACCGATTGCGCCTATTAGAGAGAAGATGGCGCTGTGGAGTCCACGGGCATTGAAGTGGTMGGCACTCCATGCGACTAGGACTGTGACGACGTAGGCTACTGCGTATGGTGGGACGGTGAATAGTTGAGCTGAGAGTCCGCTGTATCSCAGTCCGGCAGTGATGGTTGGGGCAAAAAGTGAGAGGGATGAATAGGGGGTTGATATGCCGAAGTAGACCTGTCCAAAATGTCAGTTGGCGATGTAGCAGCTGAGCAGGAGGCGATACTGACCGCATAGTGTGCATACAGTCTCCAATCTGTGAGAGTGGCTTTCACCTCTTTCCATGACAAGTGACCGCCATCTCCATGAGATCCCTCGGCTCCCTGCAAGCGATCTGCTGCGAGTGCTTTCTGTTCTGGGGTGAGCCAGTTAGCCGTCTCCGGGTAGTCTGGAAGCACAAAGTACACAAAGACCGAGAAGACGAGGGAGAAGAGGCCCTCGAGGAGGAATAACCACCGCCAGCCCGAAAGACCCGATGTCTGGTTCATATGACCTATTCCATATGCGAGCGCTCCACCGAATGCACCGGCCAAAGCCGCTGAAGCTAGAATTAGAGCCACTCTGACTGAGCGTTCATCGGTTCCTTTGCGATATCAGCATGTATAATCGAAAGTTTGGAAATGGTAATGTACGTACGATACCAAAAGGTGATGTAGTAGATCAGTCCGGGAAATAAGCCGGCCTCAAACATCCCCAGCAAGAAGCGTAGAGCGGTCACTGTCGCAAAGTTGTGAGAGCCACTCAATCCCATGGTGGCAGCGCTCCATGCCATCATTAAAAAAGCCAGCCATGTGCTGGGTTTCAGTCTCTTTAAGAGGTAGTTGCTGGGCACCTCAAAGATGGTGTAAGCGATCAAGAAAACCATCAATGCTATTATATATTCCAGATTGGTCATCTTGGTGTCGTATAAAAGCTGCAAACGATCGTCAGAGAGGTGTTGTGTTTACGGCGAGGTTGATAGCATACATACATCATCGTGGGTATCTGCATTCAACACTTTCGCGTTGCCAATATTGCTCCGGTCTAAAAAAGCAAGAAGGTACATGAAGCTGCATAGAGGTAAAAGACGAAGGTCTTGCTTGGCAACGAGCTTCTTCTCTTCTGCTGTGCCCTTGCCATTGTAAGAGGATGCATGAGAGTTGGCAATGACTTCGTCTTTCAAGTTTGAAGACTCAACGTCTTCGCGCATGTTGTATGCTTCTGCATCTGCTTTTGACAATTTTTCGGCCATGATGCATTGTTGATTGACGGGAGAAAAGAAAAGAAAAGAAAAGAAAAGAGAAAGCAATATCTACGCAGGTACAAGCGAGACCTCAACTGCCAGTGGAGTATGTGGGGGGGCGAAAGGTCGAGCTGCGGTGTAGGAGACTCAGGTATCCATCCCCGCATGAAGTGTGGTCATGCAGAATGATGTGGGGGGATTATTGCTGCAGGTCGGGCGGTTCGGACTTTTGTTGGCCGAAGCAAAAGAGTCTCTCTTCATGACTCGACGTCTCATGATAGCTGCGAGGCCTTGAAACCCCCAACGAGGCATATTTTACAATGGAATGTAATTTTGTACAGCATGAAACCACAGCTGAATGCCCTCCCCTCAATCTTGACGGGTGTGTACTCTCCGCTTAACGCTGAAGTTTGATTGGCACAAACCACCTCTTCAACTAACAACGGACTTGGACGGTTCCGGAGCGGCTGYGCGAGTGAGATCAGCGGAGAGGCATCCTGGCGTGATACGGGATGCTGCAATTCACTGAAGGTCGAAGCTGCGTAAAGCCAAAGTCTCGATCCGCCCAAAGGTCCCCTCTAGATGACAAACTTTCCCTCGACCTTGACATCCCGACTGCTAGCTCCGACGAAGAATGGGTATTCTGCTGCCTGTAACTTCCACTGCTGAGCAACGACATCCCAAATGCTCAGATCCCTTCTAGTCAGCTCGAACGTGACATCTCCACATGCACCAGGTGCCAGATGAATTCTTCCAAACCCTCTGAGCTGCCACTGGGGAGCATCTGGGATGCTAACGTATAGCTGCGGTACCTCTGCAGCCGTGAGGTTTCCAGTGTTCGTTACGGTCACTGTAATCTTGTAAATCACATCCCACAGATCAGAGTGTCCACCTTGAGGAATGATGACTTCCTCGGCGGGATACTCGCTCATCTTGTCACTCGTAGCCGAAACGGTAACGTTAGACCCGTAGGAAAAGGTGGAATAGCTCAAKCCATAACCGAATTCGAATCTGGGTGTGATGTTGTACTTGTCGAAGTGTCTGTAGTCGATGTAGAGGCCTTCGGTGAAGTCGTCTTGGGGATAGGGGCCGCTACCAATGGTGGAGTTCAGGAGAATGCCATAATCACTCTCGTTCTTTGCGACAGTGTATGGAAGGCGACCAGACGGAGATACATCTCCATAGAGAATATCAACAAGGCTGTTGCCAGTCTCTTGACCTGGGAGACCAGCGAAGAGGACGGCGGTGATGTTCGGGTGGTCGATCCATTCCTAAGTGAAGAAGTCAGCTGCTTTCCCTGCTATTTCAACGAGCGAGAGCTTACATCAACGACACGAATTCCTGCAGAGTGAATCACAACGATGGTGTTGGAGTGGTTGGCCGCCACATTCTTGACCAGCTCATCGCTGAAATCATCCGTGAGAGATGTGCGATCGAATGACTCCGAAGCGTAACTGAGAAGAGAAGTCGTTAGCTAGTTTTGTAGACAGATGATGAATGATTGGTACTCACGCATTGATGAACACGAGTGAGGCCTCAGCGTTTGCATATACAGTCGGGTTGCGCGACGCAAAGTCCCAGCGAACCATGCCGTAATCATCGATGACTCGCCGCTGAATGGCTTCAAAGGGACTGATGAGATAGCTAGGCGTGTTGGAACCGCTGCCGCCTGCAGTGATCAGCGTTCCATTGAGTGTGTTCCATCCGAAGTTCTTTGCAAAAGTCATGTCAGTTCCATATCTGGTCATGGTTCAAAAACACTTACGACGTCGTATCCACCTCCAAATCTTGCAGGGGTCGTCCAGGGTGAGTYCGGTGCTTTGGCATCGTAGCCATATATATTGAGAAACCTGGGTTTGCTGAAAGGTAGAGTGCCATTCACATTCTTGACAAGAACAGTGCCTGCCGCGCCGATCTCGCGAATAAGTTTGCCGTGCTCAGCCCTGACATCGACAATCGGACTAATAACATTATAGTTGTGAACAGCGGGCTCGGGAAAGTCAACGTCTTGGCCAAGGAGATACCAGGCTGCGAGGATGCGGGTCACCATGTCGTTTAATCTGGTCTCAGCGACAGAACCATTGGTGACAGCAGCGGTGAGGTTATCGCCCCAATATCCACCATCTGGCATGACAAGATCCATCCCAGCGTTCGCAGATGCAACACCTGCATGTTGAGCTTGCCAGTCGCTGGTGACGAAACCCTGGAAGCCGAGTTCTGTCTTCAGGATTCCGTTCAACAGTTTGCTGTTCTGGCATCCATAGCTGTTATTGACACGCTGATACGAGCACATGGCACTCGCACAGCCAGCCTTCAAAGAGTCCATGAACGGAAACGCGTACAGCTCGTGAATCTGACTGACATGTCAATAAAAGTCTCTCGTTCCATAAGACACCCACTTACCGTGCGATCGTCAGCATTGGTGGAGATAGCCTCGCCCGGCGCACCGACACCGGGGTTACGTCTCCATTCCTGTTCGTTGAGCAACCAATGCTTCATCTGGGCAATGACTCCAGTGCTCTGCAGTCCAGTCGTCACAGCTCCCATTCCCACGGAGGAGAGGAATGGATCAGCCCCAAAGCCCTCCCAATTCCTCCCACCACGGGCTACGCGACCTAGTGGCCCTCCCACAGGAAGCAGAGCAATGTTGATTCCTTTGCCTCTGTATTCCTCTCCCAGCGCCTTGCCATACGCGTGCATAAGAGCTTTGTCAAACGTAGCTCCAACATGGATCTGGGCAGGGAAGGCCGTTACAAACTCTTGCCCTCTTATGCCGGCAGGAGCGTCGGCGAAACAGAGCGGTTTGATCCCCAGCCTTTCGACTGCTGGTGTGTTTCCCACACAAGTGCCGACATGTCCGCGGGTCATGTTGACCTTCTCTTCCAGGGTCATCTGTTCAACGAGGGCATTGGCTTTGCCGTATGCTGTCTGCCATTCTGCGTCAACTCCACCAGTTCCCTCCGCTGGGAGCGAATATTGTTAGCATCCAACTAGTGCATCCCAAGAATGGCAACTCACGAGTCGGATAGACTGGTGGACTTTGTCCATAGTACGGATCGGGCTCGTCGGTGTATGCAATGGCCTGCGTATTGTTCGCCAGCAAGAGCAGAGCTCCAGCAAGTTTCGTGAGGCTCTTCATGCTTCCCTATAAGATGTAGCCACTCACATCGTCACTACACACGGGCGACCATTTTTATATGGTCAATGGATCGGACGTCTTGCCCGAGACAAGCCCGCTTTTCCCCTCGCCTAACCCGCATCACGCGCTGGAGAATTTAGTTCATTGTCGTTCATACGAGAGGTCCCGCATCGAATTGTGGAGGAAGCCGACGTGAGACCGTGAAACCAACATGGATTTTCAGGCACAATACACGCCAAGAGCCTGTTCGGGCAACAATGATGCCGATGGCATTTGCCGATCGGCATTGAACAATGGCTCGTCTGTACTCAATGCTGAGAGAAAGCACTTTTGTTTCTTTTCTCTTCATGGGCAGCGTTGTACTCAATGCTGAGAGGAAGCACTTTTGTTTCTTGTCTCTTCATAGGCAGCGTTGGAAAGGATCCATGGTCGAATGGCAAGCTGAGGTGTGGAAATATCAGTACAGCAACACATCGCGTACTTACTTCAACCCAATCCTGATGGTGGGAGCTGTTTTGCATGGCTTCAATTCCTCTGGTCGGTATGGTCGTTGGTACAATAGCCTTCTACACCGTTCCATCCATCTACCAYGCCCAATTGTCATCATGTGATCGCTATCCTTTCTATTCTCCGCCGCCGCYGCCGCCGCCTGTCCTGGCGCTCTTGGCACYAACGATGTCATCCACTCTCAACAACAAGCATGCGCTCTCTACCGCAGTCTTGACGCTCTGAAGCTTGACAGCCTGTGGCTCCCAGATACCAAAGTCCTTCATATCGACAACCTTGCCAGCATCGCCATCGATGCCCCAAGTGCTACCTCCTTCTGCGTGCTTCGCCCTCAACTGTGTCAACACCCGGATGGGACTTGCGCCAGCGTTTTGGATGAGTGTGCGTGGGATGACCTCCATTGCTTCTGCAATCGCCTTATAAGGCCACTGTGCCACACCTTCGACGCCCTTGGCCATCTGGGAGAGGCGGACGGCGCATGCCATTTCGGTTGCGCCGCCTCCTGGGGAGAGATATGGGTGGAAGATGACATTACGGGCTACGCTCATGGCATCGAGGAGGTTGCGGTCAATCTCATTGAGAATGTCCTTGGACGGGCCGCGGAGGAGGATGGTGCATGCCTTGGGGTCTTTGCATTTGGTGAGGAAAGTAAAGTAGTCGTCGCCGATCTTGGAAATGTCAAACAGACCACACTGCGTACCGACATCCTTCTCTGTGAGGTCGTAGACGGAGTTGACGATGGTAGCTCCAGTAGCGCGTGCGACACGGTTGGTGTCTGATTTCCGTACGCGACGCAGGGCGGTGATGTYATGCTTGAGAAGATAGTGCTGAGCGAGATCCGAGACGCCCTTCTCCGTGATGACGAGATCGGGCTTGACGGCAACAATGGCATTGCACATGGATTGGATCTGCTCCTCTTCAATCTGCAGAATGCGGTTCCAGTCCTCCTCCTTGCTGATCTCAATGTTGGTGGCCGATTCACCCTTCTTGTATTCCAGCGTGCAATCGAGAAGGACGATGCGTGGGTTCTCTATCCGTCTGCGCATCTTGGGGTGGGTAATGTCCTTGTTGAGCATAACGCCGTCGAGTACTGTGCTGTCCTCAATCTCACCACCCGGCACCTTTTCCACACGCGCATATCGCTTGATATCCACCTCTTGCTTGCCACCGCCTGCGTCGTGGCTGACCGTGCGTACCGCCTGTAATGCCAAGTCGCACATGAGATCTGAGTAGCGGGAGGTGAACTTTGTGCCGATGGAGGTGGAGATGAGGTTGCGCATGACTTCATTGTCCGCAACGTCGACGGGAATGGAGACATCCTGGATGACCTTGATCGCATCGCCCAACGCCCGCTTGAAGGCCTGGATGATCACGACGGGGTGGATGTTGCGCTCAAGCTGAGGGAGGGACAGAGCCAAAATCTCGCCGGCCAGGATAATGACGGTCGTGGTGCCGTCGCCGACCTCCTCGTCCTGTGTCCGCGCCAGCTCAATCATGCTCTTCGCTGCTGGATGTGCTACTTCAATCTCACGAAGAATGGCGTGTCCGTCGTTGGTCAGCACGATGCCGCCCATCGGGTCCAGCAGCATCTTCAGCATTGCTTTGGGGCCCAGACATGATCGGATAATGTCCGCCACGGTCTTTGCCGCTGTGATGTTGGAGTTTTGAGCTTGTCGGCCAGTCTTGCGGTCACCGGTCGCCGTGTCTGTCCAGGTATATCAGCAGCTAATTCCTCCTGGCATGCTCAATGCAATATACTACTCACTCATGACCACCACTGGGGCCTGCATCTTGAAATGTCCGAAGCGCTTATTGCGCTGGTACTCCTGTTCTGTTTTATCTCTTCCACTTGACTGTCCTTGAAGATCCCCTCGTGTATGTCGTTGGCGTGGGTTCGCAGATTCGTTGGGCAGGTTGTTTGTATGCCACGAGCTTCTTCCACTCCGTCAACTTTTTGGTTGCCCCGCGACATGCTGGCAAAAGTCGTGGTTCTGCTGTATTCTACCTATATTCACGCTTCCGACAACACTTCTTCACTTGCAACATCAACCTCCCTCGCTGCACCGCGCCACATGTTGTAACAACATTAACCAATTTGCAGGTGATGATCAATGGTCCAGCATGGTTGGAATGCTCTCGCAATCCGAGCGCTGCGAGCTCGAGTCGGCTATTTCTGACCGGGACCTCTGCAACCGGATGATAAAATCAGAATGGCTGCGCGATGCTGTGTATCGGATGCCATCTTGGTTGGACCAAGGCTGTGCAATCATCGGCAGGCCAACCGCTGTTTCACCGGCTCGAAAGATGGAGTTTGAAAAACCCAATTTGGAGCCAGCGGGCCAGGACGAGATGCGTCTGGTTCGCAACAAAAAAGCCATCAAGCAGGTGGTGAATGAGATTGCACAGTCGGAAGTTACCCACCTGAAGAGTACCATTCTGGCGCCTTTCTACCAGCGATTTCAAGAGGATCACAATACAATTGTGCAGCTCAGAAGGGAGGTATCCGGTCTTGAAGCTGACTTGGAGGCGGCCCTTCAGCAGCGCCAACCAGGCAATAAAGAGAAGCTACAGACACCCATTCCAGCCACAGAGGATGTTCCGGCGATCATTTCGACCGGCGAGAAAGAATTGTCCAACGTTGAACTGCCAGCTCTTGTCACTAACGGTGTTGGCGAACGAGCAACCCATGCTGATCTTACCAGAAACGAAGCTCCCACTGCCGATGTCACCGAGAGTGATCCACCGTTCGTTAGCAGCACTGATGAAAGTGCCTTGGTTCCTCGAGTCGAAACGCCAGCATCGATGGCGGATGTCGAACCCACGCCTGACTCTCGTACACTCACCTCACCTACACCGAAGCGCAAAGCCCCTGCGACACCCTCTCACGATGCTCCGGAAGTCCGCCACATTGAAGCGGGTAGAATCTTTGACGACGATTTGGCGCGCCTCGCGATTCACGTATTTGAGCAGGTGCGGAAGCCTCTACCGCGGGACCCCATTGACGCCTGCGGCCCTGCCACGTTGAGCATCATGATACAGCGGCCCCGAGACGCCGTGAATCTCGCACACCAGAAGTTGTATGCTACCACGCCCGACAAGGTCGAAAAATGTTGGCATCGGCTGTATGAAGATGCCACCTTGTGTCTTATCGCGCAGCTATTGCATAAGCAGTCCCTGCGGGCACAGCCAGCAGCAAACAGAGCCAAGCGTAGGAAGCTCACTGACGGCGCTATCTCTGGTTCTTGGCTGGAAGTCATCGTTGGCAAGTTGGATAAAGTCATCATTGTTGCCGGTGCGCCTGGACGACGTGACTTGATTGACGATATCTTTGAGGTCCTGGATCCTATCGCTCAACGTACTATACAGGATGAAGGCCCACAGCGGTTAGTACGTGGTCTGACCCCGCGAGGTTTGGTCACGAAGTCTCCCATCACCAGGCCAAAGGTGGTCATGTCGCCGCATGCATTTCGGCATTATGTCGATAGAGTCGGCAACGTTGTCCGCCCGCTTGTGCTACGAGGTGTCATGGCAGACTGGCCAGCAATGGAGCTGTGGCAAGACCTTCTCTACCTCAAGCGCCAYACCATGGCTGGACATCGACTCGTCCCGATCGAGGTTGGGAAGAGCTACACAGACCCGGGGTGGCGCCAAGAGATCATTACATTCTCCGAGTTTGCAGAACGCTTTCTGGTGCCAGACAAGCCCGAGCAGACGGGATACCTCGCGCAGTACGACATTTTCCGGCAGATTCCGACTCTGAGAAGCGACATCCACATCCCGGACTACTGCTACTCGGCACCTCCCCGTCCCACAGGGGCTGCTGCGCGAACCAAAGGACTCGATACTGTTCAGGATATGGATCAGCCACTGCTCAACGCCTGGCTTGGTCCGAAGGGCACCAAATCTCCACYCCATACCGATCCTTATCACAACATTCTCTGTCAGGTGGTGGGATACAAGTATGTCCGCCTGTACGCACCAGAGCAGACCGACCGTCTTTACCCAATGGGTGTGGATGAGGTTGGGATTGAGATGGACAATACATCCCAAGTCGACATTTCAATTATCCGTCCGACAGGTAACATCTCTCCTGGGCTTGAGGCTATGCGGGCCGACACGCGGAAGAGATTCCCTCTTCTAGAGGGTGCAGCATACGAGGAGGCAATGCTGGGACCAGGCGAGAGTCTGTACATTCCACTGGGATGGTGGCACTATGTGGAGAGTCTGACCACGAGCATTTCGGTCTCATTTTGGTGGAATTGAGTTGAGGGCTGGATGTGAATGTCAGGCGGGAAGGAGTCAAAGGACGAGTGGGCGTTTCAGCAAGGCGGGAGGGAGTGAAAGGACGAGTGAGCGTTTCAGCAAGGCGTTGGGCGGGTTCGTCACACATGCAGGTTGCTGTGACATGGTTTCGCGCATTATACCCATGGAGTCAATGTTTTCGCCGGCAACGGCATGAAGGAGCTATACAAGAAGGAGTCAATGTTTTCGCCGGCAGCGGCATGAGGGAGCTATACATCAAAAAGGAAAGGTACCAAAGTTGCTACAGATTGTCTCGTGTCTCGTGCATGGGAATATCCAAAGGTCTCCCGTTTGGGAGCGACATGCTTTTGTGACTGTTGGTGCCATCTTGATTGACCATGAAAGAGATCACTCGTCGCGATGTAAACAGCTTTCACGAACGACAAGCCTCTCATGCCTCCGACGGCCATGTCTCAGCCCACCCACAAGTCCAGGCTGTCCAGCGTCCCGCACTTGGTAGCCTTCCCGTCCCGAAAGCGACCACGAGCCGAGAAGGGTTCACATGACGAGCGCCATGGCCGGGATAAACATAACATCATGCGCGTCGCCGAAGCCCAGACACTCTATCAACAGACCACCCAACACCTTTGAAAATATACCCTCCCTTGGACCATGCGGTGACCCATTGCTGTTTGATCAAACCACCCGCTCCACACCGCAACGATGAAGGACCCCTTCCCACTCGCTCCGCCGCCCGCCCTCATCAACCTCACGCAACCACTCGCCGACTTCCTCTCCCTACCCACTCTTCCTCTGCATATCCACGAAGTCATCTTCGCTTTCGCCCTCTACACATGGATCGGCGCCGTCGTCTCCCCCTTCCTCTCGCGTCGCTTTTGCCCTGAGAAGTACAATTCTCTGAACAAACGCACGCGCGTGAACTGGGATGTGCATGTCGTGAGCTTCTTCCAGAGCATCATTGTCTGCGTCATGTCCTTTTACGTCATGTTCTATGATGAGGAGCGGAAAGCGGTGCGGCCGCGAGAGAGATGGGAAGAGCGAGTGTGGGAGTATACGGGTTGCGGCGGAATGCTGCAGAGTTTCGCGCTGGGCTACTTTTTGTGGGATTTCATCYAGTGTTCGTGGCATTTGGAGATTTTCGGATGGGGCATGTTGGCGCATGCCGTTTCTGCGCTGTCGGTGTTTGCGCTGGGCTACGTATGGCATTTCCTACAACCCTCAAGATGGTGGTGATCATTGATCTAACATGTGCGTGCTTCTTCTAGCGGCCCTTCATCTACTTCTACGCACCCGTCTTCCTTCTCTACGAGCTCTCCTCGCCCTTCCTGAACATTCACTGGTTCTGCGACAAGCTCAACCTCACTGGGAGCATCTACCAAGCCATCAATGGCGCCTTCCTCACCGGAACGTTCTTCGCCTGCAGGATCATCTGGGGAAACATCAGTAGTGTCTATGTTTTCATGGACGTCTACCGCGGATTTCGCTACGGTAACAGCAGTGTCCGGTTGGAAGAAGGCGGTGGGATGAAATCCGGCGTTGCGGGCGTGACCAGCGTCCCCGGCAGATCCTACACCACCGCGGATCTCCTACAAATCTACGGCGACGAGCAAGGCCAGAGATATGCCTTTGTGGGAGAAGACCATGTCCCACTCGCTCTGGCATTGACCTATCTCGCTTCGAACCTCGTTCTCAACTCCCTCAACATCTTCTGGTTTGGCAAAATGGTGCAGACGATTCGAAGTAGATTCGATCCACCAATCGGGACGAAAGGCGCGAGTACCAAGGAAGTGCACTATGAACCTGTGGAGAAGACGGAGGAGAAGGCGAGACAATCCGAGGCGAGAGAGGCAATTGAGCGGGCGAAGCGTGAGGGCAGAGCCGCCGCTGCCGCTTCACCCGAGAAGAAGCAGGGCAATATTACAGCTGCTCGGGAGCGTGCCGAGGCTGTCTTGGCTGCTGCTCCAGTGGCGGTTGATGCTGCTGCTGAGTTGCAAAGAGCTACTTTCACTGACGTCAATTCGAGCGCGGAGATTGAGGGGAAGAGAACGCTGCGTACGAGACGGAAGGCTTAATTGTAGCTGATTGCATTTTACGGTGTGGAGGCTTTGCTTTGCGGTTGGTCTTCTGCTTTGGAGCTCGCGGGTCAATGGGTGGATGGTGCGGCGACGCGGTTGCGGTACCTTTCCGTCAGCTTTGCTTGATACTTGTATATACGACCGAGATGAACGAAAATGAGATGTCAATCATGCGAGAGATTTCGCTATGATGAAGGAGATGCTACAAGTATCGCTTCCCCTCTCTGAACGACGTCTCTCCTGACCTGTGCGCAGGCTCAGAGCATGTCTCCTATCCCAATCAATCACACTCCCCCACACCCTATCTCGCAAATCCCCTTTCAAGAGCACCTGTTTTCCATGAATCGTTCTTGTACTACATGGCCCGCTTGTCCACCACGTGCGGTCCCACCCTATACATCCTCACAATCCCCTCCAAATACCCCATCGAAAAACCCCCTTTGAATCCTACCCTGCCAGCAAGCTCCTTCGCTTCACTCTCCACATCCTCCATAATGTCCTCCACAACATCATCCGGTGCGTCAAAAATCTTCGTCACAGCATGTCGTCCCCACAAGGCATMAGCAGCCCTCGCAGCCAACCTCAGACTCGCAAAGCTACGGTCTTGAACCGCGGGAAACGCGGCAATTGTCGAATGAATCTCCAATGCGCCTTCTCCATACTTTATCGTCGTCTGCCACATCGTTGGAGGTTCAGGACTGCGTCGACCATGTTTTCGCATCCAGACTATACGTTCCGGTAACCATTTCTGCAGCGACGKGATTGCAGACGCCAAGATGACTTTGATCGTGAGATTTCGGATGAAGACAACGTCCTTGAATCTGGCAAGGATGTGTGCGGCGCGAGGAGAGAGAGCAAGTCTTCCGCAAATATCAGAAGTTGGATCGTGAATTTCGTGCTTGTTTCTGGGAGCCTGCCCGTCCCCGCGACTCTCGAGGATTGCGTGTCGCTCACGAGCATCACAGCCGATCCAAAGTTGGAAAGTGACGGTCTCGAAGAAGATTGGAATTGATTCCTTTCGGAGTTGACGAGATGCGCAAGCGACTTGTGGGAGGTGGAGGTATTGGAGAGGTTCGTCTTCGATAATGTCATTGCCGTACGGCCGGTGATCAAGGAATAGAAAGGTGTAGATTGCCATGCGGATTTCAGCGGGCAGGGTGAGGAAGGTTGGCTTGTTGCTGGGGTTTTTGGAGTCGTTTAAGTCATTGTTTGATGTTTCTTCGACAGTGCTCGCGAGACCTTGCTCTTCCGAGCATTCTGTGACTTGTTCTTCCGTACGATCAACAATCTCTAGGCTTCCGAGAGGAAGGTCGGCTGATGAATTCATGGCCAATGTGTGTGTGCAATACGCAGTAGTTGAGTATCGGCTAGTATGAAGCGATGGCGATGTTGGCGGATGGAGAAGTGAGAGATGGATAAGTGAGAGATGATTGAGTGAGAGATGGAATCAAAAGAAACATTTGCAACAATGACAACCAGGCAGCCGCGTTCGACAGATTTTGCATGTGATTGATAGTCAGAACTGATCAACTTACAGTGAAGGTACTTCCGTCTCTTACTGCTCACCACGACCATCTCTCAATCGACCTCCCTGAACATCATTTCAAATTCTACCTACGCCTCATCCTTGTCCTCCTCCACAGCAGCGGCCTGCACAGGCGCCGGCGATGCAGCCTTGGGCGGTCCCGCTCCACCTTTGGGTGGCGGAGGCGGCAAGCCCGTTGCACCAGGTTTAGGCGTCGAGCCCCCTCCCTCCAATTCCCGACTCTTTTGCTCGCCCTCGGCGAAGTAATCATCCAMCCCCGCCGTAGCATTGCCCCCAGTATGATGTGCTCTCGCCTTCCTCGCCTTCCCTCCGACTTTGGGCGGTGGTGGAGGTCCTCCACCTCCCAAAGCTGGAGCTGGACTAGTGACAGCCAAGTCGGCTGGAACGAGGAACGCTCCCGGAGAAACATTTGCATCAAATTGTTCCTCCCCACCAGCACTCTCGAACAACGTCTCGCCAGGCCCCTGCGTCGGTTCTCCAAGTGGAGCTGGAATTCTATGCAACGCGCCATACCCCAATACACACCCCAATGCCCCTTCTCCACCCCACCCTTTCTTCGGCACAAGCGTCACCAATCTCGTGACATCATATTCCTGATTATAAACCCAAACCCGCAATTCCCTCCCCAGAAACGCTTCGACCAATTGTCCCAGTCCACTGTCCCCAGCGATCGGACCTTCAGGACTCCCAATCACATAGTCGCTGTAGGGCAGTAGACCAGCAATATCAGAAGGAGAATTCGGGATAACGTCCAAGATATGCCAGATCTCATCCACAGCACTAAGCGGAGTCCATTGCAATGCCAATCCCAGCGTCGCCGGAGCCGGGGGAACAGAAATATAGACTTCCCGAATGGACTGCCCTTTCGCACCATAAACTCCCAAAGAAATGGTACTCCCCGCGCAGTTTTGAATCTCCGTCATGAAGAGAGAAGGATCCGGATTATCGATATTATGACCATTGATTCCGATGATGAAATCAAACCAAGGATCCAATGGAATCTGAGGGTTGGTGTTTCGTAGAATTTGGAAGCCGTGGTGGGTGGTACTGTTGTTATTCTGCGAGGGTGATTGTCCGCTGATGGTGTTACCGCCAGAGGAAGCTGCGGCGTTGGGGTCCGAATCTAGGCGGGAGATGAAGCGATTTAGAGCGCCGAACATGTTGGCCATTTTGATTCTCTCTTTCTTTCTTTGGAGTGGTGGGGTTTTGAATGTTCTTGATGGATTAAGGCAGTTTGGGAGATGTTGTGTTGTCGGAAAGGAGCAAGGTGTTGTTAGTCAGRGGGGTCTGATTGGTGCGCTTGAGGGAACGGGTAGAGCCGGCGGAACAACAACCTCACTCTCGATGAGGAGGGTAATTTCACCATCAGACGAAGATKCGCTTGAGAAGACTGGCTTTCGCAAATGTTTGACAGAAAATTGGATCTTGGGATGAATGAGAATGAGCATACCTACATTCCACAAAACAGTCGAGCATCCATACAACAATGCCATCCTCATCATCAGCAAGAGAGACACTTATATTCAACACTTCTCCTTCTATCAAGCCCAATCATCATTATCAAGCATAGCGAGCCGAACAGCGATCTCATCGCAAGAAGTCATAATTGCCAAACCACACACCCCGTCATAATCAACGCCAACCAACCAATCCTCCCCAGTCCAATCCAACAACCATCACTCCCCACGAAAGACAGTCTCATCACCCCTGATTTCTGATTTCTTCATCAACCCTCCCTTTTCATAGCGCCCGGATCATAAGTCCACCCGCCATCCCTCACAATCTTCGCTCTCAACTCCCCGTCCCTCCTCTTCTCGGCACTAGTAATCTGATCTCTATTCTCGACCCAGAGCGCCGAGCTGCCCCGATTCCGGAATTGCTTCAATCGTTCCGTATTCTTCCCGTTCCTAAACATTTCCTCCATATTCATCTCTCCAATCGGTCCGAAAACTGTCTCGGGGTCAATCAACTGCTGATCCTCCAATTGTACTTTTAACGCGGGTGTTGCTGCCCAGGAAGGAACTCGGAAACCACCTCCTCCACCGCCTTCCGACTCGGAATCTTCATCCTCGGAATCCGTCATGATCTCTGGAAGTTCGATGTTGTCGCCTAGAATCGTGCCAGCGGATTTGGGCGCTTGAGAGGATTTCGGAAGCATGTGTGGTCCCGGTCGGGCKGGAGTTTTGTACATTTGAGGGTTGTTCTGTTGTTGAGTGTAATGATGTTGGTTGGAAATCTCCGTCGTGACGAAGGGGTTGCGTGCGGACTGCGATTGAGCAGGCCCGGGATAATTCCTCTGCTGATCGGAAGACTCGGATCCCGCAAAGGGGATGCGCGCCGAGCTCATCTGGACAAGATGGCTGGGATGCATCGGTTTGTGTTGGAGATGTTGCATCTGGTTGGAATTGCCAGATTTGAACATTCCACCGGCGGCGTGGTGTGCGGCTGGTGGCGGAGCGTGGCTGTAGCCGTGGGCAAACTTGCCAATGTTCTCCTGCGGATTGTCAGTGCTGAATGTGTGATTATGGTGAGTATGTGACATACCTTGCGCATGGTRGAAGGTCGTTTGGGTGGCGCCATGACACTGGGTCTGCTGGATCCCATGCCACTCATTTGCTCATCCGGTTCTTCATTCGTCCGGCGTCGTTTTGTATCGGCTGCAGGAGCGTTCTCCATCGGTCGCTTGAGCGCAGGCTTGAGAGTCTTACCCAACTGTCTCAATGTGCCAGGAACATCACTTCTCGGATGGGCTGTGTTCGCGACGGCTCGCTCTCGTTTGATGGTTTCAGCCAGGTCATGTGCAGCGCGAGAGCGTACCTCTTCCGCCTCCTTGTCAGCCTCTCTCTGAGCCTTGACTTCAGCACGTCTTCGCTCCTCCGCCTCCTTCTGCTGCCTCACTTCGGCCCGTCGACGCTCCTCAGCCTCTGCCTTTCTTCTTTCGTCAGCCTCCTTTTGAGCCTTAACCTCTGTTCGTTTCCGCTCAATCTCCAACTTTTGTTCCGCTTTCCTCGCAGCGGCTCTCTCATCGGCTTCCTTCTTCTTGGCGGCAGCTTCAAGAGCCTTGACACGGCCGGCCATGGCGGTTGCAGGGCGAGAAGAACCATCCCTTGAAGGTGGCGGGGGTCGCTCATTTGTGGACTTGGATAAAGATGGTTGAGCAGCATGTCCCTGGCCCATTCTTTGCGATTGGGATGCCACGCGAATGATGGCGGGAGCTGGCTTGGATTGGGTGACTTCCTTAGTGGGACGAGCCAGTCTTCCTGGAGCACGCAATTTGCCAGTCGAAGGAGCGGCCGTCTTTGCTGTTGCGGTGGAAGCAGTTTCCAACTCTTCATCGTTGCTCTGCGCTTCCAGCTTCGCGGCAGCACTAGTTCCAGCGGATGAAGCAAAGATCTTCTTTGCAGACTTGATGGCCGACCAGAGCCTGTTCTTGTGGGCAGAAGTCTCGGCCTCTGGTGCGGCGGGTGGTGGGATGATGGTCGATGCACTTGCCTTTTGATGCAGGCTGGGACGGAGCGGAGTCATGGATTGGACTTCGACGACGGCCTTTGGCAGAGCGGGAGTCGATTTCGATTTTTGAAGGGGAGTCTCGGTGGCGGAGAGGAGATTGTTGGTTTCTCGGCCCGCGAAAAAGGCGGGCAGAGTGGTGACCGAGTCCGACTTTTGATGATGTGACGCTGGAATGGGGTTCGATGTGGGCGCATCGGCCGTGGAGGGCAGATTCGGCAGAATGGAGTTGGATTTGAATCTTTGATGTAAAGGTTCGCGGGCGGGGAGAGCAGAAAAGGTGAAGCTGCTCTTGCGATGAAGAGGCTGTTCTTGCTCCGGGCTAGATGTCTCGGACTGTGCCTCCACGTCTTCAATCCCGGCGTGGTTTTCTTTGTTGTTCTTATCTTCTTCATCACTCTGGTAGACGTGTACCGGTGGATGGATATGCTCCATGTCGACATCTTTCTTCTCTTCCGCCTCGACGTTCTCCGGGTCAAGCTCCTCCATTTCGACATCTTCCCGCTCGGGAATGGTCTCCGCCGCAGCGGGACTGTCATGCTCCTTGGCAGACACAAATGTGGCATCGCTGGTGGTGGCACGCTTGGGAGATGTGATGCGTTCGACGGGCTGTTTAGGGGGAGATGGAAAGYGTTGGACGGGAGTGTTGGCCTTGAATGGTGATCTCGGTTGAGGAGGCGGCGGCGCAATCTTGAATGGTGACTGCTGCTGCTGCTGCTTGAAGGGCGATGGCTGCGAGAATTGGTTCCCCATGTAGGCCTTTAGCGGCGATGGCGGCAAGCCGGCGGGAGTGTTGGGCGCAAAGATGTCCGTCAGAGGCGCGCGCGCATGTCTCGGGTCCGTCTTTCGAATGGTTCGAGGAGTCTTTCCCCGCAACTTGGAGGGAGTCTTGAAGACATCGGCGAATTTCTGGCGGGAGTGGGTGAAGATGTCGCTCATGTTCTCGTTCAGCCATTCCAGCTCATTCAACGCGCTGCATCGGAATTCGTCCAGCTCTTGCTCGAGATATTCCGTCGCCTGTCCTCGTTCCGCCGCGATCCATGTCGCCGAGCCGAATGCTGGGCGTGCGGTGGACATGTTTGGCGGTGGAAGGTGGAATGTGGTGGGTTGGATCGGTCGAGTCGGTGTTTGTTGTGTTTGTTGATCGACGACGACGCGATGTTGTGGGTGGGGATCGTCTCATTTGGCGTCGCACGTGATTCGTCGGAGGTCCCTCTCTTTCCAACGTCACGTCACATCGCGCTTGTCATGGAAACATCGACTACCTGACATGTACTTTGGGTAGATTCATAGGTATTCCTACGACATCGTCTCAATCATGCATGCTATCGGATTGGTCATCGACAACATTGCCCAGATTCCGCCCTTCGCATATTCGAAGATGGGTCATCAATCCTGCAAGTGGTGTCCCCGCAGGATTCATCACCATCTCACCTAAGAACCATAGGTACCTACCACATTCCTCCCGATCCCACGTAATTCTCCCGTCTTGCTTCTTTTCCTCATCATCTCATTTCTTCCTACTCGCGTCTCCCTCTCACATCCTCAAAATGCCTCTTCCCACCATGACACCCTCCGAAAGAGAATCCCACTTCCACCATCTCACAACCCTCTGCTCAGAATTCTACACCCCAACCCACCCCTCCTACTCTGCCCACTCAACTCCTTGGTCCCTCCACTCTCACCTTTCCCCGCAACTCGTCCTCCTCCCTGCAACCCTCCAATCTCTCCAGGCCATTCTCGCCTACCTCTACCCTCTCCCCGGCCTCCCCTTCTCCATCCGCAACACCGGGACGGGCGGCTCCTCCTCTCCTTCCGTCCTGATCAGCATGTCCCACTTCAACTCCTTCGCCTATGATCCCTCGACTTCCATCGCAACCGTCGGTGCAGGTCTCTCCTGGGGAGAAGTCGATACCTTCATGGAGGAGGCTACAGATGGGGAAATGGCTTGTGTGGGAGCGAGATGTACTTGGGTCGGCGTTACTGGTAGTACGCTTGTGGGAGGTCTGAGTTGGCTGAGTCAAGAATGGGGCATGATATCCGATCCGCAGAATTTGTTGGACGCGCAGGTGATATTATGGGATGGTCGAATCGTATGGGCTGTTCAAGATGGCTATGAAGATCTTATGTGGGGAGTACGTGGTGGAGGAGGAGGATTTGGTGGTGCGTATCTCTTCTCTTCTCTTCTCCTCTTCTCATCCTTCCATCTTTCCATCACGAAAAACGCAATATGGACACTAACCGGGAAATGTAGTCGTCACGGCACTCAAATTCCGCGCCCATCCTGTCCCCAAAAACGCCTTTGCGGGGGTCATCTTGCTCCCCTATGAATCTCTCCAAGCTACATCCACCGCCGTCGCCAAGTTCTCCACTCTCCCTTCAAACCCCAAAACCGCCCTGCACATCACAAATCAGGGCCCCGGAATGGGTCAACAAGACCAAGGGCCCCGGCCAGGCCTCGCTCTACTCCCCGTAGACTTCCTCGGCGAGGCCCACGCTCGTAGTGCTGAAGGTTTCGGATGGATCTACTCCCTCCCTGGCGCAAAAGAGCTTGTTTCCGGGGAGATGAGTTATCGCCAGGTCAATGCGCTGGCGGATAGCTTCAAAAGCTATCAAGGGAAGAACATGTTCTGGGCATGTGCGCCGCTTTTGGAAGGGAGGTTAGAGGAGGGGATTTTGGAGAGGGCTTGGACGTGGTATGAGGAATGTTATGGGTTGGAAAAGGGGTTTGGGAGTGGGAGTACGGTGTTGTTGGAATTCATGCAGGAGGTAAGTCTTCTGGTCCACATATTTCTCGATTGGAGGAAAGTGCAGATTGCTGACGTGGGGAGCAGAAAGCCTTCTCGTCTACTTCTGGGCGTGAGGCCACGGCTTGGCCGCATTCGGGACATAGACATGTCATGCAATTAGTGCTTGGGTGTCGTCCGGAAGATGCCTCTCCCGGTCTGGAGGAAGTTGTTATGCGGCAGTTGGAGAAAGCTGGGAAAGAGATTGGTCGGGAAAGATTCACGGGAGAGTATCATCCGGGGTTCTTACATTCTTGGAATGATGTGAAGGAGGTTTACGGGGACAATTTCGAGAGGTTGGTGGTCGTGAAGGAAAAGTATGATCCGCTGGGCAGGTTTGAGGGGAACATTGACTGGAAGAGGGGAAGGGTGATGATGAGGAATGAAATGTGAAGCTGGTCGGTTATCCAATCATTGGTGTTGTGGAGATGAAGACATTGCTTCCTCCTGACTCCACCACAAACACCGATGACAAGATTCTGAGAAGGAACAAACTAACGAAAGTTGATGACATGCCATCTCAAGAATGTCTCTAAAATTTATACGGAGGAAAAGGTTCATGAGCGATACTTTCACCAATTTGTTCCCGAAAATAGCATCGAGTGGGTCGACTTTGACGACATCCCGGTGGTCGGTCCACTAGCGCATATCACTAGCGTGAACTATGTGAATCCCTTCAGCTCCTGCTTAATGCCACACGCAATCCCTCAATCTCATTCGCCCATCTCACATTTCAGAATCCTCATCTAGGGCTCACGTAGGTCTCTACAGCGGATTAAGCTTCGCTTTGGAGTAAGCTTATATACGACAAGCTCTTCGTCTGCTATTCTTGGCTGCACATGGCTGGCACGCCGGTGGCATACGGCATAAGCCACACGAGATTCTTCGAGATCATCGGTATGCTGCGGTAAAAGGAATGAGAATAGTCCAAAATCAGATCACAATGACGCAGAGAAAGAGAGAGAAGGATGAAGTTCGTATCGCTAGAGAGCGGCATCCGGGAGTCTTTTCGACGTCTCTAGAGATATAAGAGTCCCTTTCCATCGCTTTCAGAAAGACTTTCCCATCACACAACAACAGCTTCTCGCAAGAACAACAACTACAACCTTCTCAACCACATCCACTAAAAAATCAGAATTTCCCCAAAACCAACAAAGTCCTCCACCAACAACCAATCAACAATGCAGCTCATCAACCTCCTCGCAGCCACAGGCCTCGCCTCCGCCGCAGTCATTGAGCGTGGCGCTTCCGTCAAGCAGGAATACTACCTCAAGACCCACGTCAAGAGCGGCTACAACAGATTCGATAACCTATACCTGTAAATTCCCCTTCCCCTCTTCCCCGAGGAGCCAACATGACCATCTCCAACTAACAACCCCTACAGTGAAGCCTACCACACGGGCGCAGGTCTCAACGACGCAACATTCAACAAAACCACTTCCACAGCCGCAAAGGGATATCTCGCCAACCCAGTCTATGGGCACTCTTCAGCTACTTACAACCAGTAAGAACCCCTCCCCTCCCCCCTTCCTTCCAAGATAAAGGAGTAGATGTACTGATGCTTTATATGATGTGATTTAGACAATTTGACCTCTTTGGTTATGGCTACCAACTCGAAGTCGACTTTTCCCAAGTCCCATACTCGCAATGGCAGCCCGTGAGAATCAACGCCGGAACTCATGGGAATGAGACTGGGAACTCGGGATTCCATACTTTCCTCACTCGTGATACTGAGACGTTAGTGTGGGATTCGGAGCCTCAGAATTCCGAATCTGCTGATAAGAGTGGGCAGTTGTTTGGAGGTTGGATTGGTGAGTCTTCTCCTTTCCCTTGGACTTTTGGAATCGGTTGACTGACTGAACTAGTTTGTGACTGGTGGCACGGTGTGCCGCAGCTGTTTGTGAAACTTTATCAGGACACGAAGATTACGCTGCCGGATACTTGTGCCGAGGTGGACTTGGTCATGGAGAAGATATCGAAGAAGTAGACGGGGGAGTGAATTGAGGAGAAAGATTGAGAGAAGAGGAGGTGATTCAGCATGATTTCCATTTGCTTTTTTTTTTCTGTTTAACGACAAAAACGATACAGTCCCGACGACAAATAGAGCCAGCCAGCGAGCGAGCGATGAGTAGTAAATAGATAGACAGCAATAATGCATAACACAGCCCATGCGCCTTTCCCCATAGACTTTTCCACAAGTATCAATCCCCATCACACACACATATCCACCCCTCCTTTAATATCCTCAATCATCAATCAGAAGGCAAAACCCCTCCATCCTCCACATCCTTAGCGGCCAAATCAATCTCATACTCCTCCTCCGTCATACCATCGGGCTTAGCATCATAATCCTCATCCTCACTCGCCAAACTCGCCGCCAATTCCTCCGCCAAAACTTCATCGGGAGTGGTGATGGCTCCATCATCTCTCTTCACAATCTCGTAGACATCAACATCAGCATCAACATCAACATCCCGCTTGCTGGGAGCGGCGGCGGTTGCGGAGACTGTTGCGATTACAGCCGCGAGGGCGATGAGGGTGAGTTTCATTTTGATAAATATGTTTCTCGAATTGTTAGATAAGAAAATGTAGGCACAGTCTGGGATTGACTGTGGGTGGGGAGATGATGGGAGGGTGGGCAGTGATGGGAGGAGATATGTACCTCGCTTGTGGCGTGCTGGATAGCTTCTATTCAGTGATTGAATAGGAGATGTATGTGTCGTCTTTCTTTGTTCATTCATGTGCAGGTGGAGTTGGTGTTCAATGTCGTGAATGGAAATCTGACTACAAACGGGTGTCAATAAGCTTCAAAAGGGGCAATGTTCGCCCCGACACTGTGATCTTCCGAAGGTCTAGACAGGATGTATGAAAGTCAGGTCGTAATCGTGGCGCTCACGTATGGGACAATGAAACGCGGCCTGGAATGCGCCTTGAAGATCCTCAGAATCGAGGTCCTGGTTGTTTTAGTGACTCGGAATCGAGTTCGCTGTTTTGGTGATTTGACATTAAGATTGAAGAATATCCCCATGTAGGCCATCTCTCCGCAGCAGTCAGATTTCCGCCACATGCACCCCTCTCCACTCCATCACTTTACTTCCCCCCTCTCCTCCCCTTTACAAATCCCACCAGATTCTCAATAACCCCCTCCAACGCCTCCTTCTCCTTTAACGCCTCATCCTTTCTCTGCAACCAATACTCCAACACTCCACTGCTCCTCCGGTTCAAGCCCTCCAAGGACTCCAAATGAGACTTTAACTCTCCATCCTCCAAACCTTCCATCGCCTCAACGGTGGTCCTACAGATCAAGACGGCGGAATTTGCGTCGAATTCTGGAGGGGGCGGAGGCCCTCTTCTTCTTGATGTGGTGGTGGAAGACTTCTTTGCTGTCCCTGTTTTAGAGTCGATGGAGGTGGAAGATTCATTCCCGCCATCACCTCGTTTTAAGCGTTCAAGAGTGGATGCGCGAGGGGAAGCTGGCAGGTTGATGTTGGGCAATACGAGACGTTTCTGTTTGGAAGGCGGGAGGATCTCGTCCAGGTCGACTGGCACGCCCAGGGAGACGAGGAAGAGACGTCGAATGCGGGAACGGGTCCAATTGGGAGGTTGCATGGGTGGAGGAGAGACGAGTTGTTGCCAGAGGGAGAGGGAGCGGTCGGAAAGGAAGGGAGAGGAATTGGACATGTTCAAGGTGGGAATATCGGTGGGGTTTGAAGGGTGGGTGGGGAAGATGGCGTCGAGGTAGGAGTCGAGGTCGTCGGGGGACAAGTCGAGGGTCAGATTGAGAGGCGACTGGATTGAGAGTCAGTGAGATAAAAAGATGATGAAAAAATGAGGACGGAAGATGTTGATTGTCATGACTAAGTAACTTACAAGACCAGCGAGGGATGAAGAAGGAAGGGTTTCTTCCATCCCTCCTCCTTCATCCGCATCCCCATCGGCCTCGTCAAAGTCTCCAAAATCATCGTCGTCGCCGCCCTCTTCTGCAAATTCATCAAAATCGTCTCCAAAGTCGTCGTCATCATCGTCATCGTCGTCTTTTGCGGCTTCGGCCTCTTCTCCTTGGTCATTTTCGTCTTCGTGAAGGGTTTGGGGTTCTTCTTGTTCTTGTTGTTGTGGTGGTGGTGGTGTTGGTTGTCCTGCTTGCTGCTTTCCCTCCCACATCTCCTTCAACCAGGCCTGCTGCTCTCCCACCTTGGCGTCGCCTACCTCTTCGCTCCTATCCCCACCCAACCGTCAGCATGAGATTTCTCCCCATCAACCGACTCCCACTCACCTACCATCATCATCCCTCTCCACCACCGTCATCTCATCCGGCTGCGCATCAAACTCCCGCATCTCTTTGGCCACTGTGCCCTCGACCTCTCCATATGCCGGTTTATCGTCCAGTCGCTCCACTTTGATATGCGGGACCGGGGAGCCTCCCGGCGTCGGTGGTCGACTGCTGACACTCAGATTCGAGTGGGAGCGACTGCGGCTCTGCGTTCCACTGCGCGCTCGACGACCCTCGGGCACCACTTCCACCTCATCGGGAACGGCATCGGCGGTGCGGAGCGCGTAGGCGGGAGTGCCCGGCTCTTCGCCGTATGCCGCCTTGTCGTCGACTCGCTCTACGCGGGTGATGGGGATGGGCGATTGGGAGCCGTCGGTGCTGAGGCGGTTGGGGTTGGGCGTTCCTTCACTGGCCGAGGAGAAGTGGTCGTCGGAAGATTCTATCCAACAGATCAGTGGTGTTGATGAAGATGTTGCCATTGTTGTAAGGACCCACCAGACGGCGCATCACCCGTGTCGGTGATGATGCGTGGAAGGGGGAGGCCAGACATTGTTTCGGCGGATAAGTATCTCTGGTGCGGAGGATGTTAGGTGAGGGGAGAAGGACGAGCAAATCCACGGGTCAGCGCCGTGTTTTGTTCATCGAAACGCCGGCATGTCGTTGAGGCTGTGCAGTCGAGAGCACATGCTTTGGAGCTAGATCTAGATTGAGTAACCCCTGCTTAGCGCATCTCACTACAGCAACCCGACATCCAACTTGTCCTCTACGATACCACMTGCACATCAACATTGACAAGCTACGAATGGATTAGCATCATCCTGAATATTGCGTTGGATGTCAAATTCTGCTGTTGCTGTGGAATCACAACCAAGGATCAGCCCGTCCGACAGGCATCTCTACGCTCAACCATCGCTGGACGTGCCACGATGTTATTCAAGCAAGGCATAGTATGGWCCACTTCAAGATGAAAGCATTACCGCCAGGAGACGACGTATTTCGAGCATTCCAATCGCCTAACAGAGATGATACACAGAGCTGTAGCTTTTATCTACATCGCTTTTAAGACAACAGACTTGGCTCTCCCCCCTGACAGACAAATTATTAGTCGTCTCGCCCTACGATGGTAACTTCCGTCAACTCTTTCCCGCGCTTCTCTCTTTCATCTCTTATCTCCTACAAGCATGATCCTAAAAAGAAGGACCTAGACCTACCCATCTCGTTATGGTGTTCTTTTCACAATATTCTATCCCCCTTCAAATCRTCGCGGACATCCTTGAAGAACTCTTTGCTACTAGCATCGTCTTTTTGTTCTCCTTCCTTGCTATAATTCCCATACCTAGCAGCCTCACCGTGTGTGTCCGGCGCAATGGCCACAGTCCGCCTCGTCAAGGCTGCGTTGGGTGTTGGCGGGCGGATTATTGGGATTGGACTGGAAACCTCCACGGGGACTCAAGGGACGAAGCATTGGTTGAGAGCAGTTTTGAATTAATCGGGACGGAGCGGGGCAGGAAACCGGTTTGTGTGCACAGGGCATACTGACCTACAAAAAGCTGCTGGCTGCACGCGTACAGCTGATCATGCTTGTAAGCTCTTCTACGATATCTCGTCTTGCTGGGGCGGAGAATATGTCAAGTGTTCACGTATTCGTCAATCTAATTTGTACGAAAGATGGTGGTTTGGTCTGTTAATCCCAAGAACGTGTCATTTACTCAATCGACGTTGTTTATGTGAGTTTGTTTCCTGGCATATTCGCTCGTGGCTTCGCAGCGAAGATTTAACTTGCTGCAGCCCCAAGGTAGCCAAAGAGACGGGTTGTAGTGAGATTGGATCCCTTGAAATGACTATGCGGATCAGACAACTCTTGATATATTTACGCGCTCCACAGTATTGATCGATCAAAACACTATCACCATTGCCGGACCTCTGGGATGTCGCATGCCTCAGAACAAACATCTGTATGCTACCCCAACCCTAACCCTAGAAATGAGTTCCTGCGTGGAACGAGTGGAGGCGAAGGCTGGGAACAGAGTCTCGTACACCCAACTATCCGAGACCCATTTGTGAATGCGATCGATGCCTACTAATCGTAAGAGAACACGGTATTGCTGGAGAACAAAGAGAGTGACGAAGATGTTGGTAGGTGAGAGGCGAAGGATGGACCCTTTGAGATGTGCTTTAACGATTCAAGCCCTACCGTATCGGCGAAAATAGATGCCGATCCGCCGTCGATCCTTCGTAGGCAACAAGGCAGCAGCGGAGGCGCAGCGTCACCAAACCACACCACATCTCCTCCTCCGTCTCGTCCATCTCTTCCTCACCACCACCACCAGCCTTTTCTTCTTTATTTCTCTTTGTACCACACCAACACACGAATAACACCGCMCAAGACCACCCATCATGAGTTTCCACGGACAGGCCATCGGCCATCTGGTCCGCCGTGGAGTGTCAGCCGCTCAGGAGCACTTCACCGGCGCAAATGCCGAATACATGCAGCAACTGCAGCACGACAGCGAGTTGTACGAGGCCGCGGGCCCGGAAATGGAGGTCAACCCCATGGAGATGCTGCCCATGCTCGTCACCGCCCTGGTCACCCTCTTCATCATCGCCTCCATCCGCTATACCCTGGGCGACGTCATGGCATCCCTCACGATGATCGAATCGCCCACCTCCACCGCCTTCATCGAGGACAAGCCCCCCGCCTACGCCGATGAACCCAATGCGCCGCTCGAGAAGGAGCCATTGATGCCCTCCGAGGCCGAGGCGGATATGGATGTCGAGGTCACTCTGATCAGGAACAAGCCCATTACTGCAAGCGTCCGCGACACCATGGCTCATTTGTCGAGCGTTGGCGGCTTCACATCTCGCTGGAGAGGTCTGCGCGCATCCTTCATGTACCACGGGCTGCACGGACTCATTACCAACTTTGTCGGGGAACTTCTCGGGTTCGGACTGATGGGCAACACCCTCATCTACGTCTTCGTCTCCGTCGCTCTCGCCCGCTTCCACATGGCCTGGACCCACGCTATGATTGCCACTCCATCCTCGAAGCCATTCTGGAGCAACATGGTCGCACGCAAGGAGTCCAAGGCTGTCATCATGCCTTCGTTGGTCTTTGCCCTCGCTCAGCAGGCTACCTGGGTTTTGCCTGTCGCCGTCGCATATGCTCTTGGCCTTGACAACATCGAGCAGGACCACGTCGTCGAAGCTGCTCACTCCAAGGACTGCGCTATGCTCGGCATGATGGGACTCCGCGTTCTTGCCGTCCCTGCGACCGCCATCTTCGTCGCCTTTGCCGTTCTCCTTCCAGCAACCGTCACCTTGACTCGTGTTGAGGCTCTCCTTCTCCCAGAGGACCGCGAGACCATTGTCCCATTCGACCGCCAGGCCCTGGTCGGTGAGCTCGATCTCACCGCTCGTGGCAGCTCCAAGGCTCTCTTCTTCCAGGCATGGCGCTCATTTGACAGCGCTTCTCGCTGGAGACTGATCAAGGTGTACGTCAAGATGGCTGCTCTCCAGCTCGCCGTCGTCTTTGTCAGCGCCCACTTGATGATCGCCGAGATGTATGTCATTGGTGGCGAGAGACTGGGACTTTTGTTCAAGTCTGGTGCTGCTCAGATTCAACTGGCGGCTATTGAGGCCCAGCAGGAGGCCAACTAGAGTGTTGTCCAAATGAGATGATCCGCATGAGGGAAAACAGAACCTACCTAGTGTGAATACCAAGACGCCATGGACATGGCTTTTTCAATTGGAAGGCGTTTTAAGGGAATGCGATGTAGAATTACGACACGATTGAATACAAATGCCGAAACATCAAATCAAAAAGCAGACGTCAAATTGTGTCATTAAAGGTTCACCTGTACGTAGTGTTGCAGAAGTCAACCTGAAGCACGTAGCAATTTAAACTTCACGAAGCTGTCACGATGTACGAGATTAGGAAGGACAGACGCCTCGGCGTCATTGGCAGTACTGAAACGAAGACCCCTCCTGCGTAGGTAGGCCGTCAAAGTCTAAGGTAGGTAAAGGTACCATAAGGAACATTCGAATCTTCCCCAACATAACCTCTTCACCAGCGCCTTCTTCAACAACCCAACAACTTTCCCAAACAATGCCTTTCTCAATCCCATCATCCCTCCTCCACCTCCTCCTCATAACCTCAACAATCACAATCCAACCAACCCAAGCCTTCCAACTCGCCCCCTCAACCTTCACGCACACCCAATGCAGCGACAACCCCCTTCTCGGAACTCCCACATACGGCAATGCCGGAATCGTTTTTACAACATGTTCACAACGCGACATTTCCGCCTCAAGGCAGGAGATTTACGATGCGATTCTCGATTTCTCAGAGTATAAAAATTGGAATTCTTTCGTTGTGGATGTTCGGGATCGGAAAGGAGGGGAGGAAGTTGAGATGGGGGTTCGGGAAGATGTGGGGTTTGCTATGAGGTTTACGACTAGGGGGTTGTTGCCTGGTGGGGTTAATACGAGTAGTGATGAGGTTGTTACTTTTGCTGAGAGGGAGGTTAAGGGGGAGGAGGATGATGGGAGGAAGACGGCGGCGGTTAGTGGGTGGAGGTTTGAGGGGGTTGGACAGCAGGCGGAGCATGTTAATGTTTTGAGGGATTTGGGGGGCGGGGTTACGAGGTGAGTTGTCTTTTCTTCTTCTTCTTCTTCTTCTTCTTCTTTTTCTTCTTTGCGCTGTGGGTGGGAGCGGGTATCGTGGAAAGTGTGTTTTGACTAATGTTTTTTGGGGATGGGTAGATATGTTAGTTGGGAGACTTATTATGGGTTGATTGCGCCGATTACGAAGACATTGGAGGGGAATTTGAAAAAGGCTTTTGAGAGGCAGGCGGATGATTTGAAGAGGTTGGTGGAGGGTTGATGATGCTGTATATATATATGTATATCGAAGATGAAGCAGCATCTCGACATCATCTAATAACTCCTCGGCAACCCCAAACTCTTCTCCGCAATGAAATTCATTATCATCTCCTACAATCCTCAATATTAGCATCCACGGTTGATTCATCTCTCGAACCGCAATACTCACCCGACTAACAGGCGCAATCCTCGGAACAAAACACTCCCTCAAATACCTCTCCACATGATACTCGGCCGCATACCCCATGCCTCCCATACTCATCACACTCCTCTCACAAGCCGTAAAGGCCGCTTCAGCAGCCACATATTTTGCACTATTACACGCCACTCCCACTTGATGCTGCGTGATATTCGCATCATACCCCGGCATACCCGGGGAACTCTTGTCGTAAAGTCTCGCGGCGTGGTACGTGGCCAATTTCGCCGCTTCCAATTGCATAWACGCCGATGCAAGAGGATGTTGAATTCCTTGGTTCTGTCCAATGGGTCGTCCGAAAACGATTCTCTCGCGCGCGTAATCGGTTGCTTTTTTGAGCGCTGCGTAGCCTAATCCGAGCGCCTCGCCGGCGAGGAGACAGCGTTCGGCATTCATTCCGTGGAGAATGATTTTGAATCCTTTGCCTTCTTCGCCGATGAGGGAATCTTTGGGGATGGCATAGTTGTCGAAGAAGACTTGGTTGGCATCCACGGCTCTTCCGCCCATTTTCTTGATGCGTTTGACTTCGAGTCCGGGATCAGACTTATCCATGTCGATGTAGAACATGGAGAGCCCCTCACTGGGTTTCTTGACTTGATCGATTGGAGTTGTGCGGGCTAGTAGAACCATTTTCTGCGCGACTTGCGCGGAAGAGATCCAGATCTTCTGACCTGTAACGCGGTAGCCACCGCCATCGGCATCGGGAGTTGCGGTGGTGGTAAGTTTGAGAGTTTCAAGTCCTGTGTTGGGTTCTGTGACTCCAAAACAAGTTCTCCATTCTCCCGAGACGATTTTTCTCAGAAAGCGTTCYCGTTGATCATCTGTGCTGAACTTCGCTACGGGTTGAGTGGCGTAGACGTTTGCGTGGATGGACTGTGCTCCCGCGAGACCTGCTCCACTTTCGGCTATGGTTTGTAGCATCATGGTAGCTTCCGAGATTCCTAGACCTGCCCCACCGAGGGATTCGGGAAGGGCGATGCCTATCCAGCCATCTTTTGCTAGAGCTGCCTGTGGTATGTGTGAGCAGAGGAGGGCTTTGGAGAGAGGACAAGCATACATGTAGTTCGTGAGGATATGTCTCGGTTTGGTCATGTTCCATCCAGTAATCATCCGAGAAATTTGAGCAGACCTTGAAAATTGCATCGCGGACTGTGAGTTGCTCTTCTGTGAAGCCCGAAGTTTCCATGAGCTTTCTTCGACGAGTAATGGAGAAGGGACGGGCGAAGCATCTTGAAGGTGTTGTTTTGAGGAAGTGAGAATGACGTGAAGCTGTACGAAATGAGGATGGCAGTAATTTTGACATGATTTGATGTGATATGATATAGGAAAGGGGACACTGTGCTGGTGATTGCGATCAATGGTTTATGAAACTTATATCATCACGCTCATACCTTAGGTAACCATGTTGTTGCCACGAGGAGCGAGGTCGGTGGAAGGCTAACCGGCTGCCCGGATATAAAGGCGGGATTAAGCGTTGCGTGAGGGGACTCCTCGGGTCATCTTTCCTCCAGTCTTCAGTCAGCTACATGTACCTTACACATCAAAAAGATCGTACTTTCTACAACAACGCTAATACGTCTAAGTTGATGATATTCAGTTGGACACTTAAGTCTTCAAGACAGCCCGTTTTGCCTGAGTCAGGTCTACACAAAAAACTCCACCAACACCTACGCTCAAAAGCAGTACCCAACCTAGAACTCCCCAATTCATAAATCCAATCCAATCCAATCCAATCCAGTCCACTCAATCCTCCGTCAAATCCAACAWCTCAACTCCACTCTCCCTCCAACTTCGTATCCTCCCTTTCCCATGCACATGAACCCCGCCCGCAATATCGCCCGTCAAATCCAACATCCCCAACCGTGGTTCTTCCTCTGCATCGACGAACTTGAATGCACCTGCGAGACTTTCGCGAAGTTGGATGCGTTGTTTTTTCTTCCTAGTCTTGTCCTTGTCTTTTGCGATGAAGGAGGAAGAGGAAGAAGTAGCGCGAGCGAGGGAGATTCTTGGTGATCTTCGAAGAGGTGAGGTCGTTGTGGTGCGTGGTGGAGGTGAAAGGTGTGTCGCTTCCGCAGCGTGTGTAGGTGGAGATCCCGCTGGTGTGGGAAACTTTTGCACACATCGTCTCACCGCTGGAGGAGGAACTATAGAAGCTGCGCCCCTCCTCACAGGTGACGGGCTAGCGAGATCCAAGACTTCAATATTAGTCTCAGCCCTAAAATCCAAGAGCTCTGGCGTCGTTCTCCCTCCAACATCATAATCGTTTTCTCCCATGTTCACAGGCGCAGTTTTAGCCCTCTTCAAAGGTTTTCTCGGTTTACGCTTCGTAACCGAAGCAGGCAACTCCATTTCCTCTTCCAAGTCTCGGAGAAACCCACCATCTAGATCCCCCTGCTCTACCGTCGATGCGGGCGGTGGTATAGCTCCCATGCCCTTGACAGGACTAGAAGAAAGCAAATCGATGACATTGCATTGTGAATCTTTCTTCGCAGCGGGACTGAAGTAAGACATGATCGTTGATTGACTCCTCGCGCTGCTCTCGAGCTCGGCTGAAGGCCTCTTGCGCGTCTTCTTAGGAGTTGAAGTCGGGGTCTTTCGCGTGCTATCCGAATCTCTCGTTGCGACTTTCTTTGCGAATTGGGCGAATGGTCGAGAGGAGTTGAGGTCTGTTGAGGTTGGCTTGTCTTCCGTCGCCGGCTTGTGTTTTACTGCTGCCGTCCCGGCCTTCAATGGCGCAGCTTTAGACTTTGATGGAGCGAGTGTCCGGACTGCTTTTGGCGTAGGATCGTCATCATCACTCTCGTCTTCTTGATCGAAAGAAGATAATTTTGTTGATTTCGGAAGCGGAGGCCCAGTCAGCCATTGCGAGCTCATCCTTTGAAAGCCACTAGCCTTACCCTTCGCAATACCAATAGTTGTTGAGGTCTTCTTCTGTGGGCTGTTAGACCTGTTGGTTGAAGTGCGTGGACTCAAATCCACCAGTGCTGCTCTTCCAACGACAGACACATTGTCGTCGACATCCTTCCAAACTTGCAATTGAGAAGATTTGGTGACGGTCGTATAAGCCATGAGCGAGTTGGTTGGCATGTCGTTCATAACCTTCTTCTTCCCTTTCCCAGCCAACTTCTTGCCACCAGCGTGGATGTTGGAGGCTCCTTTGCCTGTGGCTCTCGCTTCCCGCCTGGCCTTGAACAGCGCTCTGGGATCTCCTCCACCGTCTTCGTACATGCTAACCATCAACGGGCATCCCCGCTTCAAGAAGTCTGCCAGTAACCACAATTTCTCTGGCTGGGTGGGATCATAGAGAGATGGGCCTCGAGTCTTTGTCGTCAATGCTTCCTCCTCGTCTTCGCCATCCTCACCGAGCGCTGGAGTGGAGCTGGGCATGGTAGCCCATTCAGTTTCTGCTTCGCTGAGGAGATCATCTGTACCACTGGCTGGGAGCTGGGCATCATCTTCGTCCTCAATAGAGAGGTCGATTGGCACGAGATTCATCGGAGTGAAGGATATACGGTACTCTAGAGAGTTGTCGGTTGAAGCGTGGGTCCGTTTGCTGAGGATTGTAGAAACAAGAGCCTTTTCCCGCTCTTGTCGAGCCTCAAGCGTAAAATGAGTGGGAACCGCTTCGTCCTGCTGTGTGGATGGCTCTCTCAGACGCAGTTGTCTGACCAACATAGCCGGAGCCAGATTGCGCACGAATTTCTTCGCACCGGAAATGCATCTCCAGTCAAAGGCATCCGCGGTGAAGTTCCTCAGTGCAACGAAATCAATACCTTGATCCCACTGCAGACTCTCTCTCAATCTCTCCACTTTCTCTGGGGATGACACGCACGGATGAGTGTAATACCCCAACACCTCCCTGCTAGGAAAGTCGTCCGGGATCACGAGCTTATTCTTTCTGGTAAAGAACTTGCTCTCATTCGTGTTGATCTCCCGTTGCAACCTCTCCTTCCACTGCGCCAAACCAGGCACATCCTTTCTCCTCGCAATCTCGCACAGGTCTTTTCCAAACCCTGCCCTTGCCGCATCACAAGCGACTCTCGGCCCACACCCTGGGATGCCCTCCACAATGTAGTCTCCACCACTCATCATAGCCACCAGAATCATGCCCTCCCGATCCAGTCCACTCTTGGCTTTGGTCGTTTCTGCACGGTAGACATTCACATGCGTAGGAATCTTTCCCTTTCCCTCGGCTGTCCAATTGCGGACAGTAACGCCACTCCCAAACATGAGTGTATCCACATCCTCCGACATGACCGCATCCACCACTCCGGCCCTTTGCAGCACTGCGCATTCCGCCTCGGCCTCTCCCGGAGCGACATGCCATGGGAATCCAAATTCCTTGAGTAGCTGCTTGGCGAGAAACTCGGGGACAGAGGCCACCCTGACTCCAGGACCTCCAACCTTCTTATTCCGCTTGAAGGTGGGTTTGTTAGGTCCATCAAAGACAAAGAGAGGATGTATATTATGCGCGATGAGGCGAAGGAGTCGATAGTAGAATGTCCGGAGCGCAGGATTGGAACCACCTTTCGAAGCCTGGATTTGGAAGAGCCAGATGGAAGTGTCAATGGCCAGACGGAAGGGTTGGGAGTGGGCGGCGTGATGTTGGGCGGAGAGGGCGATGAGTGATTGGCGCTCACCGGGACCGATTTCCTTGAAGATGCCCGAGATGCCCATCGTGGTGGGGTAGAGGTCATGTCATGTTTGAGGGAGCTGAATAAAGTAAGGTATACTTCATGCTGGTGGGGTGACATGTGCGGTCCAAGTGAGGTTACAGCATTGCATTGCCATGGCAACAAAGCGGCGGCCTGAAAATGGCGCCTGGGAATTTAGTTCGATGCCGCCTTGAAACTCGATTCAGACTTTGATTGAATTGATTGGGGAAGGGATTGCCAATTAGGTGGTTTCATTCATTCATCCAGACTTGCTGTGTGTGTAGGTATGGTTTCCTGGTCGGGGCGRGCAGCAACAACATGAATGCGCTTTCATCCAAACCGTGACATTTCTCGGAAGGATTGCGCTTCAACATCGACGCCACGAACCAGAGATGAACATTCCATTCGTGCTGGCAAGAAATCGCCGTTACAACCCTTTGACAGTGACGGTGCAACGTCGGCAGCGCTTGAAGATCCACTCACGCGTGTCGGTTTCGTGGTCGCTGATCATTGCTCCTCGAATGTAAAATATCAACATCTCGCATACCTACATACAACCCCCAATGGATACAAACTCGAGGGACATTTCCCAAATATAATCTCCCCGAATCGATCGATCAAAATGTCCTCGTCTTCCGGCAGCAGTCGCGATACTTCCCCGGACCCAATTGTTCTCCCTTCATCGCCGCTCGGCAACAACCGATCCGCGCGCAAATCCACCCCGCGTCGTACAAGTAGGAAATTCAATCGCAACTCTCCCAGCAAATCGCTGGTCTTGGACACTCCAAATGGAGCGGGAGGAGAGAGTCCATGGAGAATCCGGGTGACGGTCGAAGCTGAGCCGCGAGAAGGAAGTCCTGGGAAGAAGCGAAGATCAGCCAGTCCTACCAAAAAGACAACAACGATGCGAACACTGGCCCTCAAGCAGGAGAGCCCGGCAAAGGGAGATACAAGTGGGAATACCAGGAAGAGGAAAGGAACTCCGATTCGCAGAGGGAGGAGTACACGCCRTCAACCTCCAGCTGTTGCTGTAGCTGCCCCTGTGATGGAACCTACGCCAACGGTGGAAAACGACCAAGACGGTGATGTTGTCCTCCAGGATATGCCACCACCGCCACGGCCCTCGGCAGGGAGGAGAACTTCTGGTCGCATTGGTCGTCTCAATTCCCAATCTGCACCGACCCTCCGTTCCCAACGCCTTAGTCTGGCGCGAGAGGAATTGGATATTGCGCTGCAGGATGCCGTGGGCTATGGAGAGGAACACACGACGAGGCTGTTGCCAGAGGTCGATTTCACCAAATCTATGAGAATGCTGGGTGATGCCACTCTGAGCAGGAATGAGGATTTTAGCATGATATCTGTGGAAACTTTGCAGACGGCAAAGGATTCCAGTATGGTGTCGGCGTTGGGGAATAGTACGGGTAGTACGGGTTACATGGCGAGCAGTCCGCCGAAGAGGGACAATTTGAGGAGGAGTGTGTTGGGTAATCCTGTACAGTTTGGGAGGAACAGTACCGTTGGGAAACATTCAGCGCTGGTGAACAGCATCGCTGGGAGGAGCAGTGCTCTTGGTAACTCGTTGGAGTCTGGGAGGAGGAGTGTGTTGGGTACACCTACAGAAGGTGGGAGCTCATCAAGACGAGACGGTGCCGATGTCATGAACTGGAGACCTACTGGACCTCCTGTCGTGGCCCGAGATCTGACTCCCAGCAGTCAACTGAAGCCTGATGCACATGCACGGCACTCTACTGAATCACAGCCAAACCACACCCCAAACTCTGCCGGAATGGATGGCGCAAATGACGAGGACATATCCCAAGGCGTCGACCTGGATATCTGGCAAGACGAAGCTTCTAGATCATTGGAAGACCAGCCCCGCGATGAGCGGGATCAGCAGGCGAATTATTATCATCAGAATGAAGGCGATGAGCTAGAGGCAGAAGAGCAGCTCCAGTCAGATGCTGCAGCTCAAGCGGCTTCTCGTTCTCCAGGCATGGAAGACCTCTTCGCAGATCAACCTTTGAGACCTGCAAGAGGCAAAATACCCAAAACATGGAGACGAAGTTCGGGTATGGACTTTTCTTATGTGGACTCGCCCGCTCAAGGACTCATTGACGGAGATGCGCGGCGTGCAGATGATGAGCGAAGACATTCTACGGATGGAAGTGGGGTGTTGACACCGCCTAGTACCAGCGATGATGAGCAGGAAGAACAGGAGGAAGCAGGCGATGTTGTTGACGAAGAGATGGAATACGACGACGAAGTGAACGACGGATCAGGCGCAGAACAGTCCAATAGCGATGACCACGACGCCGATGTTCAAGAAGACCCTCAAAGTGAATGGAACCAACCCGATGCAGAAGCGACGAGATATGAAGGTCACCATGATGATGAAGAAGTGAACCTCGCAAAGACTAGAAACGACAGCGTCTCTCCCCTCTCTGATGGCAATACCGATGATGAAGATACGGGCAGCTTCTTTCAGTCTAATATGCCGCAAGTGTACGCCCGACAGAATCGACCTCGGAGACCACCACCCCGGCCCAGGAGGGAAGAAGGGACGGTAGACTTGACCGACTTACTAGGGTTAAAGAGTAGTCCCGTCAAAGCTGCTCCACCAAGAGCAAGTCCGGGTGATGCTGCCGCAGCATCAAGCTTCGACACACGTCAAGCCCGCATTCATGGGCGACCTTATGACGGCAAGATGAAACTCGAGTCGTCGCCCCAGGAAAGCAGTGGAGGCAGACCAAAACTAATGGATAGCCCTCTGCGGAAGAGTCTGCTAAAGAGCAGTAAGATTCATGGCGGCAGTCCCGAACATAAGCGACAGGTGCAAAGTCACCACGTCCAAGCTGCTCCGCCAGGAATGAAGAGTTTCATCGTTCCCGCCCAGAGGCAACAGGCACATCGGAAGCAACAGGCTCCAGAGTACCCAAATCTTGAGAAGAACTCCAATTCGATGATGCTTAGCCCTGCCGTTCTCGATCGTGCACAGACTCGTTTCCCTAACTCGCAATCTAGAGTGGAAGTCGAGCTGGACAGTTTCGCCAGCAAGGCGAGCGATCAGAGACAGCTTCTGACGGAGATGACGCCAAGGATTGGGACTGGAGTCAATGATCAACAAACCGGACAAAGCTACGAAGAAGAGAGTGAAGGCCCCTCCTCTCCTGCACCAATAGTGCGCAGCTATGAAGAGAACCTCAACGTTGATTCACCGCAAAAGATTCCAGTACATTTCGGGGATAGCTCGAGTCTTTTGCCTCCTACGAAATTGTACCTGAGTCAAGCTGGAAGGAAGTCCGTGAGTGGGAATCAGTACAGACCCGAAAGACAGCCGCCTCAGCAGCCGCAGGAGAAGCTTCAAGCCCAGAGAGAACCACTCGCCCCGAAACCAATTGCGCTTGTTGATAGGCGAGTTCCTGACGCCGGGAAGGGAGTTGGAGGTTTGCTGAGCCGATTGAGCGAGACGTTTTGGAGCGCTGTTGTAAGACCTACTGGGCCAACAGAAATCATGCCTGATTCTCAGCAGCAGCAGGATAAGCAGCAGCAGCAGCAGCAGAAGCAACACCAGGAGACTCATTTAATCACGGACTTGACCGCCGAAGAAGAAGAGTTCTCCGACGAAGGCATGGGAATGTTCAACACCACTCTCCGCACCGCGATCCGGAATCGCTATGGTGTCCTCCCCGCAACCTTTCCCTGGACAATGGCTCACATGCGTACCTTGCACCGCATGCTCAATTCCCTCATCTCCGAACGACCTGACAGTTTAATTCCCAACGCCGGCCCACTTCCTGATTTCCTCTCCGAGATTGCAGACACGGAGCAAGAGAGCGTCATCRGCAAGATGTTCTTTTTCACTCGCGAGCATGCTTATGTCGTCTTCTCATTCTTACAGATCTTAGTTGAGGAGGACCTCGTGAAAGCTATGGAAAATGGAGAAGTTCAGCCGCTAGGGGACGCATTGAGCAGGAGTTTCCGAGGGGTTGTGGAGGGGGATACTAGTGGGAGGAAGGGCTGGGAGAGGGTTTTCGTTAGGAGGGAAGGGGTTGGGAGGTGGAGAGAGGAAGGGGCGATTGGGTGGGAGTTTGTTGTGGGAGCGTTGGGATGTGCTGTTAGATGTAATGAGGTTGAGGGGAGGGGGAGGACGACTGTGCGAGATGAGTGATGAGATGGCTTGGGACTGGAGATGTCTTGATGAATGATTGTAATGACGGATGTCATGAATATTCTTGGTTTGCGATAATGGTTCTTTGAGCGAGGGCGTTTTTTTTATGAATGTAGATACCTGTACGAATTGGGTGGATCTCAAACTGTCGATACAGCATGTCTTTGCATGGGAAGCTATTCTTGATTACCAAAAGTCCGCTTACGCCAAGGAGTAGCGAGAATCAATTCGCTGTGAACGCACTGGCGTCGGCATGCTCGAGAGGACTCTATGGGTCTGGATTATTTCCGTTGGAAGAGAAGCCGTTGTACAGATGTTGCTCCTGCGCAAGGGATGGGAATCATGGGAACTGACGTTCATCGCTCGCCCCGAACGATTCGCTTTCTCAAAGTCCAATGGAGTGGTAGATGATTACGCCGTCAGTGGAAGACTCCACCTCCCCGTAGGCGGTAGACAAGTATTCATTCGTTCCTTGTAGATGCCCATATAAAAAGCAAGAATGCCAGGTGGCTATTTTTGTCCCATCAAATAAGTTGTGCCCGGTATGATCTCGGAGCGGCCCGCGATGCCAAGTTGGATCTACTGCTCTTACCCTAAGTTCAACTTCTCTTTGGCAAACCGTGACCTCACTGCCTCCGAGCCGTGTACGTCGACACCGCACCAACACCTGCGCGACGACAGCGCAGACCCCGGCTTCGACGATCTCGAGGCCACTTCAACCCCACGGGCTCCAATTGTGCGCCCGCGATCCCGCCGAAGCGCCCACCGCCGGCTTCATCGGCCACAAATTTCCTGCAATCTTCAAGTCTCCATGTGTGCGCAGCACAATGTCAATCTTCCTGGCCCAGGATTTGACCATTTTCCTTGAGCCGCCGGACACTTCCTGATCTATTTGTCAATCTCCTCGTGCACACAATCTTCACTTTTTAGCAGCTCAGGCTCGCTTGAAATATCAGGAATAGCGGCTCTCGGACTGCATCAACAAATCGCTCATCGTCGGGTGCGCGAGAATACTCCGCTTGGGAGCAGCGCTGAACACTCGCTTTCATCTGCATTGGCATTGGCATCATGGCATCCATTTCGGCGTCCAATGCGGTCGCGAAAGAGCGTCTTTCGTTTGCAAAGGTTAGAGGTCGCGCGTCATCCGCGCCCGTTGCACGCTCTACTGACACGACCCACACAGATCGCTGCRGGTTCCCAACCCTCCCAACTCCCCGCGAAGCACAAGAAGCTCGTGCAGCTTGCGGGCGACCCTTCGGCACCCGAAAGCCCGCTCGCATACACGCCGGGCGTCTCGGACGACAATAACACAACTTTGTCATCGTCCAGCGACTCGAACAAGCCGCCAAGTATCGCATCTGGTACGACGTTCGCGCTTGATGAAAAGGACTCTCTCCGTCCAGATGACAGTGCCAGTGTCAAGGCGGGCGAGGATGAAGAGCTCTCGGGGTCGCGCATGGGCTCGGACGTTGGCGTCAGCGCTTTCCGCAATCAACTGCAGGAAATCTCATCCATGGAGCCGCCGAGGCGTGGTGTGCCCCAGCAGCCATTCACAAACGCGCCAAAAGGCGTGCTGTACGTTCCTCCACAAGGTCCAGGGATAGGAGCAGTTCCCAACGCGTCGCGCAATTCATCGGGAGGTAGTCCAGATGTGGACTGTCCGCCTGACCGGAAGCTCCTCGAAGCCCTGGAAGAACCGAGAGATCGGGTCTGGGTCTTGAAGCTGGAGCAAGATGTCATCGATTTCGTAAAGGACGCAAAGGAGGCATCCCTTACTCTCCCGCAGTGCCATGCTTTCTACCGACTTCTAGCCCATAAGATGGCCGACTACTACATGTTGGGTCATCTTGTTGATGATTCTACCTCTGCTGTGCGCCTCTACAAGACCCCTAATTGCCGCATTCCGCCTCCGTTGACTGGAATCACCGCTCCTTCTACCGCCGCTAGTACGCCACCTCCGCCAGCTCCCAAGATGACCATCTTGCAGCRGGGAGCTGGTCCGGCCATTGCGAACGGATCTAACGGGTTTCCAAACTCCGAAAACGATAGCGATGACGACAAGAAGAACAAGGCTCCCGTTACGCGCGAGCAGAGAGAAGCACAATACGAGGCCGCGAGACTTCGCATCATGGGATCAGCCAAGCCTGGCGAATTCTCCGAAGCGCATAAGGATCAGCAAGAATCGCGCTCCAGTTCAACCGCTGGCAAAAAGCACAAGAAGAAGCCTCGCGCTGATAGTGATGATGGCTTCGAGGTGGGTGAAGCTTCTCTGCACTGATACCGACTAGTCGTCTCTAACTTTAATATAGGCGCGTTCTGCATACAGCAACTTTTACACAACTTCGTTTGGCTCAGACGGACTTCCAGCTGCCCAGTACGGCTACCCAGAGTACTCCGACCCCGTTGCTGCGCAATATGCATCCAGTGTGTATCCTCAGCAGGGCTACCCCGGCGGTCAACCACACCAGATGCAAGGACAAGGCGGCAACCCATGGGCTCAACATGCCTTCCAGACCATGGATCCCACGCAGGCTTGGGCGCAAGGACAGTCTGGTGCTTACGACCTATCAAACGACTTCCAGCGCATGTCCTTCCAGAATCAAGTCCCGGCACAGGGGCAGAGCTCCAATTTCGCACCCAACTACGCACAACAATACTACGGACCTCAGCAAGGATGGCCTCAGCAGACATCGTCTCAGCCACATCAGCAATCCCAGCATCACCAGCCCCAACAGCAATACCAAATGCAAGGTCAAATGCCAACACCATACGCATATGGACCGCATTATGTGCCGCCCTCTGGACAAACACAGGATCCGCACCAGTCTTATCCATTCGGTCAATTGYCCAGCCAGACATTCCCAGGCCGACCTTCGAGTCATGCAGAACACCCGCTGCCTGGCAGCTACAAGAGTAAGCACTTCAACCCGCAAAGCCAGAGCTTCATTCCTTCGCAATCAGATGGGCGACCCTTTACCCCACAAGGCTCTACTCCGAATGGTAATGGCTTCGGGAATCTCAACGGCACGAGCCAACAGCTCCAACGCCAGAGTTCCAGCAGCCACTCCCAGCATAGCTCCACATTCGGTTCACCTCACCACCACAATCCCACACACGCTGCCACGATGCAGAACCGCGCGCCAACTCAGCAGCTGACGCATCCACTTCCACAAGGTCCGGTCTACCCACGGCAACCGTCGCCTAGCGTGCCGCTACCTCCAAAGCCTGCCACAGCTGGAGGAGCAGGAGGTAGTCAGCAACAGCCATTCGTCATCTCTTCTTCACCTCAATTGCATGGTATGCAGAGTCAGAACCAGAGTCTGCTGGCAAAATGGGGCGCGCCCTCATCCTTGCCTGCCAAGCCGCCTCCTTCTAACGAGCCTTTTGACGCTTCGCGACTGACGCAGATTCAGCGGCAGCCTTTCAATGCGGCAGCCGTGGCGAGACAGCCTGGTGGTGGTGTGTATTCTGGGTTCGGACCGGGGACGGTACGACGGAATGAATAAAAGTTGCAGGATGAAGTCGGATGTGGTATGTAGTGTCTGATTTAGCGATTCGGTCAAGGATGGGTTGAAATCGAACTATTGCCTTCTCTCGCGCTGTCTGAGTGTTATCGCTTGTGGTCGCCCACTTCTCATCGACAGACGGATTAGAATCAAGGAGTCGCTGGAGGATTACGCACCAAAGAAAGACGACAAAGCCACCTCAGCCTTCACTCTGAACCTTCAAAAAGCACGCTAGTCATCAACTTTGATTAACCGCATTGGCTTTGGCTGTGCGAACGCTAATTGCACTGGAGGAATGAGCGAGTTTCAACGTCACTTGCTAGCCCTAGATACTGCAGATCGGGTATGCCGTTTGATAACTATACGCGCGCGATTCTTAAGCATATACCTTGGTGTTAACCCGCATAATACTTGACAGCCCTAATGACTGTAGATCGGGCATGCCCTAAGCATGTACCTTGGTGTTAACCTGCATTACACTTATTAGCCCTAGTTGCTGTAGATCGGGCATGCAGCATGCGGACTACACGCTGCGATGTCTGAAGCACATAGTGTTAAGCTGCATTACACTTACCAGCCCTAGTCGCTGTAGATTGGATATGCAGCATGCGGACTACACGCTGCAATGTTTGAAGCATAGTGCTAAGCCTCGTCACACTCACAATGGAAAAGGAGTGCATATTGTTGTGAACGTCCGCTAATCACACTGATATGTGAATGTTCTCGTCACTTAACCAGTTGCTATGAATCGGGCATGCAGCATGCAGACTACACGCTGCGAGATCTAAAGCACATGGTGTTAAGCTGCATCACGCTCACAAGACATGGAAAAGAAATGCACGTTGTTGTGAACGCCCTTCATAGGATTAAAGAACGATCATTCTGATATCTCCCCTGTGCAACCCTTGATCCCTATTACACACGCAAAACAGAAAACATTCCTTCGCCCGATCCAGCCAATTTCGAACGACCTGCCCGAGACTTTACTCAAGTGTCGCGCATTGCTAACAGATCAGAGCATACATCCCAACGATGTTGAGTAATCTAGTAGCAGGTGGCATCAACATCGCGGTCAGCGTTGCGACCGGCTCCGCCGACTCCACGGCAAGCTCTCGCCATGCCGTTGCCCTCAACACCCTGGCCGTTGGCGTCGACACACTGTAAAGTTCGTTTGTCAGTCTTTACGTTTCCTTCGATTACATATGATGAGAGACAAGACTTACGCCGTTGCCATCCCAGTACAAGTTGGRGAACTGGTTGGACAAGTTCTGGCAAGCCTGCTGGCCCAAGCCCTGGTCAACGTTGCGGCGGACGGTGCAGGTGCAGTGGCTGAAGTAGCGGCCCTCGTCGTTGCTTCCGCTGGCACCGCCGTTCCAGGTCCACTGAGCGGCAGCACTGTGAGGTTTGAGTGGTTAGCTATTGTTCTGATGGAATGGTTTGAGGGGGATGCTTACGAGGTGGCGAAGATGGCGGCGACGATGGCGATGAACTGCATGGTTGCGGTAGTGTTGTTGGTTGGTGAGTTTGGTGTTGAGTTGAAGGTGTGTTTGTAGTGTTGGTGGATGGATGTGTAGATGTGGTTGATGAGTGAGTTATGAGTGTCGTCGMTGCGGGTATCTTATACTGTTCGCATCTTCTAGAAACGCATCATCTCCTTAAGGTTGCGTAAAGCAAAAACTTCGGTGCTAGGATTTTGCATGTATGAGCTAATACGGAGTACCTTACGTGTGTCAAAATTGGCATGGCAATGATGGCACATGGTGTCAGCGGCCCCTAGCTGGGATGTGCATCGTATTGGCCTTCCCTGGTTGTTTGGTCTTCATCTTGCGATYCCACCTCTGCCCACACAATTCTCTCTGGAAGTACCAAGAGCGGCAGTTGGATCATTCTGGTCCTGTGTTGCACTCTCGCGGGCCATGATTCTGTCGCAGTCAATGGCTTGTCAGAAGGGAATGTGCTATCGAGCGTCAAATATGGGGTGTGCTTCGGTGCCTCGACTGTAAGCTTTGCAGATCCTGGAACGTCTGATGGAAAGTATCATATCATGATGATCACCTCACCCCGGATCTGCCTCTAAACCCTGACTCGTGTGTTGTAAAGCTGTTACTAAATTGAGGTGAAGTACGCAGATAACACTAATTGGCATATAGGTGAAAACTCTGCATCTAAGATGCGGCTATATCGTCTAATCCTTAGTTATCTGTAGATTACGTGCTAGAATTATAACACTCCCCCTTCTAGCAATATTATATGTGTCTATATAAAGGATTAGAAGCTATTATTAGCTTTAGCAGCTAGATACTACTACATATGCTTAATGCGCACGTTATGCACAATTATACGTGTGTTTTAGGTCCCTATAACTTAATATATATGCCTAAGTTCTTTCTAACGCTTCTATAAGAGGCCTCCTTCTTTTAAACTTAACTATTATCTATACTATAATATCCTTTATATTAATCCGCCTTACATTATATCTAAACACTTAATTAATTATCTATTAAGACACTTAATTAAGCATCTATTAAGATATTTATTATATTTATAGCAATTAACCGTAGAGGTAGTTATATAGCTACTAGTATAGGTAATAGTAGCAGTAGTAGTAGTAATCTACTAAAGAAGAATCCTAGCCACATTAGTTACTAGGCTACTAGTACTTCCTAGAGAGAGAAGCTACTAGAGAAGGTTTAGAATATTCTAAAAGATCTTACTACCCGTAAGTATACTCTAGATGCAAAGGGCAGGGTTGTTATTCCCCTATCGCATTTTAACCGTTACTTTATTAAGAGCCTTAATAGAGCCTATAAGGAGGGCCGTAGTAGTAGTCTTAGCTTAGCAGCTATTTTTAAGGACATCTTAAAGAATCCTCTAGCTACTTAGTAGATAGATAAGCTTACTAGTAGAAAGCCTAAGTTTAAGGTTGTTACTTAGCCTCGTTTAGCTACTCCTAGCACCCTTAGCTCCGGATCTAAGGAGCCTATAGTTAATATTAGTAGTAGCAATAATTACTACCTAACTATTACTGCTTCTTTAGTTCGTAGTGCTTAGATTAATAGTATTATATATAACTCCTATGCTAGCCGTAGTAATACTGTCTTTAATAGCTATATTACTATTAAGGGCCTATTTAAGGGAGCTTACCTAGAGTATGCTATTAACAATTATTACGAGTACTGCAACTTTAGCACTTATAAGCCTACTCTAAGAAACACTCGCAACCGCACTAAGTTTAATGCTCGTGTTGCTTAGAATCTAGATAAGGCTAAGACATCTAAGGCTCCCGATTATCCTCTAGCTATTACCTACCGTAACCGTCCTCTCCTACTAATATATAATAGCAATAGCAGACCTCTCTTTTAGGTATTACCCTTCTAGTCGCCTACTACTCTTAGAAGCCCTACTAGAAATACATACCCTTATAATAATTGCTATCCGATTAACTTCTTAAGATCTCTTCCTGCTCTAGGTACTAGTAGTCGTTATAGAATAGCTGTAGTTAACTTTAACTACCTATTAGCTTCTAACCGAGAGTAGCAGAGAGCCTATATAAGGGCTGTACTATAGAATGTCCTAGAGAACTTTACCTAGATATAGGATACTAGTGCAGTATTTAACCCTAGTAAGATTCGTACCCGTTAGGATAAGGATGCTCCTAATAATAATAATAACACTAAGATAACCTAAGAGTAGTTAGGATTAAGAGCTATAAGCTCTAGGAGGTAATAAGAAGCCTAAGAGTAGCTAGTTAGTAAATTTCTAGTAGTCTTTCTGCAAGTTTAGATAGCTAATGCAGTTCCTAATAGTGTTTTTGCTTCGATAAATAAAATAGGGTAGTAATAACTATAGTTGTTATAAAGGAAAAGTTTTATAGGTCTACTAGGGACTATATAATTGTATTAGGGGACTTTAGCTTTATTAGTGCATTAGCTAGCTACTTAGAAGTGTTTATATATTCTACTTTAATGTTTCTAAGATTATATTGTTCCCTATAATAGTAATTTCTTACTAAAATGTGTCGTAACCTTCTAGAGTTTAAGTAATTCTTAACTAGGCTAATAGCTAACTAGTTATTAACTCTAATAAGGACAGTCTTAACTTTCTACTAGGTAATTAAGCTAATCTTATTAAGAAGCTCCCTAAGCTAGCTAATCTCCCTAGTTGTTTTAGTTAAGGCTAGGTATTTAGCTTTAGTGCTCGATAGGATAATATCCTTTTACAACTAGGACCTCTAGATAACTAGCCTACTATATAGCTTAATAAGAGACCTAGAGGTAGATCTTCTTATTATTAGATCTCCTGCATAGTCTAAGTCTAAGTATGCCTTAATACTAAGGCTCTTAGTCCTTTTAAAGATAATGCCTTTTACAATTATACTCGAGATAAACTTCTAGATATGCCTTATAGCAGTAATGTGCTTATTAGATAGGTTCTAAAGGAATCTAGCAAGATAGTTAATAGTATAGGTAATATTAGGCCGGGTATAATTAGAGAGATGCTAAAGCTCCCTAATAATCTTATTAAAGAGATTATATTGTTCCTTTATATAGCTCCTCTTAGATAGGGATAGTAATCTTTCTAGTAGGAACTTTACTAGCTTAACATTTAATAGCCTATAGCCCTCTAGCTTCTTACGGCTATAATACTACTATAATACTATAGTAGTTGTTTCTAATTACTAGATATGCAATCCTAGGAAAAGGTTAGTATTAATAAGCTTAATACTGTACTTTTTCTTTAGTCCCTTAATTACCTAGTCGATATTACTCTAAGTCTAACTAAGGATCTAAAAGTTATTAATATATATAAGAACAAGGGCTCTATGTCCTATAAATAGGTATGCATCTAAGTAAGTCCTTTTAAGACCTATATCCCGAAGTGTTACGACTACATTATAATACTATAGAGATGCAGCCTGCTTTAGCCTATAAAGTCCCTTTCTAATACGGATTAGAAACTTCTTAGGATCTTTCTTTCCTATATCTAGATACTTAATCCCTTCTAGTAGATATATCTAGATCTCCCTATCTATTATAGGGTTTAGRAAGGCTATCTCGATATTAATCTAAGATCTTTTCTAGTAATATTATATAGCTAATRCTAGGAGGATTCTCCTAGTTGCAGCTCTTAGGGTTAGTATAAAGGTTTAAATATAGTTAACTCCTATCTTCTAGGAGTATCCTTTAGTAGTCTATCTAGCTTTATACTTCTTAATAGTACCGTTAGTAAGCTTCTTTAGCTTATATACCTATTTTGCTTTAAGGGGAATTCTTCCCTTAAGCAGGTTACTAATCCTTTTCTACTCGATTATACTAGTAGATTCTAGGGATTTAACTTCCTTAGATATTGCCTTTCTCTACTCTAGATATTATAATGCCTCTAATATAGACTAGGGCTTAGTAATAACTGCTCCCCTAGTATGCAGCTTTTTGTAGTTATGCCTAATTATAGACCTTCCTAATTATATTTAAGAGGCTATAGGGGGTAATGGGTCCCTCTTTCTTTTACTAGTTATTTAAGGTAGTATAAATAGCTCTATAAGCATATTAATATCTTCCTTAGTAGAGGTACTATTCTAGAGAGAGCCTTAGAGGAACTCCCCCTAATCCTTAGAGCTACTACTAGAAGAGCTCTAGGACTATAATCTCCCCTAGATCTCTATAGGAGATAGCTTAGTAGGCTATTATTCTTAAGGAGCTTCTTGCTTCTAGGATATTACTAGGGGTGGATTCTAAGATTAATACTTAGTTTCTAGGATAATTGCCTAAGGGTAATGCTTAGGGATAGGCTATACCTAGGCTTCTTACCTAGTAGCCGGGGTATAAGCTTCTAGCTTAAATACTACCTAAGCTTCTAGCTTAGGGTTAGTTGCCTAAGCTTCTAGCTTAGTAACAGGCACTATATAGGCTTCTAGCCTAGTAGATAGAGTTATAAAACCTATAGGGCTTATATAGAAAGGCTCCCCCTAAGACTTAGGGGTATAATAACTTCTAACTATATCTGCATATACCTAGTCCT